AGCACTTCTTTCTTTTCTTGTGGTTGCTCCAAAATCAGAATAGCCATCAGGAGGGACCCCACCCCAGAACATGATCAAGTTCGTCAGCAGTCTGCCGCCCTCGACGAATCCTTACGTGGCGCTGGCTGGAAAGATCAGGGATCAAACTAGAGTGGGTGGGCGTTTTGGACGGTCTGCGCGATTTCCTTGGCCATCTCTCTTCATCATACTGACTAGACCTAAGTATCGCTCATTAGATAGCCAAGCCTGTTCTGTGGGGAATCATTGTTCGTCGGATCATCACCTTCCAGTTCTGCGTGTTAGTGTCAAATTATCTATCGACCTTCCTTAGAATGAAGCCATCTTTACAAAAATATGCTTGTCATTCTGTTTCTCCCGGCTGACCTGTGTTTTTGTGCAGATTATGTGCCCAGGCCATCACTGTGCTATGGCTACGAAAGAAAGCCAACAAACTGCGTTTTTTCAGATGTAACAAACGTTCGTCAGTCCTACGCTAACCAATCATGATATCAAGCTTTCAGTTCTCTAAGGGGCAGCCTCGATGCGGCTCTTCCTTATATATATATTCTTCTGCTTGCCCGGAACAGTTGGCTTGATCCATGTGGAGGTGCTCAACGAGATTGTGCTCCTGATGCTGGTGTTTTCTGTGTGTAAGTCAAAGGTTCGAGCAAGGGTTTGATTGCTTTGGGAGCTTACGGATCTGGATTCTGATTGGTGATCGAATGGATATATGATCTTATCAGTGGCGGTGATTGACCTGGTGACCCAAGAGTTTGTTGAACAAGGCTCGATGGTTTTTTCGAACAAGCTGATCTTGCGCACATGCAAGTTCCCGATAGCAGCGGATGTTTGTTGGTGAGTTTTAGACTGAGATCTCTGGGATTTAAATATCTGCAACCGACTGAGAGCAGATATTTACATATTATTTTAATTTTTTTGTCGTTCAGGTGTATGTCTTCTTCTCAACTTGATCTTCCTCTTCCTTCAAAGCGAGTGAGCCTGATGAAGCCTGTTTCTGGAATGAACCCGATCGATTTTCGAAGTGTTTCTGTGGATTTGCGGGATCGAGAGTGTGATGTCATTCTCCTCTTTAAGAGCACGGGCACGCGCCGGAGCATCCATCAGACTTCCGGCGTACATCCGTTTCAGCGCCAATGGCTTACTCCTCGCCGTTCTCACCGTTCCTGGGGGTAAGCAAATATTTACAGTAGAGCAAAAAAAAGAAAAGAATCGCTAGTCTGATGGACTTCCAACGAGAGAAGCCTTACTCTTGGGGACCTCGATTCAAGGGACGTTGAGTATCAGGGGGATAGAGCAGGCTGCCAGGGAGATCATCGAGACTCTGCTCAGAGCAGCACCGAGCTATCGCCCGGAAACCTTCAACTACTTGAGCATGTTTGGACTGATTCTTGAGCCCGGCCAAAGGATTCTCAGTGGAACCGTCAGTCAGAGAGATGGGGGCTATCTATCATACATCGCTAGTTCATTGGAGTATGCTCACTGATCTGAGACTGGACTCTCTTCACTTCCTTCCGTAGAAACGCTTTGCCCATGAGGTCAGATTGATTCAGATCTTGTATATCGTCCAACATTTACTCATAGCAACTGTAAGCACAAGAAACTCCTACTGGAAGCATTCCAATAGTACAACGAAAGCTGACCAGACTTTTGGAATCCAAGCTATACATGCCCACCTCGATCTTTGCCTTACGAGGGCTACGGAACCAAGTGACTCCGGAATGTGCGCTGAAGAGAGGGCCAGCAGAGGAAGAAGAGTCGCTGCCGAACTACCAGCTGCAGATCATGACGCTCACCATGAAGACGCCCGGACAGGAGATGGCCAACCAGGAAAAAGTGCGCAAACGGCTGATCAAACAAACATTAATGCTCTATCTGGATACCATCTTATATTGTCCTCCTCTCATGTACATGGTAAGCATTCTTTTCTTCTTTTTTTTTTTGGTTCATCCCACTCCCTCCTCAAAAAAATATTATACTTCAGACGGTGATCATGTGGTTAAAGCTCTCTTACAAGGGAGTCAGCTTCTTTAATGATCCCACGTGGGTTTTGATCGAGCAACTGGTATGACCATGACACTCATTTTGTTTTGGGACCAGAGACTGATCGCCTTTTGTTTTCAGGGCACCCATGGACATACCGCGATCATCGGAAACATGTAAGTCGAAGGATCGAACGAGCCGCTCAGCGTGATCCCCAAGTCTGACAGTGATTAATATATCTAGCATCTTAGCATTGCTCATCAAGAACGCTATCTACACTAACAAGAGAGCCGCCACTTCCACTCTCGCCCCACCCGACATCCCCTGTGAGCTGGAGAGTAACAGGAAGATGAGAGATATTAAGGCAAAGGATTCCTTTTACTCTTGAATGACTCGATCGTTGGTTTGTCCACTGAAGACATGCAGATTCCTGAACTCCGCTGGATGCTCCTTAACATTACATACTCAATTCTGCTGATTTTATCCAATGATACAGTGGTTTTTTTCTCTCGGCATTTCTGTAGACTTGATGCGCCTGTCCGGTGATTGATCAAATTCATCCTCGCTTTTCTCTACTTAAATCCGGGCTCAAGGTATTATACCTCTATGAAGCTATCAGCCAACATTTTAAAATATATTATACATCTTCCCTCAGAATGGCCATTTCTTTGTCTTGAGCCCATATCAGACTCTGCTGCTATACTAGCTGTCTTAATTTTGTTATGTGTTGTTGTTTTCTTTGTTGATGAAAGTCAAGTGATATTTGTGGGCTTGACCCAAAATGAGAAAAAAGACAGTTGGTTGCTTCTAGCTTGTTTTGTATGTACTAGAGAACTGGTTTGCTAATTGATGTTTATGATGTTTTGTCTGATTGCTATTATGCTACATATGAAGTGGTCATCAATGCGCTGAAAGTGGTGTGTGTGTTTTCCTCAGAGGAGTCAACTCAGTTTATGGAAGTTGATGTCCAATATCTTCCGCCCAGACTTGAGTGTGTTTATGATGATGGCTTGTGGACTGAAATCGACGAATAATTCGGAGGCATCTCCATCATCAGGCTGTCCTGGCAATCAGCTCAGCCGAACAGTCCATCCAAACTCAGTCATATATTTATTTCCTCGCCGGTGAGACTTCTTCAGCCAGACTACACACTTTTAATCGTTAGACCGAGTGCGGTGAGACGAAGAACCAGCCTGACTACGAACACGAACCACTTCACCACTCACACACACTCAGACACCAACTCACCGAGGCCGAGAACTAAGACGACGACGACTACTTAAACCATCTTAATCACCAACAACCTACAAACAAACTTCTGCTACTCTCCTACAACTTCCTCAAAATCCAAGACAATCTATCACCACAATCTCCCATTTCAAAAACATGGTGGGTCTCCTCAAATTCAATCAAACGCGAATCAATCACACTTCATTGACCATCCTGAACCGATATCATTTCAGGCTGATAACTTATCCTCAAAGAGCCTACGGAGGATCAACAAGGAGCTCAATTCCCTACGGGCCCAGCCACCAGAAGGAATCAGAGTACTCATCAACGAGGATGACATCACCGATCTCAAGGCCTGGATTCATGGACCAGCTGAAACCCCCTACCACAGTCAGAGCCCCTTACATCACACCCCTCGGATTCCATCATCATCATCATCATCTGACTTCCTCTTATTATTTAAACAGATGGCTACTTCAAAATCTCAATCAGGTTCGGACCCGAATATCCTTCAGCTCCACCCAACTGTCAGTTCTTTCCCGATTTGATTTCGACCTGATGACAGAGGAACTGAATCACCCTCCACACAGGTATCTTTGCCACCAAGATCTTCCATCCGAACGTAGGGCCCAAGGGCGAGATTTGTGTCAACACCCTCAAGAAGGACTGGTCCTCCAACCAGACCCTCACCGACATCCTGACCGTCGTCAAATGTCTGCTGATCTATCCGAACCCCGAGTCGGCCTTGGACGAGGAGGCCGGCAGACTCTTGCTCGAGAACTACGACGAGTATCATCATCGGGCTAAGCTCTGGACTGATATCCACGCGAAAAATAAACCTGCCGGTTTGTTCGAGCCCGATCAATCGTCAGTTTCCTCTCAGCCTATCAAACAATAATCTAGCAAAACATAGAACACTAATAAAAAAAAATCCTACGATTTCAATTCTAGTACAAATACCAGTGAATCAATCCCAACAACAACAACAACAACAACAACCACTACAACAGATCCTAAGCCGATGATGCAACCGTTTGCGAGTTCAAATCAAGTCAACAACAAGCAAGCCAGGCTGGGAGGAACGGCGACGACGGGGACGACAACAACAACAGCAACAACAACAGCAACAACAGCGGTACTGAAGTCGCAGCAGAGCGATGCCGACGACGAGCGAGTCATGAAGGCTAACTCGCTCCTCCCAGCAACAACTAACACTGCCCATCCCATCGACGGCGAAAACTTGATCCCTTCCCCTCTCAGTAATCACCCGAAACAACCGTATCCGATTCCTACTACTACCACTACCACTGCTGCGGCTACTGCCAATCTTAAAGATAAAGATCGAAGGGGCAGGAAACGATTGTGATCCTTTCATCTCCCTTTCTCTCGCTCATCTTTTCTTCCATATCGATCTTTCATCCTCATCCCCATCCCCCTATTTTCTCCTCTAACGTAAAATAATAAAACCCCTGCCCTATAGAACTACACACACACACACATTTGAGATAGTTTAATCAAACACTGCCCTCCTCTCAGCATTTCTGCATCTTTTCCTTTGCTGATCTTCTCAGAACACCTGCAGATATATAATCTCAACAGTTTTTTGATTCCTCCCCCGGATTTCCAGTTTCTTTGTTCCCTCTATTTGAAAAAAGAAAATAGGGTTGTCATGTGCGTGTCTGTTTTTCCTTGTGTTGATTGGTTTGGATTTGGTGGTCAGTTGATACAGTACATGCATACACAAAGTAGTTATTCCTAGGAAGTAATTGATTTAGATCTCCAGCCAGCCGTTGTGAAGGTGAGTATGGAAACCAAGCACATGAAGTGTATTATATCTGCTTGATCGTCCAGAGATGGCAGCAGCAGAGGAGACTACCTCTGCGATCCCTCAAAACTTGTGCACACTGTCCTCTGAATCAGGTTTCTCCTCAATTGTGGAGATCTGAAGGAACCAAACAGGGTTCTGGATTCTGATTGGGTGGGAGAATGCATGGTCAATTCATCATCCAACACATCTGCATTGTAATTGACTATGTAATATAAGTTTTCTCAATTTTTTTATCTATTTCAACTTTTCCTCTCCAAAATCTCCTTGTATTAATACACCCCAAGCTGACTGAAAAATAGTGCTTAAATGGAATAAATGACTGTGTGGATTGACATTGAGAGTTCTGGATTGACAGGAAGAAGAAAAGAGCTCAACCATATTTTTTTTCAGGTGTTTTTGGTGATTTCTGGGACTTTTTTTCTTTCGAATGTCTGTGGATACCCAAGGATTTGGTGAATTGGTATTCGAGGGGCACAAAAATCCTGTTGAATACCACTGGTATGCATTGCAATGAGGTACATGTACCTCTCTGGCTGGAACTAGGGTTTCCTTCCAGTCAACAAGGTACAATTTAGAGATGTCAGCAGGTACCCAGTACCCGTTTGTGGGTATGCGGGTGCAGGTGTCAACATTAATTGGGGTAAAAAAAGGCAGGTACCCGGGTACCCACCTTTCACCCGCCCTGGGAATGCTTCCCCTGAAGAATTTAAATTATCATTGGTAGTCCAACACTCCCTTTTTTGGGTGTGCTGGGCTGCACAAAGGTGGCAGCAACCCATGTAGGACACCGGGTTGCTGAACTAATCTGGTTGCTTTGTTGAGGCCGGAGGCAATGGTGGGCCAGCTATGCTAACTGTAGCGTTAGCGTGGCGTAGCGCAACGAAAATGCACTACTTTGTAGCGTAGCGTTAGCAAAAATCCACCTTTCTGTGCTAATGCTACGTGCAAAGGTCACAAGAGTGTGTTAGCTGTTAGCGTAGTTTTAGCGCAGAAAGTTGGAATTGAGCTAACGCTACGCGCTCAGGGCGCAAAAAAGTGCCCGCTACGCCGCGCTACAGTGCTTTTTAGCGGGTTTTTTGCCTTTTTTGCCGCTAAAAGCACTGTAGCGGTGCTCTAACACTACCCAGAAACAAGCCACCTGTTAGCAGCGGTAGCGGCACGCTAACACTACAGAAAAAAGGGCCTGTTTTAGTGCTGCTACACTAACGCTAAGTGGCCCTTTAGCGTAGCGGCCCACCGTTGCTGGAGGGAGCCTTCCAGCCTTTGAGATGGTGTACAGTCTTGACGACTGGAAGGATCCCTCCAGTCATCAAGAAGGATTTCTGGGTATATTTGCCTGAAAAAAATCCTCCACACCCGCAGGTACCAGGGTACCTGCCCTGGCAGACCTGGCAAGTGCGGGTGTCCAAAATATTGGATTTTTGAGGCAGGTACCCAGGTATGAAGCGACATCTCAAAGGTACATGTACCTTGTTGACCAGAAGGTTGTCCTTCCAGATGGCAAGGTACATGTACCTCACCGGCTGGAAAGCAATCCTCTCCGCCCATCACTCTCAGTCTCTTGGCCTTGGGTATCCCTGGAGATACCCGGATATCCGCCAGGGTTTTGAGGAAAAGCAGCCATCTGCACCCAAATCCATATCCCCTGGTGGGTATGCCCTCGCAGATATCAGGTATCCTCAACGGATAAACCAAGACCATCTCTAGCATTACAGCAAGTTTTAGGCCTTTTTTGCGGCTAAAAAATATCTAGTGTAGCGTAACGCATCATAGTGGCGCCAGAGGCACGCTAAAACTATACCAAAAAATGACCAGTGTAAGCTGGAAGAACCCTGATCTGGTTCCTTAGTCTTTTAACAGCAGTCATGTCATACAAGTCATTGGTAAGGGAATTAAGAGTGATTTGTATCACTTTTGACAGGATTCCAATGGTCTGTAATTTGATGCCAAGCAATGAAGCCAAAGAATAACCTTGCAAGGAGCAGTACAAGTTTATATCTCCTGATTTAATTTTAAACTCAAATCTGATAAGAAATTGAACCTTACCATACAAAGTGCTTTTTGTGCACATGCATCCATGAATTTATTGTGACTTCCTCCCAAATCAATGAGCTTCTTGCTGGTAAAATTTTGGTTTTATTCATCATCTGCAGAAAAAAAAGGGGTTGGATGAAGCCCAAATATTAGCAAGCTTAGCAAGTGATTCAATGTGGGCAGTAATGACAACATCCTACTCCAAATTAGAGCTGTTGGAAATCTTCATGGTCACAACTTGGCTCTAATCAATCGTTTGAATCCAGAACAGATAGATATTAGTCAAGAACCATTTTAAAATGATAGATAGGCAGAGAAGTTTAGATGGAATTGATAACTTCTAACACATGGAGCAATGTCTCAAACTTTTCCCAGTGGTAGTTTTCCCAGAAACCCTATAGTGTAACAATTCACTGCAACAAATACAGTATTTACAATGTATTGGCATGTATTGTTTCATGTATCATGGTCTTGATGTAATTTTTTTCATGACCAATGTGGTTCTATTGAGAGTCTTATTCATATAATCTGTCTCTTTGCCATATATGTTTGTACAATTCCTCATGATACAATCTCTGTATTGTATTTGTTGCAGCATTGAGTGTAACATGTTAAACCATTGGATATTGCATTATTTTGTGAATTTGACATGCATTGTTGAACCAGTCCCAACCTTAATCTGTTAAACTAAACTAGCAGTATTTCAAAAAAATGCATTGTGCTGATGGATGTTTCAATCAGTGTCATGAACAATGAAGATTTGAGAGCATTTTGTTTTTTGGAAAATCTAAAACAAAACTCATATTCATTGGGCAAGACATATGACATTTGTATCTACATATATCTAAAGAAATAGGCACATAGAGCCAAATAATCTGTCATACAATGTAACACTAGCATCAACATTCAGTTCAAATTTTTCTAAATTCCAACATTAAAACCAATACAATTTCCTGTAGTTTTGAATATCAATTTTAATACCCCAAAAGGCCCAGAATTGACCAGGGAAAATAGAGACATCAAAACCACCCCAAAACTGGGGGCAAAGAATAAGAGTCATAAAATGTATTGAACTAATATAAATTCAGACTCTGTCACTTCTCCTGTGAAGTTGCATGACAATTCTTTGTTGCTTTTCTGTTAGACTGATGGGCATACTCCAAGGTATCAATTCAACAGATGAAATATTTGGAAAGCAGTTCTTGAGGAATCTTTCATAATTTGTAGGATATTTGATTCTTCTAGAAGTCCTTTTAAGTGAATTGAAGAAGTTGCTCTGATTGTGGAACACTGTCAGCCACTTCTCTGGGTTTTGTTGGTAGTAATGATATGCCAAGAACCTTGTGGCTGCCTCCAAAATCTTCATCTGTTTCTTGGAACGTTTTCTGTTCTCAATCAGGTTTGGTTCATACTTTTCTCCATTATTTTTAGCATCTAGTGAGGTTATGATCAAATTTTGCATGGTCTTTAATGCTTTTTGAAATATCTCAGAAGAGGATCCACCCAGTGATACTTGATGATCAACCTGATTGAAAGTTAGAACATCAAAAAATCTTCTGTAGCTGTTCTTGTTCTTTCATATAGAAATACCCAGAATCATCATGACCCAGTGATTCAATCAGCTTTGAATTCAAAATCCAAAGGATTTTTCCAAAATGTCCTATCTGATCATCAGAAATTTCTGCAAAAAGACACCTCTCATGAGTATTTCTCAATTCTTTCAGCTTTTTGAAGATAAATTCCATATTGAATCCTTCTGGAATTTCATTCCTTTTTTCTGAATGATTTACAATCAAACCAACATCTTTCCAGGTAGATGGAATTTCTTCTTCATAATGGTTATTCCATTCCTCCTGGAATCGGGGGATTTCGAATCCATGTTCTCTTTTCATGTGATATGGATGTTTTGTATTTTTATGTCTTCAACATACCAATCTAGAACTGAATAAAGCCTTTTTTTGAATGGCTCAAGTAATTCTTCAATGGCAGAAGTGTTATGTTTGAGAGGATTCTTCCATGGGAGAATTGTAAGACTCAGAAGAGGGTCAACCTTTTCCATGTCTTCTACAATATTTTCAATGTACAATTTTTCAAAGTTTATTCTTGAAATATGTAAAAAGAAGCTTCCCTCAGCTGAGAATATCTTCCCCCATTTATCAGGGTAGTTTGATCTATAGTAGTAAGCCAACAGTTTTGTGACTGCTTCAGTAATCAATGACTGCCTTTCAGAAATCACACCTATCTTCTTTTTATGTTTAGCCCTCCTTTTCTGTATGATATAAATTTTCTGGGGCTTATCCTCCAAAGAAAAATATTCAGAGATAATTTCAATCATTTCTTCCAAATTAGCTTCATTTTCGCGGTCTTCTATGTTTTGACTTGGCCCACCTATTTTAATTGATTCTTGCCTTTTTTCAAGGATTCCAAGAAACCAATTATGAACTAAATCAGTTTCCTCTAGATATCCCTCTGGTGATAGGTTTCCAAGGCTTTTCAGGAATCTCAGGTTTATCAACCAAATCAGGTCGGAAAATTGAAACAAAAATTGACCAAAATTTGGAATTTTTTCCACTCTTCCCATGGGGAAACATTCCGCTTTGATAATTTCATGAATTTTGGGCCAAAGAGATTGGAAAAACTTTGAAATTTTTGTCATGTTTTCTGATTTTAATTTCTGCTCATCTGATTTGGCTACACAGAGTATACTTCCACAGATCATTGCCCAAAATTTGTTTGGGTCCTTATTTTTGTTATAATCATCCGGCTTTCTTTGATTCACATTGAGTTTTGAGTTTCCATCTTGACCTCCATGTATGTTCAAAGGTGTGAATATAACTTCTTCTGTTGACTTTTGTTCAGATTTTCTCAAATTTTCCCCAGATTGAGAAAGCATGGGTCTAACAGATCTGGGATCATTTGAAGACACTGAAAGGGAATGGCCCTGTTCCATCTTATGAAGAGCTTCATCATGTACACATATTTTATGATTAACCGCTGGAGGAGTTACCAACATCTGGAATTGTGGAGTGTCAAAACTTTGATGTGGAACTTCAAAATAACAAACAAGAAATAGAAAAAAGAATAAAACAAATTAATTACAAAGTGGATCAGATTTTCTTTAGTTACAGTCAGAGCATCAGAATGTAGTCAAAGCAACAAACCAAAATTCTTATCTGGGTTAATAGTGGGTGCTTCCAATGTTACCCCGAAAAGTTTTTGCCTTTTGGGGAATACCTCTGGAGGATTCAGGGATAGACTCAGTTGTAATTGGGGACCAGGACCTAGATAAAACCTTTAATTTCTGGTTTTATAAAAATAGCAATTGATGCAGCAGTCAATTTCACTTACTATGTTCAATTTGACTATTGTATTGAACAGGCTCCACAGTGCTCTCATGTTGATTGCTATGCAGATGTAAATTTCTTGGCGCGAAGGGCTCCTCTGATTGATGAAAATTTAGTTGTCTCTTCTTTGAAATTCCTGGAGGAAAAGTTGGGTTTAAAATGTACAAGTTTAGTAGACTGTGCTTGAATTCAGGGAAGGAAAGACAAATGGTTATTATGACCCACCAAAGAAATCAGTTTCTCTTGCTTGGACGTTTGAAGATGAGCCTGGCTGAAATTCATTTTGTGTTTCCAGTCCTTCAGTCAAAGCTTGATGTCCAATCACTAACAGCATTTGGCCGTAGTTTTGGAGAATTGAGAGAGGTACGGTTTCAAATTACTGGATCAGCACCAGGAAGCAGATTGAGTTGGCCAAAAAAGTGGGGAACGGGCACAAACTATTAGCTTGATTAGAATCTCCTAGTCGATAGATTTCGCTTGAGGTCCATCTGGGTATCATCGGTGGGGGATCTGAGTTCCTGCCTCCCAGCGAGAGACTTAAATCGAGCCCAACAGGTTCGCCCAGGAAATCGGGATCTCTAAAGTGATAGTGAGATTAGCTTATAGCAGCACTGGAGCCAGGGGTTGTCTGCGACTCAACCTGTGCCCATAATTATATGCTTCTTTTCGGTCGAGTTCAATCAGCTTGCCTGGAGGGGCTCCCGATTTGACCGCAAGAATGTTCACATGAGCCAGAAAGGTAGCCAGTCGTGTTTTCCAATTAGTTTGCATAACTAAGGGCTCTTCAAAGAAAGCGTAGGTGTGAAGTATCGAGCTGCTGTTTCTTCACTCATATTCTCCTCCCCTGCCTTACCTTTAAGACTGGAAGTTGGAACCCTGCCGGACCGGGGTTTGTTGTATGTATGATCATGGCACACAGATTACAGCGGATTCTTGTTTGATGGGCATTTGGGTTCTACTTACTCACGAACTTGTATCAAATACGGTAGCGCCGCAGGCTCACTGGGTCAGGCTTCCAGCCTCAGCACATCCATCATGTCACATCGGCTGACAAACACAACAATTTGTTCAACCAAGAGCTCGAGGGATTCTTGCTGGAGCTCTGAGGCCATGCAAGCGTACCTTGGTAGATTCTCGAGCGGTGTCAAATTACATCTCCGTGGCTGGATTCAGAATCACATTAGGTTGGAGAACATGAAAAATGAATGATTACAACAAAAGGAAGTTTGAACCGGTCCCATTCCATAGTGAAAGCAAGGAGAAATGTTGAAGAAGTAGAGTCCATGAATAATGACAGCAAGAAATAAATTGAAGGGTAGGCTCGGAATGTAAAATAGATAATGTAATCGCAAAGAGTTTAACTGTGGTATTTCCTCCAAAGCGAAATTGAAAAGCACTAAAGAAAATCTAACCGAAAGAGTCGCTCGTGTCAATTATCTTCATTCGCAGCTATGTATGCCTGAACAAAGGATCAAAGAAAAGTCAGCCATCCAAATAAAAAAAAGGAATTTTCAGGAAATTTTGATCCCATGGGAGGGATACGAACATCTTGATCGGCTCGAAAGCCTAAGTAAGCGATGCAAACCGCTACCCAAAAGGCGCAATGGAATTCATTCTGATTGACATCGTCAATGCCTTCGATCAGTTTGAAATTCAATGAGTTTTTCAATCGGATCTTCAGGATTCCATTGTTGTGGATTCCAAAGACTGAGTTCTGATCTTCATAATCTATCAAAATCGTCGGATCGATTTCTACTGTCTGATCGTTGATGGTAGTAGGTTGTAACGGTTTAGCAAAGCATTGAAATTTCTGATTGCTGTTTGTGAACAAGCTCGTGAACGATTTGAAAAGCGTTTGATCTTTGACGTCTTCTTCAACAGGCTGTAAATGTATCAAATCTTCTGTTGTTGGACTTGGTGCTTGCTGGTCATGAATAGGTTTCAAGCGGTTTGGGGATTGAGGTGAGCTTGAAACCGATGGGTTCCTTCTTTTGATTGATGAATCGGTGCTATCCTTCCTGAGATGTCCATTTCCAACTGGTTTGTCAGGTGTCGTCTCGTGAGATAATGTTGGTAACCGGAAGGTGAATTCGACTCGTTTATTCTTGCCTTTCGTCACCTTTTTCGGTTGGAGAGCTATGAAACTTTGCGGATTTGAATCCATTGGCGATCGCAAGACCAGATACCATCCTCTAATTGGTCTGAGTTTGCAACGAATTTGGGAGAGATTGGAAGCCTGTCAGGTCGGTTTCCTGAGGAGACACGAGAAAAAGAAATCGATGAATGTACCTGCGTATTGTCCATAGAGTTTCCCCTGATGAATCCTTGCAAGGGTGAAAAGTCATCCCAAAGTTAGATTCATTATGCTGGCCTGCTTTGTCTCTTTAGCATTTGAGAATAGTTGAGGGCGCTTACTTGAATTCCTTCGACTATTTCGTCATGAGTCAGTTCTTTGTACTTGTTTAATAATTTCAGGCCAAATAGTCAAATCAGTATCATGCGGCTCGAAACAAAAATCGTGAGGCAAGGAAGAAAAAAAAAGGAAAGAACTCAAGAAACCGATTTGAAGATCAAATGACCATCTGGATTTTTAACCTCCCAACAGAATTTTCCAAGCTCGCTTTCAAACCTAAAAAACTCAACTCCGAACGAGTATAAATAAATGAGTTTGGCAACGTTTTCTTATTTGAGATTAGTGACTGACGTTGTGATAGAGTAGTTGATGGATGACTGGTGATAGTCAGTGTGGGTCTGTTCCGAGCTGGTGGAGGTTGAACTGCTGGCCATCGTTGTTGTTGGCAATCGGTTTCTCGGAAGTTCTCCTGTTGACCGTTATGGCAAAAATTATCTGTTACGATTAAGTTATGTGTTAACACAGTCTGGGGCTTAAGTCCATAGATACAAAACTACCTATCACCATACATACATAAAAATAATACAGCAAAATTCTGCAAGTCACAATCCTGATTTTAATCAGGTTTTGGCAAATGTTGACCACAAAAAATGGTCACATCAAAGAAAAAGAAACGTCGAAAACAGGCAAAATCCATCTTTGTAGTCGGCCTCTGTTGCCTTCCCTTCTGAAATGTCTCAACATATGAGCAGTTCCTAACTTCCCCTGGTTCGGCAAAGCGGGGCGGCGGCCCGCATGGCCTCCAAAAGTCCCACAGCGGCAACATAACTTCCATGCTTCAGCGATTCAGAGTCCCCAGTAATGATCTTGTCCTCACAGGGAAATATGGGGGGAAGGCAAGAGTCAGTTGGCTTTGGAGCTCGGGCTCCATCGCCAGCAAGGCGGTGCATAGTATATATTCTCATATTTCATTAAAATGACCACATTATTAGCCTTTAAGGATAGCCCCTCACTACCAGGTAGAGCTTTGAGTTATTTGACTCATACAAGCACTGAAATGATCCGAGGAATCTGATCGGCAGGCAATCTGCAAAATAAAATTGTGGCCGTGTTCATACCAACATTGGCTATGGTTCAATAACCTGGGGCGATGTATGTATCCTGCCAATGCCTCCCTGTATGTATGACCATACCTCTCCAGTCAACTTTAATTCTCCGTCCTTTCCGTGTGTTGAAGTTCTCTAAATTATGTTTTTTAATTACGTACATTGCCTGTTGTCGGATGTTGCCAGACAGGTTCTGTTGCCTCAGGAAACTTGGGTCTTTCCATGAATACACCGTCATCGATAAGGGTGACTTGATTAAATTCATAACGTAAGTTATCAATCCTAGTGGCCACATGGTTTCCATCCCCAGTCTCGGGTTTCTGCGCTGATAAAAGATGAGAATTGGTGGATGGACATGGATTTGCTGTATGGAGGGGGGGGGGGGGGGGGAAGCATGAGCCATTCAGCCTTCCTAGATGTGCATCCGGTTGCATGCACACCCAGTGCAAGTGAGACTCCGGTCAAGTAAATATGTATCAACTTGACCACCTTCGCGTACAGAATGGAAACATGTTCAAAATTCCGGGCGGCCTCGGTGAGCAAGGTTCTCCGTTGGCCATAGCCACCATTTGAATGGTGGGGATCGAAGGGCGGCGAAGAGGGACAACGGTTCAAGAATTCCGACGCCATATCTGTTCATGCCAGATAGTGACGGTTGACTTCACACTACACCCGCTGTAACAGATACCGAGACCCTGAAAAGAGACCGAGAAGACCCTGACCTGGCGAAGCCAAGGCCAGGGCTGGCAGTCCATTAATCACCCCTTCACCATCCCATCAACATGACAATTGGGGCAAACTCAGCTGTATAACAAAATACTCCAATTGGATAATAATCTTTCCGAGTGCCAAACCCAAGCTTTCAGCCCTTCCCTCGGTCAATCTCAAGGCAAACCTCCGCTTGATTAGCAGGCTCCGTTGAACCCCACGACCCCCCCAATGGCTATTGCATCTCTTACAACAGTTTCTTTCAGTACCTCTGCCACGTAGTTCAGGAAGTGAGCTCATTCTTCTATGCTTCTCCATGCACTATCATCATCCATCACATTCGGCATTTGGAATATCAGATCAACTTCCTTCCCATAAAGCAACAATATCGGAGGCCGAGGTCCACCAATACGCTTATTCTCATGGTCATGAGTGTGAACCTCAAGATCCTAAATAACAAACGAACAATCAATTCTCCATCAGTGCTCACAGAGGAACCTAAAGTACATCATCAAACAAGACAGTCAGAACAGCTCAAGTTCCAAACTAGCCACCCTCTTCTCACTCGGTACCCCGTCAACATAGCTCCGAGTCCTGCGGTTTTGGACACGGTGGGTACCCCTTCTGGCAAAGTTTCGCTTGCCTTGCGAGCCCGTCACGAAATAGCCAGGAGGGCGAGGATTGAGGACGCAAGGAAAGTTGATCCAGGTAATATTACCACCACAGACGATTCTTTGAAATCAACACCCGTCCAACCATCCACTGAACCTCCCCGGGAAAAAGATTTCCATTCCCAAACAAGTGGCAAGTGCCACAACCCCAGCATCCAACACCAAGCCTACTACTTTTGCCGACAATGTCGCCAACCCAAACACAAAACCTACTCCTCCCGGCAGCACTACAGCCAATCCACCCGCGAAGGCACCGGCTGTCGATCCCAATCCTCCAATCACCAATTCTCGTACTCCTATCAACCCAACTCCCTCCGCCCCTCCGAATAATACTGCGCCAGCAAAGTCGGCCCTGCCGCCTTCAACTGCAGTGACACCCCTAACCCCGACGCCGGAAGCAAGCCCGGAAGCAACTGCCAAAACAGCGCCATCAGGCACCGTGATTGCCAACAAACCTGCAGTTGAGAGTTAGTACCGAAGCTCAGCTAAAACATCCTCACATGTATTGTCTATCCAGCTTAACTCACCCCCCCAAAAAAATCGCTCTTCTGTTTCGTATTATCTTTTGGAACCAACAGGTGTTACTCCCACAGCCCCCACCACTCCGCTTGTCCCCTCACCAGCTGCCAATGTCACAGCGCAAAGAGAAGTCACTCCGCATAACCACACAGAGAGTGCGAAGGTAGAAGCCGTACCACAAGGTTCCTCGAAAGTGAATACAAGCCAGCTTACTTCGATCGCCATAGGAGTTGCCTGCGCAGCTTCCCTCGTAATATTCGCCATCCTGGTTGTGATTTTCAAGATCAGAGTCTGCAGGAAAAGGGCACGCCGGACGGAGAAATTGGGAGACGATTTCTTTGGTTCCCAAGACCGCCTAAGTTTTTCTGACAGTGCCGGTAGTAGTCGCAAGTCCCTCTTCCTCGTCCCGCGTCCGATCGGCAACAAATTCCCCGAATCAGCCCAAGAGAAGCCTGCTAGCACCTTTGGGAGCCCAAACCACGCCGGCATTGGTGCTCACTCCCCGCAGATTCAATCTCTAGCCGATGCCCCGAGAAATCATTCTCCAAGCCCTCTGACCTTACAAACCCACTCGAACTACGTGCCCCCTCGACCGCCACGATCCCCGTTGCGAGCTCAAACTGTCCAGAAGCCGGATGCCTTCTACCATCCGCAAAAAGCGTATGCCGGCTCGGAACATTACACCCAAGATAGCCAGTCGATGTACTCGATACCCGCAACAAGAGCGCAAGCTAACGCGCCCGAATTCTATGGCCAGCCGACTCACGAGTACGAATATGCGATGGAATATCTCGAGAACTATTATCCGGATAACTATGAGAGTTCGGCCTACACTTCCAACGTCGACCCACCCGGCCCTGCTGGACTTGCAAAGAACCACAAACCAGAGATGATCGGAATGGAGTTCATGCAAGTCGAGGATCGGCCCTACGACCATCGCTACACCGTCGACCGCAACGGAGTCTTGAATAATTATACCCCCTCGATCCCCTCGGTCCCTGTTCCCCGAGAAAGCGATTACTTTTACAAGAAAAGAGTCTCTTGAAACTCTCCATCTTTCGACTATTCATCATCAATCTAACCCGCAAAAACAACAAACAAAAACCCAAAACTAAAAGATTCTGCCCTAGTGGGAAGCGAGAATCGTGTATATAGATCATCAATATCTTTATCACAGTATAGCTATCTTTCGAGCGAGTCTGCGACTGTGAAAAAAGCTAGAAAGCGAACACTCGGCTCCCTGATTGATTTGCAACCCACCTCGCTTTTTTTTTCTTCTTTCATGAATCCCCCAAAGTTTTTTTTTCTTAAATTAATCTGAGTCTCATCCATGTAAAATCTAGCCTTAAACTTATTACTCGAGCAGAACAAAATCGTCCGATCAGTACCCGCGACGAATGATACCGTTACTGAAACATCATCAACTAGCAAAACAAAACAAACAAAAACACATTTATAAGCTATTCACATCCTTTCTTCAAGTGCTTAGATAGTCAACCGATCATCAATTATTTTTTGTTTGTTTTGTTTTGTTTTGTCGAGCTTTTTTTTAACAACAGAGAGTAGTAAGAGTTCTCATAGCTGCATTAAGTCTTCACCTATTTCTTCTTCTTTTTTTATACAAATTGATTATTATTGTTTTCCATTTCTTGTCTTCTTGCTGAGTGTTCTTCGTTCCAATGTAGCCTTTTCGTATGATATGCGTCGGTATTCTGATGAAACAGTTCAATAGTGAAGCTCGAAGCTAGATAATGCTCATTATTATATCAAATCTCCGAGGCGCATCTGGTAGTTGGGTTCTTTTTTTGTCTTTTACAGTGTTTTATGCTTTGAAAACTTGAGTGGTTTGTTTCTTGAATTATCCCAAAATGAAATACATGGTGTTTCGCACGTAATAACTCGTTCTTGGCTTGGTTCTCTTGTTGCCCCCATGACCCCCTGCCTGTAAACATTTTTAATGATCCGCATGGCTTGTTATGTGAATCTAGGAAGGCTGTAATTTTGGTTTCTTCTTCAGGCAGTACATCTCATTCCCCACAATTTATCCACTCGTCACAATTCAGTAGTGTGCTTCATGGACCAAGAAAGAGGTGTTTTATTTTGCTAATGGGTGGCATTGACCAGGAAACATGTAGTTTTGCCCAAGAAAGAGGCGGTTTTTACCAAGTGGAAGGTGGCTTTTACCAAGTGGAAGGTGGCTTTTACCAAGAAAGAGGTGGGTTTCAAAGCTCACGCTGCAGGAACGGCTTGAGGAACATAGTAGAGGGGTTTTTGAAAGTACGATAAAACCGGCAAATGGAAATAGAAAACTTACAATTTACAAGAACGACTGAGAGAAACCTAGAAGACGACATGAAACGAGTGGATTGTGAATGCATAAAAGAACGTATAGGTAGCAACACAAGTTGTTTGACAATACAACGCAATAGGGAGATAATTGATATGGAGAATGGCCATGCAGGTTTGTGCGGGAGGGGGGAACATCGAGTTTAGCAGGAAAGGAATGAACATAGCCTAGCCGGTTCCTTCCCCCCATCGCTTTTAGTTTCAACAGTCATAGGGGGCACGAGATAGATAGCACAAGCAGAAAACAAAATGAGGAATTAAGATCACGCTCTCTCATCCCATTTTTACAGCTAATGTATTTAGGTTGGGCAAAAGAAGGGAAGGTGTTCCAAGAATAAAAAGTTGCATCGAGGCTGGAAGGACTGCCGAAACGAAATACATGAAACATGGAAAAGAGAGCTTATGGAGTGCTTAGAAGATTGGATTGTGAGGTGTGCCAGTCGTCCCTGGTGATGGAACGCCGCTTGGCCGAGGACGGTTCAGGGAAAAGAGCAAGGAGCGTATTATTTGAAGAGGTATTAAGATTCTTAGGACGACCAGTTCAGGTGGGGAGATTTCCAGAAGGTTAAGTGGGACACGATAGATAAGGGTTGAAAGAGAGGTGAATACAAATCAGCTTTTGAATGGATTGGTGTTGATTCATCTCAACATTGAACCGTTTTCACAGAGTCAGGGGTTTTTACCAATCCCACAAAGCTCATCAAGAGAACGAAAGCGCATGATCCAATTCGAGGAAGAGTTGGGCTTCCCGCTCGCCAAGAAAACTACTATTGCGGTGCGGTTTGTTGACAGAATCGGGAGGCTGAGAAGAGTCTGATTTCCGGTCGGCTAAGATCTCTTGGCTGGCTGTGGGACGCGCGGGGGTATTAGGAGCTTCTTCGCCGGCAGTTTTCCAGCTCGGAGCTAGTCCAGACTTTTCGCTCGTGTCGGTCGCACTGGTCCGCTTGATGCCTGACAAGCAGTCTTGTGGCAATACACCCGTCCGTGAACTTCCTTCAGCCCCTGGATGTTTCTCGAAATCCAAGTTTTCTCCTAGACACCAGCCGTCGTCAAAGAGCATGAAGACTGTCACTCGATCCCCAATCTAAGGATGATGAATAGAACACAGTGTGCAGACACAAGATTCCCACCCGGATCAGGGTTTTGGAAAGCAAGCTCCATGGGAAGGGGAGATGAATCACTTACACCAATCTTCAGCTCATCCGGCATTGTCGGAGAAAACGTCCGGGTAACTGTGCAATTCATTTTACAGGCGACCCCTCCCTTAAGACTGTCGCCGGTCGTATTGCCTGGGTCAGAGGTGTTGGAGTCGTGAGCATGAGCGCGGACTGATGTAGTACTAGGGCGTGGCGGAGAAGGTGCAGCAAATGGCGGTAGCGTTGGACCGGGTCTGGACTCCTCTCTCCGTAATGCAAAATTGCTCAGGTCATCGTCCATCTGAGTGTAAGAAGATTTCAAGTAACTCGAAAACCTGTGCTTCTCAGACATATTTTCCATCTGATGTTGTGGATCCACTGAGCCGATTAGCTGGCTATCATAGGAAGTCCTATTGTGAGCATGGCCTCGACGCCCCCTCCTCAACAACCGGTAGGTAATTATTGCTGCTCCTAGAAGGACGAGTGCAATAGGCAACACAACGGCGAGGACTATGGGTGCCGCTGAAGTTGAGTCATCAGCCTTGTGATGGATTTCACTATGGGTCCCGTTGGTAGTCTGTGGGTTGGAGTCTGGTAGATTGGCAGATGGAACGTGGCTGGGAACAGCAACAACGATTGATGAATTAGATAGGTTGAAAGGATGATGAGGGACCGGCGAAGAGGTGGGATGGTAGTCGTCAGCTGTCTGAGGCGGAGTCGCCGCGGCTTCAGATAGAAGAATTTAACACAACTTTATGGTTAGTGAAATTCAAAATGATATTTGCGCAGATGAACGTAAGCACTTACCCGCTGGAGAACTGGCTGTAGAAGGCGGTGCGGAGCTTGCTGCAGAGACTCCTGTCTCTGGTGGAGCGGGCGCTGGAGCGGGAGCGGTTGCCTGATTAGCTTGAGGCGGTGGGTGGTGTGGCTCGGGGGGTGGAGGTGGTGCAGATGCGCTGGGTGCCGGATGGGCTGTGGGAGGTGATGACGATTGATTTTAGAAACAGAATGGCCAACGGGAACTACGCGCGTACGAAGTGGGAAAGGTGCTTACCAGGTGGTGGCTGGTCTCCACCAGGAGATGAGTTGATGACTCCGGCAGGCGGCGGTGTCACTGCCCCACCTGCTGAGGGCGCCTGCACAGGGTATGTTGGTGCTGGACCGGTGTTTGCTGGTGATGGACCGACATATGCTGATGCTGGACTGGTATTTGCTGGTACTGAGCCAGTGTTTGCTGATGCTGAACCGGTGTTTCCCGGTGTTGTGCCAGCGTTTGCAGGGACTGCATCGGGGTTTACCGGAACAGGACCGGAGTGTACTTGGGGCGGACCGGAGTATGACGGTGATTGGCCGGACATTGAAGAAGATTGACCCAAGTCATTCTGGTTTGGCTTTTGAAAGGCGGGGTAATTTGTTGATGGATAGGAGTTGGTCAGTTGACGAGGGAGGATGACAGCGGCCCGTGGAGATCGACCGAGCCTGCTGTGCCTTTGGTGGGTTTGAGCAGTGGGTCGGTCGTGAATCAGATCTTTGTGCTGAATCTGAAACAGCTGAAGCCGGTTCTTAGAGTCGGTCTGGGTGGTAATGGCACTGTGACGAGGAGTGCTTTGCCACTCTGAAGATTGGTCAGGCAACAGCAAGCTACTCTGGGTGCTATATCCGGTAGATTTTCTCGTCGGCCGCGCGTGACTCTGATGGGCCATACTGGATCTGCCGTCATGATGATGGAAGCGACATGGTAAATCAAAATCAGTCCCGAAAATGGCCGAGAGGTTCGGGAGTTGCGGCACTCACCAAATTCGGGTGTAAGACGACGAGGATTGAAGGATTAATTTAAACGGAGCCTATGCACAAGAAAGTTCACAATTTTGTCCACCGGAATCAACGCGTTGCACCACCACTGATTCTTCGCGTTGGAACTTGGTAGGGCCGTTTAAGGAGCTTTGGAATGAAGAGAGAAGAAGGTACGAGACTGCAGCAATTGAATATGAACAGGATTAAAACTAACGAGCGAATGCAGTTGTGCTTGGATCAAATCCTTTCCCTGTAGTATAATGTGGAGCGGAATTGTGGTTCCTAGCAGCGACTGCTATACACTGATTATTGACACTGGGACGAAGAATTATGATAGTTTGACGAAGAATTATCGATTGCCACTGTTTCGCGGACTCCTGGGGCTGGGGGAGAGTGCTTCAACCTTGCGTGTTGGACGGCGAGCCGGCAGCAACATGGGGGTCAAGGTAGGTTTGGCATCCATCCGAGAGCTGTCTACAAAGGGAAAACCGAGTGGAACCCAAACGAGTTGACGAGCGTCTCACATCTTACCTCAGACAGAACTTGACGGATGGGCGACTTTGACACGTTTTTGTGACCGTGAGAATCGTTAAAGATTCGGAATGTTCACGGCTGTTTACGGCTGAGTGAGGCCGAGTGTGACAACAGATCACCGTCTCGGTGAAAAAAACACGTCAAACGATTTTTGGGTACGTAGCGAATTCTGCATCTGATGGAAAGATGGCTGATGGTTGCCTCCGGTTGCCATGACTCGGTGGAGAGCTGATCGGCCCACTTTTACGTGTAGGGCATTTGAGAGCTTGATTCTCTGAAGGCAGATTTGATGAACATTTGCGGGCGGAGGATGACGCACTTGGGCCATCCCGGCTGATTCCCAGTGCACTGAGCAGGGGGGGTAAACGGCATGAAACATGCGCTAAAACATGAACGAGTTGGTTGACTCGCCGACGTGCCTGGCCAGTGGTTCCGGGGGAGGTGCGCCTTCGCCGGTGCTTGCCAGGATGCTTTCTGGTTGCCGAATATGGAGTAAGCACTGTTTAAGCTTGACACGCTTGAATCCGCTGGATATGTACAAGATGCCCGGTTTATCGGCTGGACGAGCTACACATTCAATGTGCACCTTCGATCGCTTAATTATGTTCGATCGGTTAATTACAGCTTCAGTACTGCGATGGACGGCGTGTTCGGCCGGATAAATCATAAGCTTGCCGAAGTCACTCCGGCTTGATATCCACTTCGCAAGCTCCGGCTGCTAGTCCCAGTCGGAGTATACTAGCCGCAAGAGGCTAGCGAGGGTACAGACATTATGAGCAAAACATGAGGAATCAATTCAGCGCGCCCCAGGGGCCAGGGAAGGGAAGCTGTTTGTCGGTGACGGACGAGTGCCGATGAGGTTCCCGATGCCAGATAAAATTGGGAATGTCCAGAAATCTGTAAATATGGAGTTGGTTGAGTTGAGTTGATGGTGGTCAAACCATGTGATTGAAAATGGATGGCCATCAGAGTGAAAAATAAAGTTACACTACTGAGCTTTGGCTGATAAGATAATACATATTTCAGTGGATGGGCAGGGGGAAAGGAGCCCCAACTTCTACTGTTGACCAACTTCAAGATGCAAAGAATACTCAACCAATCACCATCCAAGTCATCCTCACTACCACCAACCAGCTCACCAACATACTCCCAACAACAGCACCACAGACAGGATAACAGGCTCAGACAGCCAGAGAACAACCAACAGTCAGATCGAAACCGCTCACTCCAACAAGAACCTACCAGCACGAATCGATCGCCAAGCAGGACCAAGAATCCCCAGGATCAGGATGACTCGAGCAGCAACATGAACATGATCTGGATCAACACGATGAAGAAGAGACATCGCCTACTCCAACGACTCAGTCTACCCCCCCAAGACTCCTCCAGTCGACCAGCATCCACCAATACTCACAACAGCCCAGACTCATCCGACAAGGATCGCGATTCGGACTCCAACTCGACCCCTAAACGCGCCCCCTGCTCAACCACTACTCTCGACTCGGCCAACAAGATCCTTATCGCCCCCTTGGTCCCTCCACTCGGTTTCGCGATGGTAGCTCCCGGCGTCTATCGGTACCTCATATCCGCTTGTTAATTTAAAGAAAAAAAAAAAACAGGAAAAACAGATACCCAGCACACTCATCCTAATTGTTTCCTTGTTCAGTTCAGGACATCCGAATCATTGCAACTTCGCTTTCCTCGATGGTCTTCAACTCAAATCAATCATGTTTGTGGACTATCTTCGTTCAAAGAGAAAGGAAAACAACTCTTGCTCATCAGACACGGCTTGTTTACAGGTACATTTGCGTGGACTCATATCGACCCCATACGTTCAATTGGGCCCAGGACAGAGGACTCAAGATCTTCCATTACCGGTAAATAAGCCATCCAAATTCCATTGATAAGAGAGAGATGGCAAACTGTGAAGAAAAAAAAAGAAAGCTTAAGCGAAAGGAGAGTGTACGACAGGATTGATTCGTACAAGCAGCCACACAGCGCGACGAGTGATCCGACCGAAAGAGGGATCTATGCATCCGCCCTCGAGCAGATCCTCGACCGGCGCAACCTGCCCATCCTCGTGCATTGCAACAAGGGCAAGCATCGGGTGGGCACGCTCAGCGCATTGCTCAGGATCATCCAGGGCTGGGACACCGTCGCAGTCCGGGCCGAGTGGGACAAGTTCCTCGGCGAAGGCGCTCCTCCCGGGAAAAATATGATCTGGAGCCCCGGCTTGGTCTTCATCAATAACAACCATAACAATACCTGCATCCAAAACCATCCGGTCGTTCCCGCCCGGGCCTCAGAACCACTCCTCTCACTCGACGCACTCGGCCCTCCTCCTCAGTTATCCACCCCTACAAAACCTTCTTCTTCTTCTTCTTCTCAACCCCAAAAAATCAAAAATAAGGTCGCTGATGGCTTGGCACGCATCAGCGAATGGGAGGTCAGCTCCTCCCCCCCTTTTTTTCTACTCTCTCTCTCTCTCTCTCTTAGGTCTCATGCTCATCTGATTCTCCACTTCTTTTCTCATGGTGTTGCATCCACATAGTATGTCGAACAGTTCCCTATCGAACTTATTCAGGTCGATCCTGCTTGGATCCCCTCCTGGTTACCTATTGAATCAATCCAAAAATGATAGTAGCTTCATCTGTCCTACCATCACTTTACCAGGCTATCTTTTTTTTTGAAAAAATGGACAGTTCAAATCACATTACTATTCTCTTTTGAGTTTAGTTGTATAATAGACATTGTAAATCACATTGATAATTCTGATACACTTATCTCCTTCATTGCCTGATTAAAGATATGAACATTTAAGGGTACCAAAAAAATTGGTTAGATGTATACAGGAATCAACTGACATTGATGTAATCACATGGGTAAGTAGATCAGGAGGCTAAATCGTGACCTTTTTAAATTGTTTGTCATCAAAAAATGGACATGTATGTATATGTGACTAATCGGTCAAAACCAATCTCAATCTCTCTTAACTTGATGGGCTACATTTCAAACATCAAGTCCTTCTGGAGATGCAGGCTGAGAAGAGGATCAAATTGTAATGAATGAAGTAAAAAAAATGGAATAGAAATTATAGAAGGATCTACAGTGACAGAGCATGTCCATCAAGACCTTTACCAAAAAAAACAATCAAGCTATCATCTGTCTTGGTCGGTATGTAGCATGTTTCTCTTGATAATGATATGCAGGTCAAGAGGATGAGGACTAACATTGGAGGGTTGGGGATGTCCATGTACAGACCGTAACAGCTGAGAGCTTCCTATGCCTCAAAAGGGTGACAGCAGTCCAGGAACCATGTCCGGAGACGCCGTTCGCTGTGTGTATGCGCTTCCCAAGGACCTCGACCCACTCGACCGACTCCCATCCAACCAAGGGCGCTCATCGGCCGTCCACAATCTGGTCAGCGCTTTCGGTCTCCTCCGCGAGGAACGAACAGATGGACAAGACGACGAGCCTCCCAAGAACCGAGCAAGGGTGCTGTCGACTAAGCTTGCCTCCCGCGCCGAGCTCGAAGAGTTTCATGATCCTGAATACGTCGGTTCGTTCTCAGTCAGCACACGCTCTCTCTTTCTCTTTCTCGGAAGCACTTAATTATGTCTGGCGATCGAGCTCATCCTGGTTTTGATTCTTGCCCCTATCTTCCTATCAGGCTCGTTGTTGCGAGGCTACGATGATCCAAAGATTGATGCAAATAACGAGCAGGATCACAGAAGCTCAGATCTCAAGCGGAATCCTGAAATATCCGATGCGCATTTCCGAAGTGAACACGATGAAGAACTTGAAGAGTTTGGTCTAGAGCATGTATGGATCCGTCTTGGCCATCTGCCCTCCAATCGATTGACACTCTTACAAGCCACTGATCTCGAATCTCTCTTTTTCTCCCAGGACTGCCCGCGTTTTTCCAAGATGGCACAATACGTCTTGGCCGTGGCAGGTGCGGCGCTTGAAACTTCTCGCGAGCTACGCGAGGATCGGGCGGATATCGGGATAGTGTGGGATGGAGGCAGGTGAGGAGAATCCCATTAATTCAACTGCCGGGACAGTCTCGAAGAATTAGGCACCGGATCTATTGAAGTGGGCTTGTGGGAAGTAGCCCGGTTGAGGAAACCGCGACCTAAAAGCACCTATTTGACCTGTTTCCTCCTGCTAGACATCATGCGCAAAGGTCAGCTGCCGCCGGCTTTTGCTATGTCAACGATGCCGCCCTGGCGATATCTGAGCTCCGTCGACAGCCCACAAACAGAGCACTTAAGAAGCTTGATCGAGTCTTATATTTGGATATGCTGGACATCCATCATGGGGATGGTGGGCTTGTCTGCTTGAACTACTTGCGCAACAAAAACTTACCTGCAACGGTCTTCCTGCTCTTCCACCACCTCCGCAGGCGTCGAGTTAGCTTTTTGGAGTACCTCTCGGGTTCTGACGATTTCCGTCCATCATCATGACCCCGAGGGAGGCTTCTACCCTCTCAGCGGGGCCGTCGAATCCTCCGGCCCGGCGCCCCCCTCACCCGCGGCCTCACATGCCCTCAACATACCGATCCGGACACCGGGTGCATTGAGCTACGTGTGTCGCCGGACGATTCTCCCCTTGATCTCTGCCTACAAGCCCTCGGCATTGGTCATCCAATGTGGAGTCGACGGCCTCGCAGGCGATCCGATCGGCGGTCGCCTCTGGGGATTCGGATTGAAAGAGATGGGTGATTGCTTGGAAGCTGTCCTCCAGGACTCCATCGCCCATCGTCGTAAAGTCCTACTCGTAGGCGGAGGTGGGTATCACACCCCCAATGTTGCTCGAGCTTGGGCACACTTCACCTCAATAGCCGTGGGTAACATCATCACCATCTCAGCTCAAAAGTAAGATACTGATGGTTAGGCTCCCATCTGGCTGCAACTTGCTCGGCACCGCAACGTGGCGGATTTTAGTTGGGCAGGAAGTTCGACCTGGAGGAGACCGAGATCCCGTTGGAGGTGGAAGGCGATGTGGACTATGGACCTACATATACCCTAGACGTGTCTGGATTAGAACGGGCTTCGAGCGAGCAGACCGGAGCAATGGGCTGCAAGGTGATCAGGGAAATTTGGAGGACGATCCCCAGTTGCAAAAGGTCGTCCTCGAACTGGATCGACATGTATCCGTCCTTCAAAATAAATACGCTTCTTGCTAGCTTGTGCATACACACCTCGGACACACGTCGCCGCACTCTCAATGATTTATCCAGGCCCCTCTCACGACTCTTGTTGCTCTTGTCATATCTGAAGTTTCTTTGAAAATGAAGCCGACTTGTGACAATGCATGACCATTCCGGCCATCTTTTGCATCAATGTCTTCCGGTCTGAACAGTGGTAACCCGTAAAATAACGCACATTGTTCAACTTTTGAACATAAACGTAAACAAGGAGAGGATGTGGCAGACTTAATGTGTGGAGTCAAAGGACACATCAAATGTGATGGAAGGGAATCAAGTAGGATGCTTAGATCGTCAAGACCATCAGCATTTTTAGCCCATCAATTGACTATCTTGTAACAACTGATACAAGCCTATTCACCTAGCCACCATATGAATAGCGCAGTCCTGAAGAGCTGCCCTTCGGGCTCTCTTTCAGGCACGGGATCTCTCACCCCCCGCTGATTCTTTGGGGTGAAGCCAAGTGGAGAAGTAGGCATTGCCTCATAAGATCAAGATGGACTCCATGATACAGAGGATTTAAAATCACTTAGAATTTAACAACGAAAGCCGACAAAAGGGAATAAATATATGAGGAAGTGTATGGCAAGATGTACTGGACAGGATGATAGAACGATGTGGAAAGGAGTTTACATAATCGAAGTATAGAAGATCAATGTGTACAAGTCAAACAGCGAGCCAAATGTCTAGCCAACACGCATGTGTGACGACATTCAACTGATCCAACGCGGGTCTAGTTCCATCATTCGCATGATGATCAACATCATCCTCATCTGCAGGATCGATTCCGTTCCTCTTCTTCTTATTGGCCATCTTGGGATCCCTTTGATTTAGACGCGTATCATTTTGAGAAGAGGGCGTAGGGAGATGGTTGGACGGGCCGGACTGCCGTCCATTCAGGATGATCCTCTTCAGATATGAATTAGCTGGCCGATCGAGCTTGTCAAACGTCCATGAGATTGAAGGAGTCCTTCTTTGTTTTGTGTTGGGGGCCCGGTTGTCGGTTTCTGAAGATTATTCGATCGAATATGACTTTTACAAACGCTGTGAAACTCATCAAATTGATCATGAAGCAACCAAGGATCGGGCGGGACGCCAAAGCAGCGAGAGTTGTTGATTTTGATGATGATATGATCGAGTGCTTCGAGTCCATCGGGCCCGGTCTCTTGTAGGGTACCCTGAAGTAACTGGTCGGATTTGAGGTATGCAGATTGTGACGTCGGATTTGATCGGCGGGCCGACCGGCCATTCGGAGCCTGTGCCGGCCAACAACAACAACGAGCTGCGAAGGAGGGTCGCCGAGGGGATGGTGGTAGGTGTAGCTCGTCGCCGGGTCCGGAATCGTCGCAGGCTTCGGCGCCACTATTTTTGCGGGCAGATCGTCGAGTTGGATGGTGTATTGTTATGTATATCGTTAGGCTACGATAGGCGATCATCTATCTCCACAAGCCCTGAACAACACTTAGAGAATCGACCAAATCACTGATCTAAAAGCCGCGTGAATGATCGGCTAATGCGATCCCAAGCTTGTCAACCAAGCAGATCGGCGAGGTATTAACAATTGGTCGATCTTTGACCCCGCTTGAAGCAGTGAGAATGTCGCTGTTCATGCTTGAGGACGGGGCCAAATCGAGATGGGTAGTTTGATTGCTTGGCCATTCTATGGTCATCTTCTTCATTGCGAGCCTACATGAGATCAAACAGAATGACAAAAGCATAACAGCTGTCGTTAACAATTGTGATGATTTGAATCCCAGCCAGCCAGATGAAAAGTTATATATATATTTATTTAACTTACGGCAGATGATCGCTTTTACAAAAGGGATCTCACCAATAAGATATGGGCGCCCAATGGCAATTCATTAAATTTGCAAGTTCTATTTACCGAGGGCTTTCAGTAGAGCGGCTTTCAGTAAAGCCGTCGGGTACGAAGTCATCTGTGGGCTTGGGTTTGAGTTTGGGGCGATCGGGCCAGGTCTGGCTTCCCTCTGATCATTTGTAACGTCGCGTGTTGGATCTGGGCTATGTTGTAATTCTTTCGTTCGCCATTCCCGGTAATGTATAATCCATCATATCGGAATCGAAATCAGCCCTTCGACTGGGGAATCGACACTGTTGAGCTATTATATGTAATATTCATACACAGAGCTGAAAATCGTCAAAGGCTGCCTATTGATACATAGAGAAGAGGGAAATTCCCGCGTACCAGTGGCGGTGGTGACAAAGAGTAGGATTGTTTTTCGGAGGGTCCCTGCGGGACGGCGTCCCCCCTCCGAATAAAGAGGGACTTAGTTAAGTTAGGATTGTTTCGGTTCTCCGTGATCAGCTGTTTGACAGAATAGGTTTGAGTGAGTGTACGCCAACCCAAAAACAGTGATGTACAACATACAAGCCCAGGCATTTTACAATATCTATCTGTATCAGTATCTATCACTGGCAATCGATTGGAGGCCAGCCCGGGTTTTTCTCTTCAACACTCCACACATCGCCCAATCCGAATGATCCAGATCCGACAATCAACACTCGATTCTCAAATGAACCCAGAGGAAAGTGGGTAGCTTCCTCTGATTTTTGTTTGTCAACACTTATATTTACTTACTGATGATTCTTGTTTTTGTTCTGGTCATCAAGCAGGCCTGGAAGGCAATCACACTGCCATCAATCAACTTAAATTTCATCTTAATTGATCCTTGTGGATTTGGAGATGTATGTACATGCTGATTCAGTTTTTTTTTTTTTTTTTTTTTTTTTTTTTTTTTTTCTTCTTGAATCATGATAGCTGCCTCATCATTTGAACGACAATCTTCGAAGAACAGACAACAAAAAAGCCGTATGTGTTTTATCAAATCGCTCCTGCTTGCTAACCCAGCAGAGGCTGATAACTTATGCCCATGATTGAACAGCTAAGCTCATCTCATGGAAGTTTACCTTGGAGAATGGCTCACTCGAGCTTGAGATATCGGTCCGCCCCTATCCAGAGACACCATTTGCCAGAACCCAACAATCAACCTTTCCGCCACTTTCCTGATCGATCAGTTGCTAGTCCTTTTCCCATTCACAATCACTATGATCCACCCAAGGGTTTTCGATCTCCGATGGCGATTCCGGACTCTCTCAATGTTGGGACCTCCCAATCGGTTGGACTTGCATCCCACAAACCCTCAGCATCGTCCTCAGCACCCTACACATCACAGGTCCAGTCAGTCGAACGTCCAAGCACAACACAGACATCATCATGCCCAGTACATTGGTCACCATCCGTACAATCAATCAGCCTTGCGTCCACTCAATCGTACTCATCATTATCAGGCAACCATGCAGGTACCTTCGGATCCATCGTTCTTGAAACACCTTTGTTGTTATCCTGAGGACCATCGATTCGTCTCGCACGACCAAAATCTCTGTGCTCGCAATCAGGACAATCATCATTCTCTTTTCAATCGATCGACCTTGCGCTCATGTCGACTTGATCGTTATAATGAGGATATGTCAGCTCCAACCCTCCATCCTTCAGCTTCACATGCTCCTAGCCGTTATAGCCCGTATGCTACTCCTCATCAACATGATCATATGAATCCTAGCAATCAACCTGCTTCATCCTTGAACGCAAAGAAGCTTTCAAAGCAAGTCCAAACTGATCAATCCTTCTGTCGTGCCCAACCCGATTACTACAGACCAGTGTACTCCGACGATGTGCAGCCAAGGGGTCAATGGGGTCCCTTGCGTGTCACTTCTCGTCAAATTTCAAGCGGTCAATGGGGTCCCTTGGCATCAGTAGCAATGATTTCCACCAAACGAGACAATCCGCTTACCGAACGCCAGAAACGCAATGTGAAGATTTTCCCTCGAATACACAACCCTTACTTTACTGAAGAGACCAACCAGAATGTTAAACCATTCGTCATCCAGCTCAACCTTAATCCTGAAAAACCATTCATCATCCAGCCAGCCAACTATTCTTCCCATCGTGTGGTTGCCACCAATAATACTGGCTCACAAACCCTTTTTTTTTTTTTCTTGAGTTCCATCCTCTTAATCCAACCGATCCATCTAAGCAAGCAATTGTCAAAAAGCTCGGCGAAATAATATCAAATCTGTACTTCATGGGTAACAATCGACAGGATATTCATCCCCGCACCATGGAAACTGGTATTATGAAAGGGGTTGGCTTTCGCCCTGGTTCTGACCGGGGTTCCACTGCAGGTGAGTACTTCCATCCCATTGCATATCTTTTACTCACTCCTGGTTGGTCTAATGGATTGTTAATTTATTGTACCAGGTACATATGCACGTCGACCAAATCTTTCTCAACAAATTTTGGAGCAGGACAACTATTGTTGGGATCAGTTAGGTGATCATAATCAATTCTTATGCAACCGAGTACCGCATTTTTCCAAACAATCATTCAAGGACAATGCCGAAATAATCCAGTCCTTTGGGATCCCCAGCTGGTCCAACAGTGAATGGAATGACTTCGAACAGGAAACTAATGGGATTTTCTCAAGTGCAAACACGACTCATTCCGATTTTCCAAACGAACCCCACATGGATGAAGACTCGAATCCATGGACTTACGGCTTGTTCAGCTACATCAACCGATCAACTGGCAAACCTGTCTTGCCTCCATCTTCTGTTGCTGGTCATGCCTTCCGATTTCCAGAGTTCAACTGTCAAGTTGACTTTGGGATGTCTCCCGGTATAATTGAGCTGCTATGGGCAAGTAACTCTGTGAAGCACCACACTCTACATCCACCCCCTTCATTGAAATCAACTGCCGAAATCACATATTCCGGATCTTCCTTTCAGATTTGCAAACGTTTAGTAGATAGAGCTATAAAATTAAAAGAAAAAATCGGCTGAGGAAAGAGCAAAGAAAACATTGTGCTGAGAAAAAAGAAAGGTGAAAGAGGCTGAACGGGCTCAAAAAAAGAAATAGAATTTTGTTTATTTGACTTAGATTGTCTTCCGATCCAATCAATGACTGTCTTTTTCCTCTTCTCACTCATGATTGTTATTTATTTTTCCAGACTCCTATATATAATTCCTGAAATTCCTAAAATTGAAGAATTGAATTTCAAAAGTTCCATGTTCAAAGGAGTGTATATCCGCAGAAAAAGACAGTAGAAGACAGAATTAATGTGAATTGTAAGAGAAAGATCTTCCAAGATTATTATGATTTGGCCAAGAAGTAAGAATTTGCAGTAGAAAATAATGAGAGTTATTAAAGTCTTAGAGGAAATATAGAAACTTGGACACTGAATGAAAATTATCTCATCTGGGGCAAAGTCTACTGTCGGTATCAATATTGCTTGGCAAGATGTCAAGAAATCAAATCTAGGTGCTGGTGTTTTGCAGGCTCTTGAAGGAGGAATGGGTGGCGAAAAAATCATTGGGATCTGGGAGCACTCCATCATTGAGAATTTCGCCTATTTTGTAGATGGGAAGCCATTAGTGTTATGTATGTATGTGTGTGATAAAAAGAAGGTACAACAAAGGTGAAGAAAGGTGAGCGCAAAGTGGCTATGTGCTCAGTGCTCCTGGTCAAAAGAAGCTCAAGACTTACCGTTGACAACACTAACAACAAGGTCATGAAGATTGTTGTTAAGTGAGCACGTAACCACGTTGCGCCTTGTCCGGAGACTTTTGTATGTGTGTTCAGCTTGAGACGGATGTGCCCCCATTCAAACATAGTGATGAAGGGATAAACACAAGCAAGACTATGTAGAAAGGAAAGATGAGGACATCTTGCAAGACTCTCACTCTACTACATATATGTGTACCGCTTCAAGCGAGGCTCATCAGCAACGCCGCCAAACAGAGCCATCGCCATCCCCATTTGTACTTGCATGTTCACATACCCGTCTCCAGACCTGACCACCACCACCACGAAAGACTCTCCAAAAACCGGCAAGAATATCTTGAAACCATGGCCGCAGATGGCGCTTCGCCCAGTTCGAGCTCGGCGTGTAGCGACGACGATACCGAGAGATCTTTCTCAGATACCGAAGGTTTTAGTGGTCTCAGAGGACGGTCCGGGTCGGTAGACTCGGAAGTCCAGCCCGGCTGGGAGCTGGAATGGATCGATGATAGTAAACTGGTTCCGAAAGGGGAAGAGGGGGCGGGCATAGGACGATTTTACAAATTGAAGTTCAAGGGCTATCTCGACATGGAATGGCAGCCCGAGGAGAACGTTGACGCCTTGGAACTGATCAGGTGCTATTGGGAACACGAGCACCTTGGACAAGAACTTTGTATCAAAGCCCAGCAGCGGTTACTAAAGGAGATAGACGAACGGAGCGATTCCGAGTCCGAGGACCAAAGCCGAAAAAATAAAACCCGGAAGCAACTCAAGCCGAGGCCCCAAGTGAATCGTCACGCCGGCCCGGATGAGGCCGACTCAGACCGGGCAGCATCAAGCTCCTCATCCTCCGATGACGAGGACGACGACGATGGTCGGGGGCCGCTTACTTTCCAGCTGGCAGACCTCAGTCTTGCCGGGAGTAATACCTCGAATAATGGAAGCTCTTCTACTTCACCTTGCCAGGTCAAGTATGCTTTCAAGAAACCGGAAAATAGACGTGAGTGCATGGCTGCTCCCATTCTACCCCCCTTCACATCTCATTTGAAAAAAAATAATACTCACATTTGATTGTTGGTGGATTTGTAGAGCTTTTGAACACGACCTTCCTCAATCCAACTCCTGATCACGAGATAGAAGCGCGCAAGTTGTCGAAGCTCTTGCAATTTGTCGGGCGGATCGAGCCTTTGACGGCATCCCCCCACTGCTTCAAAAACCCACATCGCGCTAGTAAGCACATTCGTCTTCCGGGTTTTTTTTTTTTTTGAAATCTTGTTGTGCAATCAAGCATGGCACTAACAAAAACTTTCCCTATTGACAGAGCGGGCGGAAAAACTCATGGAAGAGATCGAGTCTCTTAAGCGCTCGGGATTGAAGCCGGCTGATGGATCACCAGGAACGAAGGCCAGAGTCAAATTGATTTTCAAACACCCATCACAGGACAGTCACCCCACTCCCCTCACTTCCCTCACCACCCGTTCCGATCCTGCTCCGACTCAAGAGAACGTATCAGATTCGTCGACGGACTCGCAAGATTTGCAAAGCCGGCTGGGCTCGCCAGGCCCATCCACCGAGCGCGTCTCTTCGCATCCCAGCCCCGACAATCTGCCTCAGCAGGCCATCCCACAAGGTCGTCCGCAACCCCCATCGCAGATCAAGCCGCCGCGGTTCAGACCGCCAGAGAGACGCTCGGCTCCCGACGAGGACACTGGTTTAGGCCATCCTCGCAACGCGAAGCGCAAGGTCGTCGATCCGCATCCTCCCCAAGATAACCTCCCCGTCAATCCCGCTCTTGGCCTGCCCCCACCAAGCTTTTATAGAGCTAAAAACCAATGCTTGCGCAAGACCGTACGATGGGCCTCATAAACAATTTATAATATCCGATTCCGATTTTTGGTTTTAGTTTTTAGTTTTGATTCTGTTTTTGGTTTTGTATATGAGCTTTTCTCTTGCTTCTACACAAATAGGTGTATGAGGATCCTCTTCTTCTGTCCTATTTCTGATTTCGATCCTGTTTTTTGTTATCTATTCAAACCTTATTTTTTTTTTTCTTGTCTCAATTGGCTAGCTCCAACTCTGCACTAGGCCGAGCAAATTTCCAAATCGTCTGTTTTCACTTTCAAAACATATAGCACGATTGAATAATCATGTCTAGGTTTATTATCATTATTATATGCGATTGACTTTTCTAGTTATGTATGAGGATGTATTAGCAGCATATATAATTCCAGCCGTCTTATGTTCGTTGCTCACTTCCATGTGCCTTGGTGACATCAGAATCGAAACATGACAAGCTCAGCCTATTTCCAGGATTTTTCTCGTTGAAGCATGTGCTGGACGAGATTCTGCGTCTTAATCGAGTCACAAGTCTCTGGTTCACTAACTGAGGCTTGCTGTGGCATTGTTTCTCCAGATTGATACCGGGGTCTGGGTAATCATTTCTTGATCGACGAGCTTGCCCCTGAAACCCAAGAATCTGGTAATTTCTAGAGTAAATACGTCTTTCTTTCCTTGAAGCAAAGATTAGAGGAGCCGGGTAGATAAGTCGTACATGACACAGAGAATGTGAGAAATTGTTTGAGTCGTGGGCAAAAAAATAAATAGAAACAAAGATGAATGATTTAAAAGCCTCTGTCTTGTAACCAGAGTTTAACTTCTTTGGTGATGTGACCTCTACATAAGACCTGCTTTACGTGCAGCTTTAGAATTGGTTGGGATTCAGGGAAATCCAAGATCAAATCTTCTTTCAATTTCTGTCATTTTTGGTTAATTGATGAAGATTGGTCAAGGATGAAAAAAAAATTATTGAATCAGTGTTTGATCGGCTCAATGAGTATAAGAGAAGTGAGACGCACATATAAGTCACCATCGATTCGTTTGATTAGAGTCCAGATTTGTCCCAAGCCAGGTTTCATGACTGAGTAGACCGGGAGGGTGTTGTAGGGTGTGGTTCTACCGATGGTGTACTTCAAGGGCTTGTCTTCGGTAGCGACGGGCGCTTTCCAAACCCGATCAGGAATATTGAATTTGTAAGTTTCGTTTGAGGAATGTGGGTCATTCGAATGGTTGGTTAATTTTCTGAATTCTTTCGATGGGTTGAGCGGGTCTGTTCCAATTGGCTTTTCTTGAGCCTCACTAGTCGACCATCGTCTTTCTCCACTCGATACGGGTAATCCACGATAGCTACATAAAACCGGTCGGAGAGCTAAGGGCTTCGATGCCAATCGGTAGAGCGTCCTGAGGCCAGTCGATGCCATCTGGGAGTTCAAGCTACTCGATCCGTTGGTGAGTGGTGGTCTTGTGGGTGTTGATTTTTCTGTTTTCGATGTCTCAAGTGAAGAGTCAGCGGAAGTCGGCTGACCAAAAATAGATTTGTGTTATGCATCCGCACCAGTGACTGTATGCATAACCCCGCCCGCGAGCACCCGGCGCCGGCCCCCGGGCCCTGCTGGACCAAACCTCCGGCCAGAGTCCGCCGGCCAAAATAGCGCATTGAGCACGACGGCAGTCGTCATGTCGTGCTTGGCACTTGCTGATGCTTGAGCTTACTCCCAGTCAGGCGGAAGCATCCAGAGGACTTAAACAGAGCCCACATAATTTACATTCCAGAAATTGCCAGATGAATAAGGACCACGGAATCACAATCCTATGTATCCCCAGTTGGCAAGATTTTGATTGCAACAAGAACTGGCCACAGACGTGGAATCAATCAGATACAAAGTGATTTGTACTTAGTTTCCTGGTATCCTACAAATGAATACGGGCTTTTTGTTTTCATCCCAGGCATTAACAAGGAATACCCCCTAACCTAACTCAAGCCACAGCGACGAAGTGGGACTTAGCCAAGTTCGGGATACATACCCGCCGGCTTCAGCAATTCAAAACATTGCCAAAACAAAAATGCACCATGAGAAGATATCCTCACAAAGCGAAAGTGGCGCCCGCGCTGCCCGGGTGCTCCAGGCCTACTAGTGTTGTAATTACGTTGATTGATGTCTTGCAGCTTGAAGATGTCCAAGGTGACCTAAAATGTGGCATACATGTAGAAATCGGTCCCAAGTCCAACACAACCTTCTCGAGTAATCGACAGTTGTTTGTTGAACGCAGTTCCTTTTATCCATTCCTCAGCGCCCTCCTTGATCAATGTCACATTACATAATCAGCCGCCTGCGTTGAGTTGTGCGGTCTTTCCTGAATCAGTCCCTATGAGTTGTACCGCACAGTGCATAAGTTCAACCCATCGTGTAAGACGATAAGGGCAATGGCGGCATTTTTGGTTGATGTTGGCAGATATGCGGTGTTTGTTGAGTGATCAAGGTTGAACAAACCGTAAATGTGCATCTCATCAGGACCCCGGAGAGCCCCTACCAAGCCACCTAATGTAAAACCTGCGAAATCTGGGTTTTTGCTACCTAGGAATATCTGGTTTTGGGGGGCAGATGCATGTTTTGCTACCTCCGACATCAGGGTCCTTTTGGTTATTTTTGAAAAAAATTTCAATAAATTTTCCTATCATGCATAAAATTCAATTTTTTTTCATCCTTGTGAAAAATCTCTAATCATTTCATGCATAAACTACAACTGATGGACAAATTGCTACCGCATACAGAAGGATCATGTGCTGCTTTTTTTTGTTTTTGCTACCTTTTTGCGGATTTACATTAGGGACATTTCAGAAAAAAAATCTGTTTTGCTACATTTTACATTAGGCGGCTTGGTTGGGGCTTTCCGGGGTCCTATCTCATCTTAATATCAGGCGTCCGTACTGCAGCATACATACGTCTTTGCAAAGAAAGACCATCATCAAACAGACTCGCCGCTCAGTTGCTCGTGTGCAAGGTTTCTGTAGATACATAGCACCAAGCAAAGCAAAACCCGTTGGGCAGACGGTTCAGTTCTTCCATAGACTGATGAGCTCAGCAATGATGCCAGTGGTGCACTAAGGATTTTTGGTCACCAATCATCAGTATCACCAAAGCCTGCCCCACTCTTTCGAATTTTGATAACGCCGTACATATATAGATTAACTTTTATTGTATCGAGGCACCGGAACCAAGAACTCGGATTTTTAACGGCTATCTTCATCTTCAACACCCCCAAGCATCTTCTTTCCCAAGTTTTTTGACCCCTAGAAATGCCCACCAAACGTAATTCTAGCACGCGCAGACCGCGCGACTACGATGAGTATGAATCGACATCTTCCAGTGACTTAGAGTCAGATATTGATCATGTAAACGTCCCTACTAGTAAGTAGTAGTTCCTCTATGCATACCTCGAAACTCCTCGAAAACTTATTCAATTGGGATCATAAATTATAATCAGAGCGCAATAGAAGCGGCGTGACACGCTCATCGTGGACGGCGACAACGCTCCCAGATGCAAGTAAGTGTCATTTCGCCTGCTAGATACTTCTTTCCTTTCAAGACGTTCTTTAGCTTACGTTGAGGGTTCTAATATCATCTTGGGCCACTTGGCTCCTTTTAGCAAACCGCACGCAACAGGGTCGAAGAGCTCGATGTTCCACCGTTTCAACGGGCGGGAACCTCTCACCCCCGGCCAGTAGGATTTCCGGGGGAAATCCGGCAGCACAGAACGGAAAAAAAGCTGCCGGGAATCAGTCGGGTTTGCCATTGTGACTGCAATCTTCTCGAAACTAAATTCTGATTGCTTGAATTCTACTCTTCTCTTCGACGCAGGTTCGGCGCCAAGAAGAATCAACAATGCCATATCGGCCGCTCAGCGGAAGAAACTTGAAGAGCAAGCCGATAATGCCGCAAAGCAGCGCCGCAAAACGGTAGCCAAAGTGCTGAGCGATCGGATCATGTCTGACCTCATGTCTATAGGCATTATTTCGAGGGATGTCGCCCAGGTTTGTTCGAGCAAGCTTGGCTGGAATGAACACGAGTGGAAGACTTGTATGAATAACTCGAAAGTAATTGTGTACGAGCCACTTGAAGTTGAACAAGAGGTTAGTGTAACTCGGAAGCGTGCATATTCGTCGGCCAGGAGGCCGCTTTCCGTCAAGTCGAAGGTATGGAGTGTTTCGCTCGAAGTGGACGCCCTGAGTTTGTGCATTACAAACGCCGGCGGAAACAGAGTGCGTTACCAAGACGGCGATAACGAGAATCGTCAATTCAAGTCCCACTCCGAAAAATCTCTGTCTTGGAGTAACGTCGATGATCTGTCCGAGGTGAAATCGGTGTTTGTCCATCGGAGCGTCCTCCAAGATTTCCTTTGGGATGGATCGCCATCCCTCGTCGATCTCGTCCGCAAAGAGCCTCGCGCACAAATTTTTAGTGAGTTGATTCCTATGCTTACACGCGTTGGAAAAACATCTGACAAAAATCGGAGTGCGCCATTGATTTGAACGTCACTAGCTTTCGGTTGCGACAAGGCGGCGCCTGCCTCATTAAACTCGACTGAATCAAACCCCCGAATTGAGATGATCCTCTGCGCAGGCGAGTCCAACAAAAATCCCTCTCCTGAATCACAATTTTGATTCTGACATTGATTTTTGATTTGAGATTCAGGCGCGGTAATTGTCCCGACCTTCGATAGTTTATTCAAGAATCCTTCGGAAGATGATCAGAAGCGCCGACAATACTTCCAAAAAATTAAGGCCGCCTGTCATACACATCCATTCCTCAAGATTTGCTTACACCCGTCGATGAAAACCCAGCTCTATAAGAACCTGGAAGAGGACGAGTCGGACATCAGTATGGAATTTATCATAGATTTCTTGAAGCAACAATTCGATTGTCCCAAGGAGGCAAATGTTTCTATGGGAGATTGGATTAAGCTTGATCGGAACATAATAGCTTGGTTATCGTCGGACTCAAATCCAGAACTTGACGAGGACTGCGACGAGGACGTCGCCGAAGTAACGACGATTGCAAGAACCTTGAAACTGGTACAGAAGGAGCTGTATTCTGAGTTTAGAAGGTTCATCATTGCTATCCCGGAAGGACACCCATACGCCGATCGAAAATCTTTCGAAGGGGTCAGTATCAATTCTATGTCTTGGAAATCAGTGTCGATTACATATATGTATTTTGGCTAACCGGAACTTGAATCATTGACAGGTTGAATTAATGAAGATTAGCGAACTATTTGATTTTCTTCCTGGCGAACAGATTTTTTGATTTACATTTCAGTCACTCCATATCGAAAGGTTCGCGCTGGAGGAAGAGATCCTAGTCCACCTGATTATATGCTATTTTTGATCGAATAATTTGTATGAATAACAGCAATTCTTATCACTTTGAGAGTGGTTGAACGCAAAATGATGTCTGGAGACTGTCATGACTTTTTTTTTATCTGCTTAGCCCACCCTGTGGTTCATTTTTAGTTATTTATCCTACAATATACCTGATAGTGTAGGCTAATAGCTCTGATCTCGTTCTGATTCTATACCAAAAAAATTCCTACTTTAAAATATACCCTCTTCAATGTTACAATCCTCTTGCAGGTTATGCTTTTCTGGCCCTTGATTCAATCGTGCAACTTGTGAGATGAGGATAAGTGGCTTCAAGTTGACCTTTTTCCATCACATGAGGGTGTTAAAACAGGTTGTGTTAGCCGATTTTACTCAAGAATCAGCCGTAACCGACATCAATATAAATCCTGCAGTTGGAAGGTATAAGAATGCTATCATAAGACGATTCGTCTGTGATAAGTGGGGAAATGCAATCTCCCATCGGAGAGGCTTATTGTTGCTGCCTAGTTATTTTTGAATTTGGAAACGGGATCTGAGTATATTTGTTGTGATTATACATAGCTGATTTTCCATGAAAAATATGATACATAAGATGTGAAATGAAGAAAACCCAAAGAGAGGAAAAATAAACATTGGAATCCGAAAGCCCGAAATAGAATTTGAAAAGTTGCAAAAAAATATGGTTGGCATGTTAAGGGGATGGCGAGTTATGGAAATAGGAAGCTGATTGCGAATCAGTTCCGCTGGTTCTTTACTTTTGGCCGCTCGGAATTGATGAATCACTGTGGCTCTCAGTCAATCTAGTAGTACTGAAGGATGGGCGAGGAAAGCGTCAATGAACATGTCTAGGACTTAGGCATTTGGATAAAATGTCTACTCACACCTCCTCCGTATCCAAGACCACCTCCATAGCCTCCCCCGTAGCCCAATCCACCTCCATATCCTAAACCACCCCCGTAGCCGAGACCTCCACCGTATCCGAGACCACCGCCATAGCCTCCTCCGTAGCCTCCGCCATATCCTCCGCCATATCCTCCACCATATCCTCCACCATATCCTCCACCATAACCGCCTCCTAAGCCGCCTCCTAAGCCGATTCCGATTCCAAGCCCACCGCCAATGCCTAGACCAAGGGTCGGAGCAGGGGCAGATATGATACAGGTGGCGCTCAAGAGAGCGGCGGAGAGAGCTAGACGGAGCGTGTTGAATTGCATATTGGCGGAGTAGATTATTGGTAGATTATTCCTTGGTTTGGTTATTTATTGTCGGTTGAATTTGGCTGGAAGAATTGAAGTGAGTTGCTTGAAGATTAGGTATGAAATGAATATATGTGCAGAGAATGGAAAATCCAAGTGGATGTAAGGGGCCTTCCGGAAGGTTGATAGAGATGAATGAAGATGTGATGTTTTCTGAGGGAATGAGTTTGCGATTGTGCGACAAGAAGTGCTTCTTATATTGGCAAGATTGCAGCGGGATGAATCTCCAAGGTGTGGATCGCTCGACACGTATTTCCTGGCTGACAAACGGGGCTTCGGTTTGGACTGAAAACTGTCAACTTGGATACCAGTCCGAGTCATGGACCAGACTGGTGTGGGCTCTTGAAGAGGAGGACGACATCAAGCGAATGTTTCGTTGTAAGGATCCCAAGTGTACTTGTCCACCGCGGCAACCAAATTTTGCAAGAGAAAGCCATGTAAACCAGGCCAACAAGGAACAAGTCTGAGGAGAGAAATTTGGCCCCAGTCTCACACACTCACACGAGAGCGACCAGTGATAACAAGTGACAAAATATGACCAGGCTGGACAACTGCAAGCTAACTACAGCTGAGACGAGATCACTCTGGGGAACAGATTCTTGTACAGTCTCCTCCCAGTTGTTTATAGCCATCTGTTTTGAGCTCCACAGAGGGAACCCAAAAACTTCAAGTCACAAAAGTTTGTGGAATGGTGGAAAACGGGTCTCAAAGAATGAATATGAAAAAATTATAACAAAAAATAAGATTTTAAAATTTGTGAAAAAGATAAAAGAAAATCAACTTTTTTTGAAAACTTTAATTTTTTGTTTGAGTGAAAAGTGAACACACAGAGGGCAAGTTTGGAACATGAAAAGAATGATTATAAATGAAAAATATTGATCCAAAAAAAGTTTCAGCATGGTGGGTGGACACCCTGCAGTCAAAATCAGTAGATTGCAGTACCAGAATGCCACATTTCTTGATGAATGACCCCCTAGACACCCTTTTTAAACCACCAAGTAGTCATTTTTTTTTCCAAATTTTCACTTTTTATCATTCATTCCAGATCTCATACTGTCACTTTGGACATTTCATCTTTTCCTGAAAGAAAAATTGAGGCTGTCAGTTTTTGTGATTATCTCCTTTTTACTTTCTACAAATTTTAAAATCTTATTTTTTGTTATTATTTTTTCATATTCATCCTATGAGACCCATTTTCCACCATTCCACAAACTCTTGTGACTTGAAATGTTTGGGTTCCCAGTGTGGAGCTCAAAACAGATGGCTATAAACATCTGCGAGGAGACTGTACATTGCTCAAGTGTGCAGAAACTCATTGCCATGTATGCCTCGTCTGAAGAGTGCACTCGCATGCGTCGCCGATTCTATACCAAGACATGTTTTTGTCAACCTTCTCAGGTAACGATACACCAGAACCCCAGTGTCTGGCCGGGTTGGTACATAATTATGTATGTAACTGGGATAGAGGTGCCCGAAGGAGATCAGTTGGTCAGAAAGAAGGGGTTGGCTACGGGATGAAGAATCTCCGGGATGAGTCGCATAGTGAGCCTAAAGAGATCAATTGACAGATCGCCTTCAATCGCCTTCAAAAGGCTCTCTGCAATTGATCAACAGATCATCCAAAGCCCAAAGGTTTGCTTTAAATCCAGTCACATTTTGGCCACATGGTGCCCGCCCCAGATCTTCTGTCGGCGTGCTGACCTACCTGATTTCCTCCGAGGATCAAGCAGTAATATTATCTAAACGTAGAATGGCTTTTCCACATCCTCATCACCCTTTTCTTGACCCGCATTGTGAGTAATACCATGACTTGTCCATCTGATGCACCAAAGCTCTCGTGGATAGTCACTGATCCATGATTCTCTACCATTAATGAACCGAGAAAAGACGAGAGATTTGGTCCCGGAGTGAGTGATAACCTTACTATCTCTGATTTGACCCTATTAATTGATAAATCTGAAGTTGTGACTTGCTTTTTTTTTCAATTTCACAGGACTTTAGAGGTATGATCCACTCGGATATCGAAGCCTCCGCGATATATCATCCCGAGGTCCGGGAGATGGAACACCTGGAACGACTTATGGCCGAGTCCTCAATTCACCCCCGCCTCGATCTGGTGCCGTATCACCCGGCGATGCAACTTCCGGGTGCTGATGTGCATGAACTCGCCCTACTTGACCACGAAAATGAGAGGATGCGCCATCTGCATTCCCTCAACGCCCACAACGAGATGATCTACTTGCGAGACCGTGAGCTGGACGAAATGCATCTGATGGATCGTGAAAGACATCTCGACTCGATCAATCATCAACGCACTATAGCCTTAGAGGATGAATATCGGCTGCGACAAGGACATGGTCTAGCGTCAGGATATGGACCCATCGACGGCTCTACGGGATACGGCCTCACTCACCCCTACCCTGCTACGATGATGTCACACCCGAGCTATCATAGCCAATCGTTGCTTTATCCCGGAGTCATGGCCGATCCATATTATCAACAGATGACTTCTACATTACCCCGAAGCCTGCCGATGTTTTCAGATCCATATTTCATGAATCAAATGGCCTTCGCTGGGAGCAGGAACGTCCATAGTACTCTTCCTCTCAACTACACCATGCAGAATCCTTTCTTACACGGTATCGACCACGATTACGGCTATGGCGCGATCGGTCCTCTAACAAATTATGGCCTGGTTGCCCGATCCCCGCCCCGGGAGTATGGACAGATGCTCGACGATCTTTATCTTTATGAAATGATGCTTCGCCTCGATCGTGCGCTGGACGAGGGAGAAAGGATACTGAGATGGCGGGAGCGTCTTGCGTGGGAGGAACTCGACTTGGCGGAAAGAAGATTACTTTGGGAACAGATGAACATGATGGAACGTAGTCGACTGGGTCTTGGAATGGGCTCTTTCTGGGGCCATCAGTTGGGTGGATTACCAATCAACTCAACTTTTGGGTATGCAAGCCCAATACTGGCCGAAGAGGTCATGGTCCCATACGGAAGAGCACCAATCATGGGCGTATTGGATGGGCCTCATTACCCACTTTCATCTCCTTTGATGCCGACGTACCCAATGTGGGATGTCGGCGGTCTTGGTGTTGGAGCTAGAATCTCACCTTGGCTTGCCGGAAACGACATGTTCCTAAGCCCCCGTCAGCTTGCCAGACAAGAGAATATACGGCGCGAATACGCTGAGCGGCGGGGTGAAATACCACCAGGCCCCCGGTTCATCGAGGCTGATGAGATGTCAAATCTGATCGAGAGCCAAATGCTTCGACCAAAACATCTCATTCGACAAGAGAATATTCGTCGCGAATACGCTGAGCGAAGAGGCGAAATCCCTCCTGTCCCTCGACTGATCGAACCCGGTAGGATGGGCGCAGGTATACCGCTTTATGCTGCTTGTTCCGAAAATTACCGAGGTGAGGTTCTCCCGTTCAAGTTCATTTTTCTTTCTGGTTCGCAATGAATGAATGACATTGACGTTTTTTTCTTTCTCAAAGTTTATTGACCAAGACCAGGCCTAAAAGATATTCCCCCCTACCTCAGTAGCATCCGGCGTTATGCGGCTGATTCAGTCAACGCGTTGCCCCATATGTTCCTCTCTGGCAAAATCTCAAGCCTTTTGGCATAATGTATAGTCTTATAGCCTATGTAATTCAATAAAATCCTAACCCCCCCACTCTCCCAAATGGCCCTATCCCCCTTCATTTCTAGCTATTAATAGGGCTGGCGCCGGCCAAGATGGCGCCCTCATGTCAGGGGGTTCCAAACCACACATGATAAAGGGGTAGCTGACAGCGTCAGCATGCACCACCTTGGAGCTAGTTTCTGTCAGACAATGACTTGGTGATTGAACTGGTGTTGTGTGATGTGAGATGACCATATTGAAGTGATACCTTGAATGAATAATGTTATTATAGTATGACAAAAAATGCAATGATGAGAAAAGACAAAACGTCATAATAACAAACTGAAAGTGAGTGAGTATCCAACTCTCAAAATCAAGTGAAAAGTGTGATACTGATAGAAAGTGGGCGAGAGAAAATGCAATTGATTCTAAGGGTGCGGATTGTCGCTAGAAAGATCTTGTTAGATGTGTTTGGGTTGTTTTTTAAACGCGAAGGCTTGGTTGCCTTCCATCATAATCCTTTCCATGAGCATGTTGAAGTCTTTACTGAATTGGCAGCTGAGTGCATGGCCTCCGTCCTTGAAAACAACTAATTCGGAACCTGGCAATCGGTCTTGTAATTGCAACGACCTGACAGCATAGATCATTTCATCTCTGTCGCCCAAGACGACTGCTATCTTGCCAGGAGATAAGGTTTGACTGATTTTCTCTAGATTTGAATCCGAACAGTGATGACCGACTGCAGCGCAGACTTGACCAAGAGCTCCGGCGGGTGACTGTCTGCGTGGTCTGTTGTGCCAGGATTTGAAAAAGTCACGAAGCTCGTCTTTTCGGGTTCGTCCCTCCGTCGTTGGCTGGTTCAAGTACGCATCCGGAAAAAGGAAATCCATCATCAAGTCCAGTCCTTGCTCATACGTCACGGCCTTCATTGAGACTTTCGAAAACATTTTGAGGATACTCAGCTAGATACGAAACAAGAGAACGTTAGAAAAATTCATTCTTGAGAGATCGTATCTTCCCACCACTGTTCACAGGCTGAAAGAGAGAAAAAAAAAAAAAACGAACCGAAGGGAAGTCAAAAGCATTTCCAGATCGGGTGCTGATCAAAGTCATCGATTTAATGCGTGAAGGGATCAAGAGAGACTTGAAGAGTGAACCAAGGGGGTAAGTTTCGGCTATAGTACCAAATGCAAAACAACTTACTAATTCCTGAGAAATCATTCCACCCAAAGAGACACCAAAGACGTGGATTGAGCGATCTTGATCCCATTTTAAGAAGTTCAAGAGGTCCAAGGCATCTTTGGCCATTTCAGACGTTTTGTAAGGCTCCATTGAACCACAACTGTTCAGGTCATGACAATCACAGCACATTTATCCCCGCGAAGTAATCAACAATCTAGATACTTGCAGCAATTTGGATACTTGAGGAGAAAATGCTCAACTCGCTGTTTCCTACGCCTCGATTATCAAAAACTAAAACTGCATGATCGGGCTTTCTCCCGAAATGGCGGACTTGTTCTGACCAGGCAGAACAGGTAAAGTTGAGACCTATAAATTTGAAACGATCATTGTAACGAGTGCCCGTCGATCAGGAATCAGACGATTTTCTATTTTCAGCCGAAAGCTGGAAAGGACTTCATACCCATGACTAACGAAAACAAAGCAGACAGATTTCAGTTTCAATAGATACATGACGTCCGAAGAATATAACAACTCACTTAACACCATCTTTTGGGTAGCTTGTAAGTCCCCATGAACTTCGTAATAGAGCTGTCGGGGCTTCCTAGCGCGACCATTAGCAACGGCACATAGTCCCTTTTGCGCACAGGTCGCAGAATCCAAGATAGTGTCCAAAGTAGGGAGTTCTGCCGTCTACAATTGAACCCGATTTCCACAAAAAAAAAAAAGAAACAAGCCAAATTCAATGGGTTATGTAGATTCGTGAATCTGATGGGTAACCTCACTTACCATAGTGAAAAATATAGACCACCCGAGGGGGATATTGAGATCTTAAACGAGTGCGAGAAGCCAACAAAAGGGGCTTTTCGATGACCAGATATTTGTTTGTAGATGAGAGGTAGAATGGATAGCGAGGATGCTTGTTGTGTTCAAAGGTGTCAAAGACCCCTGGGAGAAAGAAATGCAAGACGAAGGGAACTTGAGGGATTCCTGGGCCTTAGCACCTCGCAGCTATTTAAGTAGTGAGTAGTTTGTGCTTGGATAATTTATTTTCCCATCATGTTCGTTGATGAATCCTGCCCTGGTCTATGCTAAAGTATATGCTGCATAACCAGAACTTGGTCCTGTCAGGTGCACTGCCAACTTGAGTGGCCGGGCCCAGGTTGCTGATGGTGATCACAAGACACCGCCAGAGTAGTAGACCCGCGAGTCTGGTGATATGGGGCGTGGCAAGCTGATCGGACGCCGCCCTCTGACCCGTATGGAGCCAGGTCACAAGATGCTCGATACGTAATAGGGTGATGATCGCAGTCCCCCCTTGGATGAATCCAGATGAGCTGCTCAGTACGCGTTCCCATCCTTGAAGAGGTTGTTCTGTTGGACCCCAGGCTCCAGTCATCTTCCACCCTTGCATCACACCACATGACCAGGGCATTGCCCGCGTGTCATGTGGCTTTTAGTGCAACGGAGTGCACAAAATATACAAAATATCCAGAGCGGGTCGGGGCTGCTGCCGGTCGGCTCCGGGGATACCTGTCGCGGGGACCCGACCCGGTCACGAGATTTGAAGAATCCGGATAGCATCGTACATAGGATTCAAGTCACCTTTGACTCACACGACTTGCTCGAACACGATGGCTTTTTGGAAGCCAGGGACTGTCGCACCAGGTGAGCTTGAGCTCAGAAATAAATTCTTTCAAATTTATATTCGGGAAGCTAATACATTCAAATCATACTTGCAGGTAGCTCTCTCGATCGAGCAGCTGATCGAGCTCCAGCGCTGGTTCTGACTGCCGCCCCGGGTCTGAAGCTTCCAATCCTCGCCCACCGTCGTGCATTACTCTATGCGATCGAGAAATTCGACTTCACCATTCTGATCGGCCAAACCGGCTCGGGGAAATCCACACAATTACCTCAATTTCTGCACGAAGCTGGCTGGACTGCTGACGGGCGTCAGGTGGCGATATGCGAGCCTCGGAGGATTGCCGCAACTAGTTTGGCCAGTCGGGTGGCCACAGAAGCGGGCTGGGTACTTGGGGAAGAGGTTGGCTATGCCATACGGTTCGAGGAGCTCACCAGTAAACGGACAAGGATCAAATGTGCGCACTCATCCGATATCTCTGTCAGATCGAATCTAACTTTCTATGGCTCTGACGTTCAACTTCAGAACATGTAGACCTCACTGATGGTATGCTATTCAGGGAGCTACTGCTGGACCCCTTATTAAGTCGTTATAGCGTCGTGGTGGTCGATGAAGCCCATGAGCGCTCTTGTTATACTGATTTACTGCTAGGTGTATTGAAAAAGTAAGGACAATCTCAGTTTAGTACATCCTACCCCAGGCCAGATCAAATCTCCCGATTTTGATGTGAACTGTTTTCAACCTATCAAGAATACAAGCGATTAGGAAAGATTTGCGAGTTGTGGTCTGCTCTGCCACCCTCGACGCTGAACATTTACGTGATTACTTCAATGATCAAACGGCTCTACAAGCAGGGGGAGATAATGCAACCATCATCAGCATTGAGGGTAGGATGTACCCAGTAGAAATTGCCTATCTCGAGCAACCGACGGAAAATTATATCACTGCAACTGTGGTCACAGTCATGGAAATTCACTTAACTGTTAGTCGATTCATCCCATGTCATTCTCAATTAGTTTGAATCAGCATGAGGGGATAATGACCTTGGTTTTCATGACTAGCAACCGCGCGGCGATATTCTCGTCTTTCTGACCGGCAAAGAGGAAATCGATGAAGTGTGCTCGCAACTTCTCGAAAAATCTCAAGAGCTACGATCAGGCTCGCTGGAAATGTCGATCATTCCTTTTCATGCCGCTTTGCCGCCCGAAGAGCAACTCTGGGCCTTCCAACCTGCTCGTAATCGGGACGCCCGAAAAGTGATTGTAGCGACCAACGTGGCTGAAGCTAGTGTGACCATCGAAGGGATCAAGTATGTGGTGGATTCTGGCCTCGTCAAAGTTGAGTATCCTTCCTTGATTCTAGAACGGTTGATGCTATTAGCTGGTGATTTATACTTACTTCATTTGTAATAGCTTCGAAAGTTCGACGTCAATCAAGGGATTGATGTGCTCACGGTATCTCCAGTCTCCAAGGCATCAGCTATCCAACGGACTGGTCGAGCAGGACGTACATCACCGGGGAAATGTTTTAGACTATACACCGAGGAAGACTACAACTCTCTTGCTCAGCAAACAGAACCCGAAATCTGTCGGACCGAGCTTACTACGGTGATCTTGCAGCTCAAGGCACTGGGAATCGATAATGTGGTCAAGGGCTTCGAATTCCTCGACCCGCCCTCTAGTCTACTCGTCGAACGAGCCTTGGAGTTTCTCTTTGCCTTAGGCGCCCTCGATGAATCGGGTCGCTTGACCAATGACTTGGGGCTTAAAATGGCTGAGATGCCAGTGGAACCTATGATGGCTAAAACTGTGAGTGACATTTTGAATTATCCTCAAATATTGGACGCTTCGAGGACCCCGCAAGAACCTTGACTGCTTGACTGATTTGTGTCGAAAGCTTTTGGAATCAGAAAAATTCGGCTGTTCTGAAGAAATCGTCACAATTGCAGCAATGACATCTGTCCAGGTGAGATATGCGATTCAATGATCAATCAGCCATGACACCCGCTGATTCGAAATAAGTATTGCAGAACGTTTTTGTTGGAGGAAACTCGGAAGAAGTCAATCAAATTTTGCATCACCCATTCATAGCGACAGAGGGAGACCACTTCACATACTTAAATGTGTTCAACAGCTTCATCAAGGAAGGGAGGTCGAGTGCAAAATGGTGTGCCAAGCATCGCTTGAACTTCAAAGCTCTGAGTCGGGCGATCAATATCCGAGGCCAATTGGTGAAATATCTCAAGAAGTTCGGGATCGGCTTGGTCAGCTGCGGCCATGATGAGCAAAAAGTGAGAAAGTGTCTTGTCAGCGGGTACTTTAAGAACGTCGCATCGATGAGAGATGATGGGAGTTACCGGAGTTGTCGGGATGGCAATGTGAGTCTCTGTTTTTCTTTTTTCAAGACATTCAACTCACTTTTTTTCCCTGAAAAGATGGCACAAGCAAATTGAATAAGATAAATCATCACTTTCTTCCATCAAGATCATGTTTGTACACCCCTCTTCGGTTATGTTCCATCGCAAACCGGAGACGGGGTTTGTGATCTTTCATGAGATTACAGAGACGAAGAAAAAGCTGATGCGGGACTTGACAGTGATCGAAAGTGATTGGCTAACAGAATGTAAAGGGTTCTTTTTTTTTTCTCTTCCGATTGGCTCAGTTTCTGGATAGTACCAATCGGCCAAGCTGACCTCGCTCATTGTCTGCTGGAAAATTCTAGTGGCCGGACACTATTATCAAGTCAAACAAAAGAAGACCGAATGACGAAACCCTCGCAGCAAAAAAAAGGCTCTTCATACCCCTATATAGATCTTTGTTGAAAGATTGTAAACTTATTCCTATCATTCCAGCTTCAACCTTGTAATGATGAAATTTTTTAGGAACCAGAAGTTTGATATTCCACCATGTTTACTTTGAAGAAAGTCCAACTACCTCACCTCTGTAGTACAACTGAGTGCTCAAGGTGGAACCCTAGGACCTGAGCACCGTCATTAATCCTTCTTTTGGAGATTTGCATTCACTTATGTAGTTATGCTTCCATTTAGTGTTAACTTGGTGGAAATTATCTGTTGCGATTCCCTATGACAGTTTATGAAAAGAGAACTTTTATGCCCGATTGTTCCAACTATGAAAACGTGATCCACAAATTGTTAAAAAAAAGCTCCATCCATCATGACTTGCCACTCCCCTCAACGAGAGATCTTCTTGCCCACTTGTTCACAAAACTCATAAGTAAAGATTGTAGGTTTAAAAGAAAAATAACTGGATATGCAGAGGAAGAAGAAGAAAAAAAAAAACTTCCAAAAATGCGGGTATAAAATTGGAATGGTTTAAGAAGGAGGGAGGGCAGATTCCTTAAAAGCCAAAGTGCCATCGACGATTCCGGCCCACAGACTGTCATTGAATGCCAAGGCTTGTTTAAGCTGTGCCTTAAGATGAACGGTCTCAGCAGTGAGTTTTTCGATTGAGTCAGTCTGTGATTTTAGTTGATGGTCCCCGACGGCGGCCTGGTGGGAGTGGACGAGGGAATGGTCGGGGAGGCTATGGAGGGCCGAGGAGGTGCTGTCCGGGCGGGGTTCGCGGCTGGGCAAACTGAACGGATCGTCCTGGTTTAAAGCATGCTCGTCGACCTGCTCTATTTTCAACATTGTACACAGCTCGCGACAGGCTCGCTGGGGCTGGCCAGCTTGGAGGGGCACCGAGCCGCGCTGAGGGTCGCCGTTCTTGCCGATAACACGACCCAGGACGCCGACGGGGCGAGGCGAGACCGAGGAGGAGCCGGAATGGTCGGGACCCGAAAGGGCATCGGCGACCGAGCTGGAAAGCAGGTCGGCTGGCCGGGCGAATGTGCTCAGATAGACCACCGGGTCTTTCGCCTCACCGGCCGCGTTTGGGTGAGGCACTGTCTGACCCAGCGGCTGGAGAGAAGGCATCGACAGGTGGACGACTTTTCCATTTGAGAGCCCACATAGAACCACCGAGCTCGACACAATCGGGGAAGGTAGATGGAGCGCGGTGATCTGGGTGGATCGGGGACTGGTATACGAGACCTCCTCATTTCCAGATTCGGTCCGCTGGACCAGTCCGCTAGGCCCGTGTACCCGCGACACGCCACCTTGAGGTGCTGCGTGACTGGGCCGAGAGAAAAGCGGGATGATCTTGAGCGTCGAGGCGGGAATGGTGTTTGATTGTTGGGGTTGGGAAGCGGTCCCATTGGCCTGCTGAGGTTCTTGAGATTCATTCTTCAGCATCGTTGCGTAGGAGACAATGATAAATCGTTCGAGAGGGTCGACTGCTAGATGATGGGCAGGTCCAGGGACCGCAAATGTAGAAAGCAAGGGGGATGATGGATAGAGAGGCGACCATATCTAAAGATCAAAAACAAAAACTTCAGCTCTTCATTTCCCCTATTTCTATTTCATCCAAAAGTGGCAAACATAGGGAGATCTCATATCGCACCTTGATGGTTTGATCCAAACTGGCGGTGAAAATCCTGAGGTCTGGGAAGCATCCTTTCGAGATAAACAGATCTGAGATCGGCAAAGTGTGATCAGAAAAGATTGAATAAGGTGTGTGCGAAAGATTCGAATCAAATGCCTCGTCTATCAAACTAAAAAAAAAAAAGAACAACACAGAGTTATCAGCAGGAGTATCAAAGAATGGATGCTGGAGATGAAAACGAATGAATGGACTGACGTTGGGATGGACCAGACAGAGCACATTGAATCCTCACTCGCACTGACTAAGGCTGCTTCATCATCACTGAAAGCGAGACAGGTGACCGACTTATAATGGCCATCGAAGCTGGCTAGAAGGGTACCGGTACTGAGCTAATCTGAGCAAGATGCAATCAAGAAGGTCAGGAAAAAAAAACGGAGAGCAAATTCAAGAAAGAAAGAAACAAAAAAGACAACAAAACAAACAGACCTCCCACAGCATTATTACACCGTCAGCCGATCCGGAAGCCAGATACGTTCCGGAAGGACTCAGGGCGACGACGATGACTCGACCGGGAGGGATGAGGCGATGAGAAGGGGTAGGTTTGCCGGCGAGAGTAGACCAGAGGAGGATGCCGTTCCTGCCATCCTTTCCAGAGATGGTGAGGACAGTCGACCCAAGAGAGTTAGTTGAGGGCAAACAGGCCAAGGTTTTTCGTGGAGGCAGGCCCGCATTCTGGACGGTCGATGAGAGTCCAAAGGCCGCATTCGCTGGGCTCTTTAGTTGGTGGACTTGGCTAGATGTCGATAGCTCGTGGAAGGTGATCGCTTGTGTACCTTCTGATGAATTCGGGAGTCCTGAGAATAGGATCGCACTCGTCGACATTTCCTTCCTCTTTTTCCTCTTTCCAAGTTTCTGATCAAGTGTTCTTGTGCTGGTTGTGAGTTGTCTACCACCAAGAAGAAAAAAATGGCCAAAATAATTCGGTAGCACCAACCATTTTGAATGGCAGTGCATTATGCATAATCTACATTTAACTTAACTTTAACTTATCGTCTATGTACACCGCGGGTACAGAAAATCTTGAGTTCGACGTCAAACGACCATGGCCAGCCATTCAACGTCAAACTGCAAAAATCTACGGCTTAACACCTGTATCCCTACGGCCTGACGGCCCGCCCCCGGCTGCAGACGGCCTGAACACCGCATGCACACAGGGACACAGCTTCCAGCTGAGCTCACGGTTGCAAGCGGGCAGGCAGGCGCCCTTACGACGGCCGGCTATTTATGCCGTCCCCAGCCGTCCAACAGAAGTGAGGATGTCTGGGAGCCAGCGCTGCCACCGGCCCACACATGTGCAGGCCGGGGCTATCAGCACTTACCCACTCTTGCCTACAGACCAAATGAAGTGTACGTCTGTTTGCTAAAGTGGTATTGAAATACAGCCTACTCCGGCGCACCACTGGGCAAAATGCTGTGGGACAGGTGATAATTAGTGTTGATTGAGAAAAACCTAAACCTACACCCTGGGGTGGGTTTTCAGAAAACCCCCCCAGCAGTTGGGTGTATTCTGCCCCAAGCGCCCGCAACCTGGTTGTGAAGCATCCAACGGACACTTGGGTGCGCTGAGGAAAGTAAGAGCATCTCCAACAGTCCTGCTGATGCGGGACCTGGGACCGACTTCAGCGGGCCGCAAGGCTCTTGTGGTCGCTAGCGGAGCTGCCGAGCAAGCTGCTGAACATTGCGGGGGGTGGACCAAAGCTGCCCTCGGCTGCTGAGTTTGGCAGCTTTGGCCGCGTTTCACCCACCCCCGCTCAACTTCACAGTCCACATTTAGGACAGCTGTGACAGACCGGTGACACCTTGGGACATCTGACTCCAAGCCGGCAAAGGCGAGACAATCCACCCCCAGACCGTTAGAGATGCTCTAAGGCGCGCCCTAGGAGATTTCTTGCACTTCTTGCTCCGCAACGCGTCCTACTCAGGTTTGTTGTCCGGGGTAACTTGCTTGATTGTCTTGTAGGGAGGTAAAATAACAATTCTTTTCATTTCTTGACTGTGAAAACTCTAACTCTTTCTATCTCCAACAATTCGTTAGGCTAATACACGATTCACTCCTAAGTCACTCTGTAATTTTGATCTCTTCTGAGTCCTCCCCCTCTCCCCCCCCACTTGACAGTCAAAACTCCACTCTTGCGCAATAACCAATTAAAGCTACCCCAGACAGTACTAAAAGCTGCCATCCGGTGCCGCCTCCTTGTTCACCCAGTAGCAGCCCTAGACAGCCCGCGATAGAACGATCACGTGCGGCCGCCCTTTGGATAGGTCTCCCATCGCCGCTTCCGCCTCTGGTCCGCTCTGAACCCTGCTTTTGCCTCTCGGTGTCTCCGCTCCTTTGTAGCCCCTTTGCAGTATACACTAAACCCCAGTCCGCAGTCAGCCGTGAAACCCAAAGTCCGCCAGTGCCCGGATTCCCCGCAGCAAGCTTTTCGGAACCTTGCACATTTGGCCTGCTTTTCCCCGCTTTCCCGTGCCTCAGAAAGCTAGACTTTCTACTAGTGCGCCGCCGCTTTTCTCAGCCTGCATGTGTAGCCTCAGCTCTGCACGCTTTCTGCATCAGCCGCAAGCATTCCGCATACACCCAAACAAATTGGCCAAAGCTTTGGTCGCGGTGTGCTCTCACCACCACAGCGCCTGGCATCACTTGGATGCTTCAGAAAGCGTCCAAGTGATGCTTGGCAGTGGAAACCATCCAGAGGAAGGTGTACAGCCTGGTGTCCATTGGGCACTTGATTGAGAGTGTCCAATGGACAGCAAAAAAAACCATCAATCGGACACTTCTCATAGTGTCCGATTGATGGTTTTCACCAGGGTCTGGCAGTTGAAAAAAAATGGTGGATTGTTGAAAAATGAGCTTGGAGGGTGGTAGATGGTCAAAAAACCATCCAAAAAATGCACAGGGGGTCTATCAACAACCTTTTGGCAGTAACAGTACTGAGTCTATAGTCAAGTGGCACGGCCTGCAAGCAGGTGACAAAATTTGGATTTTGTCACTTCCACAGTGACTGCACACCCGCAAAACAAATTGAAAAAAAATTGAATTACGTCACCCGCTTGCGGGCTGTGTGGCAAGGTACCGGATGATCAGGCACCTCCCTGGTAGGTACTGATGGTACCTTCAGGCCATGGGTTCAAGCCTTGATGCCTGACATTTGTTGATCCCCATGGGCAACGGTGATCTCATTTACATTTCAATCATACTCATTACCCATTCTTATCACCTCCATTGCCCACAGGTGTGCTCAACTTGTCTTTGCCCCCATTTGGAAGCGTCATAAATTTAGGTGTGATATTGCCTGATTAATTCAACAAAAAATAAACCAATGCAAAATATGTTTCAAAATTGTTACTCAGGCAAGTTCAATTACTGGTTTCATCAATGCTGAGAACAAACATGATATCCTAGGACATCTTGAACCCCATAATATTGATATCACACTTCATATGGGTAAAAAGTGTAATATTGGTATTATGGTGCTGAAGATAGCCCATTATCTCAAATTTTTCTGTTCTAAAATTGAAATCAGTAGTTGAACTTGCCCCAGTCAAAATTTCATGACATATTTCTGAGTGGTTTATTTTATATTGAATTTATAAGGCAATATTACACTTGAATTTATGACACTGCCAAACGGGGCCTTCATAAAATACTTGTCCGTGTTGTGTGTTTCTAACAACATCCCGTTGTCATAAAAGTTTGCTCAACTCTTCCTCATAAAAGACTTATCCGTGGCATGTATTTCTAACAACATCCTCAACATACTGTTGTTATAAAACGTTTGTTGGGTTGCTTGTCTATTAGGTTATGAGCCTGCGCACCTGTTAAACCTATGAATACTCAATTTGAAACCACTGTGCTTGAATATTAAAGTTTCTTTTGCTGGGCAAACTGAAGACTTGTTACAGTGAAGCAAAACACTTGTAACATATGCTTAAATGACCCTGCTGTCCTGTGGCTTAATGTATCTTCTTGCCATCCCAGCTCCCTCATCATCAGCATCATCCACCCAGATTTATACCAAAAAAACTCAGCCTTATATAGCCATGCTTTTGACTAAGATCCTATTTTCTATCCACTTATCACATTACTACAGTATTTCAGCACACCCAATTCCTTTTTCACAAACCCTGGAAAAGAGAGCAGAATTCAGCCCCATGGAAGAATGTGCCCATCCCAGAATTGTTCAGGAAGATGAAGTGGCAATCAAGTCAGATGGTATGTGAATTATTCCATTGGGTTATAATTTCCAAGAGGTGATCTCATTTTATTACTATTATCATTTCTAGAAGCCAGAGAATCTCAGGTGGCAAATGGTGCATAAACATTTTGTGATGAACTTCATTTCAAGTGGTAGATTGACTTCATTTTAAACACCAAATTTTATGCTTTTTGATCTTGGAGCAGATATACAGAACAATCCAGAAGAAGGGCATGTTCATCAGCATGAATTAACAACTGATGTCTCAACTCAAAATCAGGGAGAGAAATATCATGAGCTTTCATGTGGTGAGTATTATCAATGACTGAATTTCCTTCTCAATAGTAGAATTTACTGTGTTTCTGGTAGACCTGACACCTCCAAATTATTATTTTTTGGGTTTTTCATGTGAAAAGATCAAAAAAGAAGGGTTTTTGAATTTAATTCAAGGTGGTTGGCTGAATTAACAAGGAGTGTAGATAGGGATATGCATCTTGAAAAAGCTAACCAATACATGAGACAAAAGGATCCTACAGAGTCAGGTAGGGAAAACACAATCTCAACTAAATATAACTATTTGATTGTAGATGGATTGAACTGAGTTGAGATTTAAATCAAAATCACACAACAAAACTGATTGAAAGCCATTGAGCAAACCCATACATCAATCAAAGGAAAATCAATAATGAATGAAAACTCCAGCCCCTCCAATCAATTAAATCTGACTCCTTTCCAAGAGAAATCTTTATTTGAAATTGAAAATGGATACCAAGGAGATAGTCTGCCACAACCACTTGATAGATATTGTGATTTAACCAGGCGTACTTTGAACAACAGACAAAAGGATTTGTTTTGGAAAATAATATTTGAGGATGAACAGGTCAACCCAAACAAAACTGAGATTAGCAAGAAATTTAATGATTTGATTTCTGACAGTCCAGAAAATCCTAACTTGCCACAAGAGGTGCTGGAAGTGATTGAGTATGTTGATCTTCAATTCAAGAGGTGGGGATTAAGGCCAAAAGACAAGAAAATTGACTTGAATTATCTAACCAAGACAGATCATTGAATACTTAGGGCTTGAAAAATCAATTCCCCAACACAATCTTAGATAAAGATTTTGTATCCTAGATTGGTTATTACAATTCAGAATTCAAAAACCGATATCATTACCAAAAATTGCTTGCATGATCATTGCCAAATTTCATATGTAAAATCAATTCCCCAACACAATCTTAGATAAAGATTTTGTATCCTAGATTGGTTATTACAATTCAGAATTCAAAAACCGATATCATTACCAAAAATTGCTTGCATGATCATTGCCAAATTTCATATGTTCTAGAATTCATGGAAATATGATTCAATTGGCCGGCCCCTAGCTTCCCCCCCCCCCTGCAGTCAGTAATTAATGTGTATTGTATTGGTATTCCAACTCATGCATCAACATTTTGATTGCTTTCTGATACAATTCCAATACAATGCATCACATTGGTATCAAAGTGATGTGCATTGCTAAAACAATTTGATGCCAGCAAATGGCTCTTTATAGCATCACATCACATTGTTTCACTGTTGTTGGTGCAGCAGCCACCTCACTGACTGGAAGGGATTCCTTGCAGTGGATGAGGCTGTTTCACTTCATTGACTGGAACAGATTCCTTCCAGTTGATGAGGTTGCTCTACCTCAATGAACAAAAGGTATTCCTTCTAGTGTGGTCATGATTCCTGTGTATGAAGGGAGAAAAATTCAAAATTCTACTCTTTATCACTTTTGGACTCAAGATGAGGAAAAATGGATGGTAGAAGTCCCAAAAAACAAAATAAAATTGAATCAGTTGGACAACTCCCAAAACTGGCCCATAATATAGAAAGTGGATGTTTGATAATGGTTGTTGGGAGTTGCCAACTAATATCTAGGATTTGTTTTCCTAATCCCTCATATTATAAGCTCTGCATCAAGATAAGAAATAAACCATCTGTTCTTCTGTGCCTGCTCCCTGAGGTCTCTGAAATATTCAAAATTTTGTAGTGTGTAAAGATGGCCCCGTGGGACCTAGGTAATGGTTACTTTGTTTATCCAAAAACCAGCACCAGTTACTGCACCTGGCACCATCTGAAGGGTCATGCAGTACTTCAGGCGGGTACCAGCAGGAATCTGGCCTCAGTTCCCAATTGGAAGAGATCCTTCCCATCAACTTGGTTGAGACAGATCAGGTTGCTGAGGATGGTCCTTATTGGCAACCTGATTGGTCTCAACCATGTTTCCAATTTGGTATTGGTTGAGTCACTGAGGAGGGGGTTAGGGTGTGGGTACTGCCTGTTTTTTTTTCCCAAAATAAGACACCAGGTACCTCACCCAGCACCACTTGGCAGTTAACATCCGGGATAGAGGGGTACCTGCTGAAGGGTTCCAGGTACCACAAGGCCATCTTTAGTAGTGTTTGAACTTTTCTGTTTCACAAGCTAGCAGAATCTTAGCCCTCCCATGGGTTCCCCAAACTAAGTTTTCTTTCTTGACCATTATTTCAGGTCACCCCTCTCCTTTTTGGGCTGAGTCCTGAATTTCTTCACTTTATATTTTTGACTGATCCTTGAGAATGGCCTAAAATACTGATATTCCACAATTTTCTACTCACATTTTAAACAGTATCATGTGAAAAAAATCAGCTATCTTGACATCATTCAACCATGTGTGGCTTGGTCAAGCTCAAAAGACAAAAATAAGTATTTGCTCTAACAGGACCCCTTTTTTTGATTGACACAATTGTGTTATTCAGGATTAAAACACAAACTTTGGAGTGTTTGCCTCAGGAGCCTCATTGGTTAACCCATTTCCATCATTCACAAAAAAGGGTATATGCGCCAGGAGGCCAAAATGCTGAGTGGAGCTCAAAAGTAACTTTGAGAGTTCATGATTACTCCATCAAGAGCCTTTATTTCAGTACCACATTTCTTGTCCAAGTGACTCGATGAGTACCCAAAGCTCCAAACTCAAATAAGGAATTTAGCAACTGTGCTGATAGGAGATGTGCAGATAACTTGTTTTGTGACAGCTGTGCATTAGACATGACCAACACTTGATCTCCTGTTGGGTCTCATGAGTCTCAACAGATCTACACTTCCAACCAAATATATCAAATCCCCTATCCCTGTTTCTTCCTATCAGTTGACAGTATGGCCTCCTGATGATGATGATCAGCCACTGTAAAAACCACTTATGAAACTCCTATGTCATTCCTTAGACAGTTTCTCTAACATATAAGAGAAACTGAAACAAAAATTATCTGGAAAAACAGCTTTTGATTGGTCAGTGTTTGGTCAAAATGTCATCAGATGAAGCTGAAATGTCAATACTTGTAACTCAGCAAGTTCCAGTACCTGTATCATGCATTGATCTTGACAGATTCTCAGAAGCTAAATCTGAACAGGCCAGATAATGAAGGGACATTTATCATGTCAATGTGGTTAAAACAAGTAGTAAATATCATGTGGGTGAAATAACCAATCTATGAAAATTTTATAAAAGGTAGCCCTTTTGCACTCAACTTTTGGGTTTTCCCAATCAGAGAATTGGAAACTAGCACATCAACTTCACAAGAACCAAGCTCTTCCATCAGTGACCTTTCCATGTAGGTGATCACAGACCTTCCTAAATTATAAACTCAATCAACCCACATTAACTGGAGATAAATTCATAGTCCATCATTACCTCTAAGAAAACCCTAGTTTCTATAAACATGGAAGTGGTGCTAATTGAATGACTTTCAAATATTCAGTTCACAATACTAGCAGAAGACAGAAGAAGCCCACCAGCCTTATCAGTTCCCACAGCCCATAATCAAATCAATCAAGTGGACCTTCTTACACAGGTGTGCCATCAAACATTCATCTTCTTACTATATTTCCAATGACTCAGTTTGCTTATATCTCTGTCCAACTTACCAACAAAAGGACATAGATATTTGAATGGTCCAAGATGAACAGCACTTCATACCTCAAATCAGTTCTAGTCATCATGGCCATAGTTGGTGGGATTGATGCAGAGTGTGTGATAGACACCAAACCGGGTTTATGTACCAATCCAAATTGTACAGTCTCCTCCCAGATGTTTATAGCCATCTGTTTTGAGCTCCACAGAGGGAACCCAAAAACTTCAAGTCACAAAAGTTTGTGGAATGGTGGAAAATGGGTTTCAAAGAATGAATATGAAAAAATAATAATAAAAAATAAGATTTTAAAATTTGTGAAAAAGATAAAAGAAAATCAACTTTTTTTGAAAACTTTAATTTTTTGTTTGAGTGAAAAGTGAACACACAGAGGGCAAGTTTGGAACATGAAAAGAATGATTATAAATGAAAAATATTGATCCAAAAAAAGTTTCAGCATGGTGGGTGGACACCCTGCAGTCAAAATTTGTAGATTGCAGTACCAGAATGCCACATTTCTTGATGAATGACCCCCTAGGCACCCTTTTTAAACCACCAAGTAGTCATTTTTTTCCAAATTTTCACTTTTTATCATTCATTCCAGATCTCATACTATCACTTTGGACATTTCATCTTTTCCTGAAAGAAAAATTGAGGCTGTCAGTTTTTGTGATTTTCTCCTTTTTACTTTTTACAAATTTTAAAATCTTATTTTTTGTTATTATTTTTTCATATTCATTCTTTGAGACCCATTTTCCACCATTCCACAAATTCTTGTGACTTGAAATGTTTGGGTTCCCAGTGTGGAGCTCAAAACAGATGGCTATAAACATCTGGGAGGAGACTGTACAACCGGTCATGAAGATCCACGACTAGCCCATGCAATGAAAATTTGGTATTGTGATGATCATGACTGTGAATGTAGAGTGACTGTGAAATACAAATGGGTGCAAGTGGTAGATCTGTGCAGTAAATGCTATGAGAACCCCCCAAAAAGAAAAAAATGGTATGTGTAGTGCTCTCTATTATCTTTTTGAATAACAACAGGAGATTTGCTGACTGACTATCATCATTTGGAATAAATTAAGGTGGAAACTCTAAAAGCTGGTGTCCATCCTAGTTGATTTCTGAGAATCAAGCCAATCCTTTGGCCAGAGATACACAAGTTTCCCAAGATAGCATAATGTTTTTTCAATTGGTTATATGAAGATTGATTATGATCCAGTTGCATAAATAGTTTCTTTAGCTTTGTTTAAAATTATTGATACTTCCATATCACTAGAGATAAAAGCCTTACCTCAAAGTAGCTTCACATTGTTGAGGTGGTCTGTGATTTTATTCATCATAATTTGACTTACAAAAAAAAAACAAATCTGAGCATACGATTCCCAACACAGAACATATCATTTTTTACTCAGTTTTATAGATACATTTGATGAGAAAGAAACAAAAAAAAACAGAGAGTGAGATTCAAGAAGATCATAGACTTAAGTAATGAACCCGCAAATCATTCATACTTCCAAATCAATATAGGAGATAAGAGCCTTATCTCAGAGTAGTTTCACATTGCTGAGGTTGACGGTCATTTCATTCATCATACTTTGACTTGCAAAAAAAAACAAATCTGAGTGTGTAATTCCCAACACAGAATTACTTAATCATTAAGTCCACTGCTACCATTTGATTTTTTTTGCTCAGTTTTATAAATACATTTGATGAGAAAACAGAAACAGAGTGAGATTCAAGAAGATCTTAGAGTGAAGTAATGAGCCCGCAGAGTCAAGCCCAATAGGAGATGCTCTGATTTCGATATGACTCAACAGTGATTGGTTGGTCCGTCGGCTGTGTATGTAGGCCTTCCAACACCAGATTTGTAGCCCCTTGAATCAGATGTGCCTGTATAATCTGAGCTCAATTGGTCTACATCTGATCCTGTAGAGTCGATAGATATCGACAGAAAGTCCTCCAACGTTCGATGTTTCTGACTTCATTTGGATTTGTTTGATTTCAAATCTCTTTGACGGTATATATTGGCAGTAAAAGGACTGTTATCACGAATCAAGAAATCGACTGATCAGTACTTCTTCCAGCTTGTCTTTTTTTTTTTTTTCTTTCGAGAAGGATTGAGTGATTGTACTGACTCTTCAAATCTCAGGGCCAGTTGATAGACGAGATAGACGATTCCAGTGAGCACTAAACCGGCTGGTGATTGATAACTAAAAGGTCACCGAAAGAAAAAAAAAAGGAATTGAGTAGATGAGAGAAGAGAAGAGGAGTAAATCAAGGCTCTCGAAGTTACGGACCTGAGAGCGGTACCGAGGAAGCAGAGCGTGCTTCCATCGTACATCGGACTGGAGGTAAGACTGAACGGGAAGCCCTCGACGATCTCGTCCATGAGGATTCCAAAGTAGTCGCCCAGATAAGTGCCGGTGAATCCTAGGGCCCACATCGAGCTGGCGACGAGGATGGCGCCTGAGGTGAAGACGGCCTTGGAGATCAGTTGGATGATCGGTTGTGAGAGCAGAGGATGGGTGGGTTGGTGCTCTAGTGCCTGCTTGAAACTATTTTTTTTTTTGAAGATCATCTCCAGTCAGATACAGTCCTTTTCTTGAGGTCTTGGGGAAATACAATGCTCTCACTAATGGTCTCTGAGCAGTCCTATGATAAAGATCACTCCACCCAAGAAGTAACAACCACGATGGGGCGATCCCAGGAGCCGAGTCAGAAAGCGAGTCGAATGTTCTACAGTACAGCGAAAGCACATTTCGTCAATTTCTAAATCAAGCAAACAGCTGTTGATAGTATGATAGATGTTATGATGCGTACCTTGACGGGCGATGAAGTTCCAGAAGATCGGATTGAAGAGGATCCAGGCTAGGGATAGCCAGAATGAGTGCCGTCTGAGATCGATTAGTCCTCCCTCGTACCATCCTAATTCGATCGGTGACATCTTTCTTGTTTTGATGAAGTGCTGATGGCCTGGTCTATCAACACTGTAATACGTATTGATTTGCGATCGTGGAGTCTTCGGTATTGTTTGTATGTCTGAACACATACACCCCTAAATAATCCGCAGTTCCCGGGTATTATAGAGTATGGTGATCGACATAACATGTCTTTAATCTTGTGTTATGACTCATCATCATCATCATCATCGTAAGGAGTGCTTGGTACATATTCATTTGTATAGAATGTAGAAACAAGTTTGTAAAGGGGTTTTTATAAACAATTCTTTGTTATTATTATTATTTTTTTCATGAAACCCTTGGCATAGCTTGTGCTTTTGACTGTTGGAGTCAATTCGGGTTGGAGGTGGTTGAACTAGTCTCGGTTCTTTTTTAGTTTTGTGTTTTCAGATTCTGATGGGTTTGAGGCCCTGATTATAAACCAAGTTTTTGGATTTCGGCTTTTTTTATTTGAAAAGTATTTGAAAACCAAAAAGAAATCAAAAAGAAACCAAAAAGAAGTTCAAACACTTTTCAAAAACTTCTCGAATACTTTCTGCACTTATAAACCCCCCGGGCCCAGGGGCCCTTCATGAGGGCGGGGGGCAAATACAGGGGGGGAGGAACAGCGCGAACAATCCCTTGTGTGATTTGTCGGTCCCAGAGGCCGGACTTCACCAGACAGATGGATGGAAACAGTCCCTACAAATAAGGGTCGCTTGCCGAGTGAGAAGCGACCCGGTAGTTTGTTTCTATGATGCGGTTAATGATGCTACTACGCGCATCGGGAATTCTCAAGACTTATGGTCAATAGGACAGCATGAACTACAAGGCTTGGCAATGATGAAGACAACATCAGGCATGAAGATAGGAATCGAGAAGGGCCCTAGGGGGCCCCAGTCGATTTTGGCGGGCTGAGGAGGTTACCGGTCGATTGCTTGTGAGATTCCATATTCCGTACGTATTTGTTGGCTGCAGGTGTGAAAATTTTGGCGGATGATGACAGGATGTCCGACTGGAGTGAGTTTGAGAATAGGCCTATCTGTATGACCTGATACATACCATACAGGCCAATACCAACTCAACTTGTGTATTGTTTGCAAAATTGAAGTTTTTGAGATCTCAAACCACCTCCGGAGGTGGTTTGAAAGTTTTTGAGTCAGTTTTTGAAAGAAAAAAGAAAAGAAAAAGAAAAGAAAAAAAAGTTCAAAAACTTTTCAAAAACTTTCAAATATATTTCGAAAAAGCGTTTATAATCAGGGCCTGAGTGTGTGAAATCCTTTTTTTTTTAATTTTCAGACTGCTCTCTCTCTTTTCCAGTTGACCACTCTCAGCTGCCTCTCTCCCCTGCCTCTCTCCCCTGCCTCTCTCCCCTTCCCTGATCAACCACTTCACTGGTCAACAACAACAACTTACTCTTCAACGCCATGCCACTCCTACTAAACCTCAAGCTACACACCAGATGGTCAAACAGACACGAGAAGAAGAACAAGAAAGAACAACAACAGCAGCAACAACAGCAACAGCAAGAAAACAATCATAACACTAACGATACTCCAACCCAACTCATCCCATTCCCATCCAACAACAATCAGAGCACTCATGGCACACCACCAATCCTATCACCCAGCTCAACCGATTCAACCTACGACATATCATCCAACCACTCACTCCTAACACCAGCAACTAACTCATTCGGCAGTATCACCCACAACCACCCCATCAACCCAGAATCACCCAGCCCACTCCCAGCTGAACTCACTATAGCCATCATCCATCCAACCCAATCCAAACCAGAACAAAACATCCAAGCGACCATCGAATCCAGATTGGCATCCACCGGCTTCAAGATCCTCGACCAAAAATCAGTCCACCTACAATCAGCTCCATCTCATCTGTCCGAAAACAGTCTCAGTGGACTAACACCACTACCTGCAACTAACCTGATCTACTTACTATCACGATCTAGGGCAATCCAAGCATGGAAAGATCTAGTAGGAATCCAACTCACCGACTTGCCCGCCAGACCGGGCTCACTAAGGTTCATCTTCGGCACCAAGGCCGTCTGGGCTGCCGATAAACCGGAGACCGTCTTCGAACTCATCCACTTCTTCTGGCCAAACTCAATCCACTTAGATCACCCTCGATTCACTCAACTCAAACAACAACCACAACTACAATATCATCATCATCATCAACAACATCATCAGCCCATCATCATCTCCCCCCTCTCCCAGCAGAACACCAACAATGACACTACTCGAGCACCCAAACGGGTCTTCAAATTCAGCAGATGTACCCGTAAGTTATCATCATCCTCAATTAGAAACACCCCCCGGGATTCGTGTTGTATGTGTATAGATGGCCCCACTCTTACGTAATGGAGTTGAAACATATCTCAAAATTAATCTACCTGGGAATCCATATCTCGGTCTTCTTCCCATGGGCCTAGCAACAGATAAATCCAATCCCCCCCCCCCCTTTTAAATGCATACATACAAAGGAGTTTCAGTTAAATTTACACTGAAGATTTTTTTGCCTTCCCCTTGACTACATATAAACCGATCACCCCGCTACCGTGGCAACCGACTCAGCCCAACCCAGCAGACAGGCTGAACCGAGTGTCCATCACTCGCAAAAGGCTTGTGTCGCCCAGGACGAACTACAAGAAGAAGAGGAAGACGAAGAAGACGAAGCAGAGGATCAAGAAGAATTCGAAGAACAGGAAGAGGGCGACGACGAGTACGACGACGATCAGCCTGACCAAGCACTCTTGACAACCAACCAAGATAGGCAACTCAAGCGTATCACCCAAATCCCTCGCCACACTCACCTATCAACCTCCTCCCACACTCCTTCGCTTATCTCTAACGATTCCACCGGCTTCTCTTCTACTGTCAATCAGGAATCTGTCATCCAATCTTCTTCTTCCTTCGAAGCTCATCACAAACAACATCTTAGCGAAACCTCTACTCCTCTCTCTACACTCCAGCCTCCACCCAATCACCTTTTTGACTCTCACTCCTCTTCTCACTCTTCCTTATCATCCACTCTGGCCTCGTCTCCTGCCGATTCTAATATGCCAACCAATAACAGACGAACCTCTAACGATAGTAAGTTCGCTTCCTTTTCGATCGACAAGAAGAAAAAAAAATCGCGTCTCTTTCCCCATCTAAGTTTTTGTTTTAATATTAACAGATTCTCCGCCGCGATCGACGGTTGATTCGGTAGGATCGACAAAGACTGAATCGCCCGCGGCGAACAAGATGCAGGATTCGGGAGGCTCGTACACGTTCCGCGCGCGGCCGATTCCCTCGTCGGTGACGGAGCCGATCCCGACGCCGAAGATGTCCAAGGCGGCGATGCTCCGACTGGGTTTAACCTGGACGCCCCCGGTGCGCCCGGCGCCGGGCTCGCAGAGCTCGACGACGACCAACAGTGCCTCCTCCACCCGCGCCCCCGTCCCACCCGTCGCGAGTCTCAACCCACCCGCCGTGGTCCCCCGAGCGACGAAGGCCTCCAACCTCCGCACCAATGGTGACCAACCAGTCCCAGCCAGCTCTCAACCACCTAGACTCAAGAAGACTCACTCACAGATCTTCGAGAATACCCCCGGTCACGGCTTCAGAAGGGCCAATCTTCAAACTAATATCGCCTCCATCGCCCAGCCTAAAACCCAACCTAGACCGACCAAGGCTTCTGCACTCAGAACTGGTACTAACTTGCCCGACCAACCGGGCTCTCCTCCTGCTGCCCATTCCTCGTCCGTTGCCAACAATAACTATCCTCAGAATGGGAATGTGAACGGCGTCAAGGCTACTGGCAAAGGTGTTAGGCAATCAGTTGGTCAGTCTTCATCATCTATCGACAATTTCTTTCTTTCTTTCTCTGATTAGAATCTCTCCTTGTTTTCAGATTATTTTCAAGGTGTACCAGGGCACAAACGACAAGAGAAGATCCAAGTGGAGGCCACTCGCCGACCAGAATTCGAGCCCCGGATGACCAAAGCTGCTAAACTAAGGATGGCCGGAGGCGCAGCCACACCAAGCCCAAGCCCAACAACAACAACAACGACGGAAGCTCGATCGAAAGCTACTCGCTCTAAACGTTCGCACACGTCGTCCGATGCTGATCCCAAAGCTCATCGGCTCGATCAGGATGACAATGTCTCGGAAGGCCTGGTCACCCAGGACTCGACGGACCTATCTCTTTCTCTTTCTCACCCCTCCTCTTCTACCGCTCCTATCCGTTAGTCGTCTTTTCCTCTTCTTCTCTCTTTCTAGGAATACTTGATCGATTGCTGATCACTATTTCATATCTTTATAGAGCTTTCTTCCAAACCACAAGGCAATCCGTCTCCCCAATCTAATGGTGATGACGACCTCAATCAACGGTTTGGAAGCGTGCTAATCCATCACAAACTTTCTTAACTCTTCGAGATTCCCCCTCTCTCTTTATCTCTCTGAAGCCATCATTCATATGTAGATATTCTTCAAACCACCACACACAAATATATCTCAACAATTCTTTTTTTTTCTTTTATATTGAATATCCTTTGATCTTCTTCTTCAATCCTTTTTCTTTAACTATATATATATATAGATTATTATCAACTATTACCATGACTACAATCATCATTGAAGAAGATGATGATGATGATGGTGATGTTTATCATTACTACTACATTGAATACTACTATTACAATCACTAATACTTATTGCCACTATTATCACTCTTACTACATACTGCTATCATTATCTACTCTTCCATTGACAACAGACTCTATGCTACTCTATATACTCCAAGCTTGCTGATATCTCTCTCTCTCTCTTTATCTCTCTATCTCCCTATCGATTCCTCTGAGAAACATCTCCTTGCTTTGCTTTGCTTAGTTTCCACTTTTTTTTTCTTTCGGTTTTGCCTTTGGTTTTCATGTTGAATGAATGAATTGATTTCTTTATATTATCATTATCGTCTTTCTCTGTCGCTCTCTGATCTCTATCTTCTTTTCATTTTTTTTTTTGGTTATTCTCTCGATTGCTTTCTTCTTGTGTCTATCTTTCTTTCCCTTTTTCTCTCTCTTTTTTTTTTGGTTGATTTATTGATTGCAGACTTTCGTTAATCTTATTCAGATGTAATTTTTCCATGCTTGCTTATTCTCTGAGTCTTTTTTTCAATCAAATGGTAGCTATTGTTTTTCCGCTCAACTGAAGATGTTGGGGCAACATAAGGGGGGGGGGGGGGCAGGGAATTCTTCTTGGCCATTCAAGTTCCCTTTGGGTTTTCGAAGAACAAGGGGTGTTTGAGTTTATTCTTTCTGAGAAAAAGAATGAAATGAGTTCCGATTTATTAATTTGAAGTGACAAGTCCTCATCCACCCACCTTACTTTTTAAACAGGACAGTTTCAAGCCCTATTAGCGTTGGTTAAGGTTGGGGTCCTCCTTGCTTGACTGGCAGTGTTGATTGCCAGCTTAAGGTCAGACCTGTCAGCTGCTGTGTGCGCAGGTGGTGTTCAAGGGTAGCTTGACCACCTCGAACCCTTTTTTTCGTCGGCTCCGTTGACCCAAGGGTACTGCAACCGCCACCTGGCTCAACTTCTCAAGTGCTCGGCTCCTCAGCAAAAATACATCATTCGATTGGGCTGGGTCAGGCAAGTGAGTCATTGGTACATCCTATTTTAATGAACGCTGAATAATTTGCTTGGTAACTGATTGATGCTGTCTTGAACTCTCCTGTGAATTGGAACGTGAATTTTAGATATCAGCTCATACATCAATAGACATCCCGATCAATTGCTTCGCTTTTTTATATGTCCGCTTTTCGAATTCCTGGCCGCTCTCAGACCTTTCGCTCTGCTCTTCAAGATTTTTCACCATCAGCTCGCCGGATGAACACAACAAGAGTCGATTTGAATTCTGAGCCGGCTCGGTTGCCGGAGCTACCACGATTACCGGTCCCGCCCTTGGAGCAATCCGCCAACTTATATCTGCGTTCCATCGTTCCGGTTCTATTGCAATCGAGTGGCGCTGATTTCGAGAAAGAATATGAACGCCGTCAAGTTTGGGCTTCCCAACTATGCGCCCCTGGTGGTCTGGGCCAACGACTACAGGATCGTCTGATCGATATCGACAGGAACTCCCCAAACAATTGGCTGGATGATAATTACTGGATGAAGCTCGCCTATCATTCCGCCAGATCTCCTCTTCCGGTCAATTCGAATTGGTGGATCCTACTCAAACATGATCGCGATATCCCTGCTGCTGTCATCGAGAGTGTCCCCGAAACCGGCCGATTCACCGATTGGCAGCTCCGACGGGCTGCGACCCTAATCCATCGATTCATGATTTTCAAAGAAATGCTTGATCGGTGAGTAGATCTCTGGAGCTGTTTGATAAGAATTCGACATAGTTTCTTTCTGAATCTGAATGTCTTCTTGATAATGTGACCATTCAAAGTCAAGAAATCATTCCAGATTCATCACGTGCAGGTCGGTTTTGTATGCATCAGTATGATTGGTGGGTCAGCCTGACAGGCCTTACTTGATTTATCCCCATTCCCAACTCACATCCCACATTGACTTCTAGCTCGTTGGCAACGTCATTGGATGCTCGATAGCCTCTACGGTATCACTCGAATACCTAATAAACCCCACGATCATCTCAATATACCTAAAAGAACCGCTCGTCACATCCTTATCCTCGCTCGTGGTCATATCTACTCTCTCGATATCCTTGCCCCTGATCATTCTCTTCTTCCGGCCAAGCAAATCGAAGCAAGTTTATGGTCAATCGTCAACCATGTCACCCTTCATGCAGCCGCAGCTCCCATCGGATCTCTGACCGGATTAGATCGAGATCAATGGACTGATGCCCGAGAACATCTCTTGAGTCTTAGCCCGACGGTCAATAGGGATTCATTGTCGAAGATTGAAGATGGGTTGTTTGCCGTGTGTCTCGATGATTCCACCAGGCCGGCAGGTTTGCAAGGGCACATCCGGACAGCTTCGACAAACTACGACGGATTGAATCGTTGGTTCGACAAATCCTTTTCATTTATCGTCGAAAACAACTCGAGAGCTTCCGTCTCTGGTGAACACTCTCCTAGCGATGCCCTGATCGCTGCGATCATCACCGATTTCGTCCTAGCCGAAGGCGTCGGTCCGGGTCTCTGTGACCCCAGTGTGAAAGCCGCCAGTCACGATCCCGAAAACCACAGTTGGAAGAAGCTCGAATGGGTCACCGATCAAAGAATATCTCGATTCATTCAAGAGTCCAAGTCGACGGTAGAAGCGATCTCCAAGGATAGCGATTGCGACCTGCTGATCTTCGAGCAATACGGAATCGAATATATCAAACGCTCTGGTAACTAATTTTTGAAATGATCACACCAAGAGCTCATCTTCAAAGGCCTTAACCCGGGTATACTGATTTTGATGCCAAATGATTTGAAACCTAGCCAGACATTCTCCAGATGCTTACATCCAAATGGCTATCCAATTGGCATGGTTTCGTCAAGTGGGCACGGTGGTATCAACCTACGAGACCGGTCTCACAAGGCTATTCAAGCATGGGCGGACGGAGACGATCCGAACTCTCAGTAGCGAGAGTTATGCATGGGTGAAAGCGATGGATAGTGAAGAAGACGTAGGTTTTTTTTCCACACAAAAAGATCTCGGTTGAAGGTTCCTAGCTGAACACCAGTCTACTTTTTGTTTCCTCATGTTTGTTGTGAGTAGTGTCATTTGGTCTACAACTTGTTTGTCCAAGCGATTTCGGCACACAACTTCTACACCAAGCAAGCCAGTCTTGGCCGTGCCTTCGATCGTCACTTCCTAGGTCTTCGGCTCCAGCATCGGCCCTCGGAAGATGGTGCCTTGCCGGAGCTGTTCACCGATCCTGTGTTCGCCGAGAGCTCGGAATGGCAACTCAGTACCAGTGGCATCAGTGCCGGCGAAAGGTTTATAGGCACCGGGTTTGGATGCTTCGGAAAGGGATATGGAATTAACTGTTGAGTGCCAAATGGTTTTTTTTTCTCAGAGCATGATGAACTTTTATTTGAGACTTAACTCATCTTTTCTCCTTAATCAATCATCGATAATAGATATCGTTGCTCCTTCCAGGATCACATTCGGAATCGAAACTAAACATTCGGATCCTAGAACTTCAGCAACCCAATTCAAGCAGTATATTGCTCAAGCTCTCAAGGATATCCGAATCTTGTGCCAACGGGCTACCGGTAAAATTCCCCACCACAGTAGTCCTTCTGACTCCACTCGGTCAGAATCCAAACTATAGAGACAACCCTTGTTCTAGTTTCTTGTTGCCTTATAACTATCTCTTGGGATATTTCTTATGTATTCCCTTCCTCAGTCCTTCCAAGGCCGATGAGTCTATTCGTTTCTCGATCATCATCCACCTGTAAAATAAAATCGTAATCCTGAGATGAGATGTCGCTCGGCCTTGACTTTTCTTCTTTCTTGCTTTATCTATAGAATACTTGTTATCTATTGATTCCCCTTCTCTTCTCCACTCCAGGATCCCTCGATCACTAGAATATACATTTGTTCAGGACTCTCATCCTCCGAACAGTTATGTATTCTCCCATTTCATTTCATTTCATTTTTTTTTTTTGGATTGATTTTGATCGCGCAAAGAACCGAAGCCAAAACGAGCCAGTCAAATAGTGCTCTACCCCATCCTTGTTTCGTCTGTGGAGAGTGTTGGCCTGGTAATGTATGACGTCACTTTCTTCACGACGCATACATCCATCAGTTGCTCTGCTTCATTGCCCCACAACTCACTGTTTAAGCCTGGTCGCATGCTCACTGGGTTAGGTATGATCCTCTTGACCCAAATCAGAAACATATCAGCTCCCAGCTGACTTTGTAGTCCTTGGATCACTTCAAGATCACATTTCAATCAAACATGTCTCATCCAGACTCTCATCGTCCACTCATCCAAGAAGGAACCTCGTCCCCCCCTGCAAACCTGACTCCTCCACTTGCTTCCGGGCAAACCCACAGCACCGAGATTACCAAACCACGAGACCAAAGTACCCTTGCGGCCACCCAAAAGTGACCAAATCTTCAATCCCTACGTCTGATACACTTCTTTGAGACTCATTGAGGTCTGAATCCTGATTTGGGGTTCTTCTTGAAATGAAACCGTATATGATTAGAACGGACGAGCGCAGCCGCCCTGATGATCTGATCTGTGACAAGGTGCATTCCCTTAGCAAGGATTGGTTGGATGGTATGAAGGCCGACTTCCTCGAAATCCAAGGTATGCCATGACATGATAAGAATAGATAGAGCAGAACAGAAACCACTGGTAAACGTTGATGTTGAATTAAACGAAATCTGTTGACCGTCAGAGCTTATGAACATCAATCAACAAATCGCTCAAGACTTTAACGATTGGGTTGAAGCAGGCGCCGTCAGTGATCAATCAACAAAACAGATTCTCCAATCGTGCACATTTCGTCGAACTGATCATCAAGTAAAACGTTTTCTCCTTCCAGGTCGACTCTCTGGTTCGCCAGGAGAAAGCCTTGAGGGAATCGTTGAAGGATGTCCATGTCCTTGAAAGCCAAGCAGGTTGGTTTGCTTTTACAGTTCTCTGGCAATAGCTCATTCTCCGGTTTTTAAACTAATTCTGTGCTTACATCTGGATTGACCTTCGGAAATAGCTGCAGAACGAGAGCGTATGGTGAGGGATTTGTTTCCTGATCATATCTTCATCTCGGTCATGGGTCACGAGAAACTTATTGTACGCGGTAATCATAAACCTATAGGATTTTGCGATTGCAGAGATGAAGAAGATCACTGATCGATTGATCGATCCGAGCTCTCAAGACAACCCATCGACAACTCTGTGAACAGATTCGGGGTTACACTAAAAATTAGTCGTTGTAAATATTTGTCTGATGAGATGGTAGCAATTCAGAGGGGTTTTCCCTTTTTTTTCATCGGCGTGAGGTTTCCTTGTGGTCTCGCGATTCTTTGAAGAATGGGAATTCAAATCCGACATCAGCTTCCTCGCACTTTTTCAATGCGGCTGATCTGAGCCAAAGGCTTATCGGGTGCGGTGTGGTGGTCTCGATCTTCTTGTAGGACAGTTTTGTTTGTAAGCGTACACCACAGGAGCGATCGAGAGATCCTCTGACGTTCCCAAAACCCAGCCAAAAAGCCATGCGTCCCAGCAACCGCTGGGACCGCAAGGCAACGTCAGAGTTTTACCAACGGCGATAGGTTGATGATCCGACATGCCACATTTGCTGACGTCCCAGGCAACCAGGATGGTCAAGACAGCTTTGGTTCCTGGGACGCTATAGTCCCCTCAACACATGCCCAAGGGTTCTGGGGACAACAGCTCAAACCCAAGTGTCCTGTGGATAGCGAGGTCCTCTCAACGTTTTAATCAGCGTCCACAGAACATTGGTGGCAATCGGATGGTTAACAAGATGCTCAGGTTGCCTTGACGGCTCCACAAGTCGTCAAGAGGACATTTGCTGGGACTTCTAGAGTCTCCAGGACGTTCAGGGATACTAAATATCCCAAATACTAATAGGTGAACCGGATCGGCAATGGTCCAAGACAAACCGAAAAGCTTGACGGATCATTGCAATCTGTAGATCTGTGGCTACAGAGAGCGGCACCACAAACTCCTATACTGTTGCCTTGTCATTTCCCTGGGCCCCAAGGTGGCACACATTCTACCAACGTTAGCACGCTGCTCATGTGACACTCTTTCAACCATCCAGAGAAATATTGACGGACCCATCAACGTCAACGAGCCCCTCGCCAAGGGTCGTCAAGACGTTGTCTGAACCCCAACCACGGCAACCACTCCTTTCGTGGTAATTTCTGACCGCGTCAGAACGTTGTTCCCTGCGGAGGGGGACGACGTTCGAGAAACGCTCTTGCGTGAGGTCAACGAAACGTTGACCTGCACCGGTGGTGTACTGATTCCGCCTCCGCCGCTCGAGTCGTCTTCGCCGTCTGGTGGTTCCAAAGTGGCGGTCATTCCCAAGCATGAAACCAACCACTGCTCCGACTCGCTCGACTTCACACCACCAAGTCGGCCAGAATCGGTCAACTCATCACTCTCGTTCCTTCACCTCCTCCAACCTGGAAAACTCGGTCGGCGCAGGAGCAAATCCACAGGTAAGGAGGACACATCCACATACAGCCCCCGCAAGAGTCATACTAAACATCAGATTGTACCGTTCGATCAGTTATTATTCCCCTCTGCTCATAGGGCCACCACCCCACTCAATCAGACTATCGACTCATCCGATCATCATTCACAAAGAACTTCCAGTCATCTCTCAACCAGTCCTTCCCTCTCAAGGCCTAGGCTGATACGACATCTGCTCTTCTCAACCCCAGATTCATCTTCCTCATCTACAGTCAACCATCATCACCAACAGCAGCAACAACAGCAGCAGCAGCTGTTTAAACATCACAAGTCTCATCCATCTCACCGTCCATCAACCTCCCAACCATCCACCTCAATTCATTCCCTCTCTCGATCATCATATAATACTCATCATCAGTTGTCGAATCCACCACCCCTCCGGGTCGGCTTACCTGTGATTTGCGTTGCTCGTGCGCATCAACCTAATCATCCTCATCAGCATCATCGCTCAGATTCATACCATTACTCTCATGCCAAACAACTCGTTGCCATCGCTAGCAGGACCGAGATCAGAATTCTTGAGCTCATCAATCACCATCACTCTCTTCCCTTTGAAGCCCCCCGCCGCCAACAGCATTCTAGCTTTAGTCCATCTCTAGCTACTCATACCAGGGTCGAAACGCGGCCTTCGTTTCCTTCCCGCTCCCTTGACTCAAGCACCACATTCGACGACCGGCTTGCCATCAAGACTAATAGTGAACTTGGGCCATCCTATGGCGTATCTGACCTTGGTTGGGGTTATGCTAGTACAACATCCCAGCTAGCTACTGGGTGTACCAATGGTTCCATTGTTATCTGGGATATCAACCATCCCATCACCCAAGATCCCATCCAGCGTCACCGTTCACTTACTCTTGATCATGCTCACAATCGTGCAATTAACAAAATCACATTTGCTGGACCGACTGGCCATTGGATCGCATCGGGCGGCCAAGACAGTCTCGTCAAAATTTGGGTCAGCATACCGTCAGCCTCACATCGTCGACCACACCACTTATGCTCCCCCCCTTCATCTCCAATCTCCTTCTCTTAGGATGTCCGGGAAGGTCCAAGGCCGACTATGACACTCACTACCCACACCGATCCTGTGCGTCAGTTGAGGTGAGCTGCTCATCGCGCTGCTTCGGACATGCATTCGAAATTCACTGATGTCGTATTGCGAGAGTCCAGATTTTTTCCAGACAGAACAGTCAATCCATTTGATCTGTTTGTGCTTACAGACTCTGGAACCCTTTCGCACTTTGATCTACGCCAAGATAAAAGCTGCCTCACCCGGAGGGTGGCCCATGCGTCTACCGGTGTTGGATTAGATTGGCTAAGCGATGGATATAACAGTATGTTAGCATCTGCCGGTGCCGACGGGATTGTGAAAATTTGGAATATGGCCGACTCCATTCTGCCAAGCACTGCAATGCGTACTCTAGTGGTGGGTCGATCGATTTGTGGTATGACGTGGCGTCCAGGATATTCTACCCAGCTGGCAATCACACCAAGTTCAGTCATGGCTGACCTTGAACAACAAGGCTATTCCGATTATGAGCGTGGTCCCAGTTCTGCCATGAGTTCAAATTATTCAGATGATCTGATGCTCAATAAAGGGTTAAGCGCTACCGGCGCTAGTTCCGTCTCAGATGTTGTAAGCGAATCCAGCCACATGGGAGGCGGACGACATAGCGAAATCTTACTATGGGATATCAGGCGTCCATATGTTCCTGAGATGATTATCCGGGGCCGGGACGGACCTGCTTCCGGTAATAACATTTTGATATCTGTTTCCAAACTTTTAGCAGCTGAAACTGAAGCCCCTCGTTTTCTAGGTATGGTTTGGCTCTCAGCTGATCTGTTGCTGACAACCCATAAACGGACTTCAGCCATTGTTCAGCATGACATTAGTCAGTCACAGGCCAAGTACGCTGATGAACTACCCTCACAGGCTATGGCTGTTTCAAAGCAAGGATCACTTTGTTTTTCTCTAGGCAGTAAGAAAACCGATAGCCGCTTCAATATTGAAGAAGAGTTGAGTTTCCAATTGCATGCCCCAGTTTCTTCTCTGATACCACTAGACTGAAAACATTTCTTGCTATTCCTTTTGGCGCAGACTCCGCTCCGCTATGGTTCACTCGATCGATGAACTCCAACCTCCCCGCAAATTCGAATTCCTTGCATTAAATTATAAATTCGAATATCATTCCTTCGAACGTGTATGCGAGCACAATGCCAATCTTTGTCGCCGAGTGGGCCAACCTGAGCTTTGGCAGTTATGGATGGCGGTCAAGCTGTGGTTCACCCCACAGGTATCGGCTGCTCTTATCGTTGCACAAGAAATGGCTTTAGGTTCCAATGGGAACGACGAACGGGCGATTGCTATGGCAATGCGAAGAGTGCTGAAGGAGGAAAGTAGCGATGAGGGCGAAATGGATTATAATCAATCCGGCGGCGATCTAGAAAGCAGTTGTGGCAGACGTTCCCCCAGCCAAGATCAAGCATCTCGCCAAAATTCAACTAGCGGAAGCAGAACTTGTAGCGGAGACATGCGCTCTAAGAGAGAAGAGTCTTTGGACAGATCCGAAACTCAATCTCCTCTTCCCAAAAGTGATCAAGACCCAGGACATCGCCCAAAGCTTTCATTATCTGGCTTAGCCCTACCTTCTGTGCTCGATCCTGGTGAACTATTGCGCGGAGGGCAATCATTGAATCGCTCAAGCTCAGCTACAACACCCAAGGCTCAGATGCGTTCGTCTTTCCTCAGCAATGTGACTTCTAATCCCAGCCTCGAGAGCTCAGCCGAACCAGCTCGTCGTCGTCCAGCTCCGCTGCGATCTTTAGCTATTGACTGTGATTCACCAATATCGTCCCCAGATACTGAAGGACCGAGAAGGTCAATTGCTCACCGCGGAATAGAGAGAACACCAGATGGGCGTCTCAACCCTGCTTGGAGAAGAAGTATGTCAAAAGACCGTATTGCAGCCAAGATGCACGCTAGAGGCGCTTCCTTCAATGAACTCGGCAGCTTGATCCAAGCGATCGGAGTAGGTAAACTGCTATCTGAGAAGAAGGGCGAAGATTGGAAGAATCAAGAGGAAAAAATGGCGGTCGAAATTCAGATGAGAGAATCGATTTTGGAGCTTGTTCAAAAAGAGGTCGAAATCAATGGAAATGTTCAATTGGGAGTTTATGTCATAGGAGTCCTCAAAGTCTACCATCCCGCTCATGAATCTCACGATGAAGAATCGAATCACAATAGTAATACAATCAACAATAATCGAAATGATTCGCGGGTGATTGGAATTGAAAAGGAATTATTAGAGGATCGCTTCAAAAGTTGGGGCAGAGTTTATCTCAAATCTCTGACACGACATCCTTCTCTTTTAGTTGTTGCCTCGGAAATCAAGAAAAAGTTCTCCTGTCTGATCTCAAAGGAGCTTGAGGATCAATCATTGGTCAGTGAAACTTATCTGTTGTATCAAAAAAACAAAGTGGTTTTCAAGCTAATGAAAAATTTAAATCGTTTTTCTGTTGATAACAAAATAACAGAGGATCTTAAAACTCAACCCGACATGCGGTAATTGCGGCAAGGTCCTGATGAATTCAGTTGTGCCCAGCCACCCATTACCAACAATCAACAGTAATAGCAATCAGCAATCACTGACGATGATGATGATGTTGAACAATCATAAGAAGAAGATGCTACTGAATAATCACCAGAATCAGAATAGTAATAACAATAGCAATAAAACTCTGAAGTGCGACAAATGTCAAGTTAACGTATTGAAATGTTGCTTTTGGTCAGTTTGCATTGATTGATCTTCTATGCTTCTCTGAAAATGATGTGGACTTAATTATCTGTGGTTTTGTTTTCGGGGAAACAACGAAACCTTTCCATTTAGTCATGAATCGATTAAGTTTGAGCCATTGATTTGGTGCTTGAAGTGTGGACATGGGATCCATTCGCACTGTCTGAAGAAGATCAAGACAAGCACGACATCCAAATCAGCAGAGGAGAACGCATCAGACCCTTTGAAGAACCCACCGACTAATCCACTCGAGCCAGAAGCCCGAAACAACAATCACCTTGGCTCTCGAAGCAGTCATGAGCGGAGCGCATTAGAACGTAATCCCAAGTCGTTCTCTTCTTCTACGACGACAACAACTACTACGACTGTGGCCGAAGTCCACCCGCAACTCTCTCTAGGTTATCCTTCTTCTCGACCGTTTCTTCAATGCCCTAGTGGCTGTGGCTGCATCGGTTGCTTCTATTCTTATTAAAAAAAATTGACAGGGTTTTCTTGATGATCGTTGTGTTTTTTTTTTTTTTGCTATCCTTATCATTCTGTAAAATTATGTGCTCCTAGCTTGTTATCCCATTCTTTGAGTTTTGGACTGCTGATTACCGGCACCAGTCCCCCGGTTTTACTCCTCATCAACTTTGCCTTCCACTCTTGATTATCATTCCATCAGAATAAAAGTTGTATTAGTATACGTTTCAAGCGTGACAGTAATTGGTTCCAGTTACCTGTGAACTGAACTGCCTTGACTTTTATCGTTCTAGGATCTCTTTTTGCTTCTTGAGTCAACACTAAGAGGTATGTGAAGCGTCCAAATGACGGCAAGACAAGTTGCTGCCTCTCCTCCAGCTCTCATGGCCGAATTTCATATCACGGTTGATTCTCTTGGAGTGCCTCCCCTTGTCAATTGATGTGTGTTGGCCTTCAACCTTATCACTCCGTAAAATTATGGATTTTTTTTTTATTCTTCATGCTTACTTCACCCTGAACTGCCAACCAACCGGGGTCCGTCGCCAGGTTGGTTAGGGCACGGCTTTCTGTCCCATTCACTTCCTATCACTTCATCTGGCAATTCCGTCACCCCTGAGGAATCCGTCACCCCTGGTGCTGTGGTTGTCTGCCATTTGATTTCCTCTACTTCAGCTGGTACTATCCAAGTCTGCCTATAATATATAACTTCCCACAGTTACAAGACACCCGTTGTGCTTTCCCCGCATCCTGAATAAATTTTACCATCAGCCCAACCATCATCACTTGGACGAGACCCTACGAGCTTTACGGCAGAATTAGTTTCTACAAGTAACTCGTTTTTGAAGCAGTTTTCTTATCTGTTCTGTCATGCAGTTCCGCAGGTCAATTCCACCAGTTCTGCTTTCGGCAGCTTTGGCGGTGGAGATGGTGCAGACCCATCGTCGTGTTCGACCAACTTGCAACGGGTTAAGGGTTTGCTTCTCAGAGCAACAAATTGGAAAACGCCTAACATCCACAAGACCCTGAGCCAACCTGACCGATTCTTGAAAAAAAAGAAGAAGAAGAAGAAGAGTTTATCGACTGCGATGGTTGATGGACTACATACTACGTTTTGCTTGCTTGAAGTCTTGGACATTTACACGTCTAGCGGAGCTGATGGAAGTAAGACTTGTAAAGACTTGTTTGGACTGTTTCAAAGAAACCTCAATGAGCACCAAGTAGAAACCTGTTGAAATTTTATGACTAAGGAACTTAGGAGGCAGAGGGCCAAGAAGGTTAATTTCCTTTTTGGGAAAGGTTCACGGAAAAAGAGTGAAAGAACCGATCAGTTTTATTTCTTGTAGCTAGCCTGTTTTAAATAGACTAAATACAAAAGGTTAAAAATGTGGTTTGAGAGAAATTGAATAAAAGAGTATTTTGAATAAAAACTGAGAGGAAGGAATGAATGAGTTCATGGAAGAAACAGCCGGACAATTCTTCTCAGTCTCTTTTAGAATAGCTAGCAAATTAATCATGAAAAAACAAGCACACAACCACAAATGTATAAGAGGCGTTAATTCTTAACAATCAGTTTTTAGGAATCAAATAGTGAGCTAGAAAAAGAAAGGAATCAATCAGAAAGACAGGAGTTGTTGATAAATTGCTATTGATAGTTCTAATTAGACTCCAAGAAGTGCATAAGATTCAACACAAAACCAGCAGTGAAAGACTACAGTTCAGTCTAGATCAAGAAGATTCAAGAAAGAAGAAAGAGGGAAATAAATGGAAAGGAGGGAGTGATTTGGGGAAGAGTAGACCAGAAAAGAGGAAAACTCAACAAAACCCATAGTCCCATTGAAGACCCATTTTACTCATCTACATGGGTCAGGATAGAAGCCAAAAAGAACAATCACTTTGGTAATGATGATCAGAATGAAACTGTCAACCACGCCTGGTAGTTTGCAGTGACCAAAGCGCCCAATCATGTCTTTCTCTCAATCTGTTCTTGAACAATGCCGTAGTGACTGCATGCAGCAGTAGCGGTTAATTTTCAGTGCTCGATTTGTCATCCTTCCAAAAACAATTAAGGATCTGAATCATATCTCCATGCCAATCGGCACCAATTAGCAGTTGGTTTGTGTTGCTGAAACTAGATCACCTAGCACACTTCAAGGGTGAAGTCATACAAATTTCATCCATGTCAATGAATGGATTGACTGAGCACCGGCGTGACACATGTTGGTTCAACCTTACTGATGTCTTCCCCGAAAAGGATGGTAACTACATAGGTTAACTTAATCAACCGGCACCGGTCACCAAGTGGTAATGGTTTGCTTCTTTGGTTGTCACTCATTCCTTTCTCTCTTGACTTCTCCTGGCAGACCTGTAACCACAATATTTCCCCACAGTTATAAAAGACTGTGGATGATTTATCCACCGATTTTCCTGTATCTTAAATACATCATATCATCAACTTGCCAGCATCCTTCTGTAAAAACCACTAGAAATTTCACGCCACAAGTTCTCTATCAGCTTACTTGGAACTCATTCTGTCTCTCTCTCTCTGTTTGTCTCTCATCTTCAGAGCCATTTATTCCAACGCTGTCATGCAGTTCCGCCAATCGATCCTCCTTTTTCTGTTTGTCTCTACTCTGGCGGTCATGGCCAAAGACCCCTCGTGTTCGAACGGCTTGAAGGTTTTTTGCTTCTCTACGCAAGAGTTGAAGAACGCAAAGGGCCCAAACGACTGTAAGAGAACGTGATTGCTTTATCAGGATAAGTAATTTAGATCTTTCAAAGATGGCTCATAGAATATGGTTGCTACAATTTTTCTTTTTTTATCAGCTGTCACCTTTGTTGCCCCGGCTGAAAGCCAGCCAAAGTCTTGCGTAGATTTGATTCGCAACAAACCTAACGGCCCACAGGATGGAGTGGGCCACTGCTGTTCTGCGACCACTTTGCAGGGAACTGGTCCGGTGAGTATCCAGACAAATATATCTAAGATGATTGTTGTCCACTTCTATAACTCATGACTGGTGATTTGATTCTCTTGTTGTTGGGGATCCCCAGGGTACAGGATCAACAGCGCAAGTATCCTTGGCAGTAGTGCAAGCAGCTTGCCCTGATACTAAAGCTCCTACCAATGAATGAGACCAACAAATCTTTAGTTCAATTTTCCCTGCAATCTAACGGTCCACTTTCCTGTCCTAGGATAGATTTATGAAACACAAAAGGCCTTCAAGCTCAAGGGCAAAACAATCATCTGTTTGGATGTTTGAGGTTTGAATTTAGATTGATCATATCATATGCTGTCTGTGTCAGACCCAGTCTTATTGTACAGGTTCTCATCACTCCCATAACAACTGTCCTACCTTTTTGATCCAACTTTATTCATACAGATTGAATTGACTCATTTCCATTCATCTTCACTGCCCCAGTAACACATTTTAAAGTGCAACATGTATGTAAACTCTGCACTGCATAAGGATAAGATCAAAATCATCCAAACTTTTCTGAAAACCAAAAAAAAAAAAAATGAATTGCCCAAACATTTCTGACAACCTGATTCTATCTTAATTTGAGTGGGCCACCAGGATCTGGATAAGGATTTTTCCTTATCATGCTCAGTGGAAAGAAATTACATTGTTTCATTCATCAAAAGAGTCAAACAAAAAACCTACAAGTTATCACCACTGCAGTCATTGTTGATAAGGAATACAGAGGGAAACTTCTTACCCAATCTGAAGCCCTTGCACATGTCAAGTTGGCCCAAAAAACCCTAAATTTTTGTTAACATATCTTACCTAGGTAGATGGAAATCATGTGATTTGTTTGAGGGTTCTGAAGATGAAGCAGAGCTATCTCCATACGATAAGCCCTTGGTAAAACACTAAAACAAATCAGTGATAGTCCAGGGTATGGCCAGACTTTCCAAGTGGTTCCATCTTTTTGATTGAGTTTGTGCACTCCTCACCAAGATCTTCAGTCTTCACCCAAAGAAATGCCTCTGATCTTCAAGCCTTCCAACAAGGTTGTACAGGTTGACATTGGGCTTCCTCATGAGGAATCATTCTGGTGGCCAGGATTTGGTCTATCAGTTGAGAACACTCTTGATGCCCACTGATGGTAAGTCACAAGATCAATCCAAATTTTTGGATTCAAAAAATCTATTCAGAAAGCTTCTAGAAATCACTCTCATGTGAGCTGGATGTATCTTTGAATGTCTTGTTAATTTAGGCCTTAGAGAGCACTTAGACTTATGTTCAGACTGAACATAAGTCTAAGTGGCAATGGTAGGCCTTCTAGTATTGCAAATATCTGCTGGTGATTATGTCCATATATAAAGTTATAACACTTGACCATGAAACATACCATCATTTTATTTTATTTGCTAGAGTAGCTTATATGGAACCAAAATGCATTGGATGACTTCTTGTTGACATTTACAACCCTTTCAGACTTTGAAATTATGATTTACACCACTCAGCCTCAGGTCTGACTTTTTGACAAAAAAAACCTTTCTTCACAAGCCTTGTAGTGAAGACCCTCATGATGTGATCCAGTTGTGGGTTTGATTAGAAGATCAATCAAGAACTGATCAAGGGGGGTCCCAAAAACCACACTCTGAATTGCGAGGGCAAGTGCTCCATTTACATACCATGCTGTTCAGTCTTGAGGAAGAATATGTGATTGCACCAAAGATGGATCTGATTCATGATCCCTTTGAGGGAAATAATGACCTACCTGGTTTTTCTCTCTCTCTCTGTAGACAGTATGGTTCCACTCTGGAGAAATTGAGGGCAATCCTTGCCAAAATTCTATCCACAAAAGAAACAAAAAAGTCTGAATCCAGAGATGGAAGAGTTGAGTTGGATGATGGAGACAGAAACACCTGCACAGCTGTATAGGATGAAAATCCTACAAAAGAGGTCATGTTAAAAACTCTACAAAAACAACAAGGCCAAGAAGCCTTTATACCAGATTCATTTCTAATTTCTCTGATGGTAGCTATCAATTTTCCCTCTGGGCCACTCATCAAGAAGAATTTTACTTGGTCAGAGTCACTTGTTATATTGATATTTTTGTTTTCCTCCCTCTCTTCAAAGTGATCTTCTTGGTCATCATATCTTTGACATAGGTGGCTGATCTCAATTGATCCCCCCAAAAAAAGCTTTGAATGGACATTTTTTTTCTATAAGATGTGCCTTTAAACTGGAATGCCTTACATGAATCATAATTTTTCCGTTGGCAAGCCATTCCTTGAGGATTATTTCCCTCCAAAGCTGTATGTATATATATAGCTAATTGGGTGGATGTAAAGGATTCTTGATCACAACAACTTTTCATAATTAGTGTTGTAGATCAGCAGGATTAATATTTGGGTATCAGCTGGAGTTGGGGTAAGCTGCTTTCAAACTTATTGGCTGGTTTGAGTTGTCCAGTCTGCTAATGATCCCTCTCTCTCTCTGGTATGTATTCTTTCAAATGGGAATTACTGCAGGTATGTTCATGTCATTTGTTTCGATGAAGAAAATGTGGATGATGAAGATTTACATATGTGGGACTGTTGCCCTGCCCAAGAATCACTCATGAATCATCCCAGTCAATCCGGGGTCTTTACCTTCTCCACTTCGGACACAGCTGCTCGGCCATCTCACCCTCTGATGAGTTTCGAATCTCCTCCGTGGTTCCCCTGCCCATGTATGTAACAAGATATATGCTACTCGCTACATAGCGTGCCATCGATCGATGGTTACATAATTCGTGTTCCTTAAACATGTGATTGTGATGTGTCGATGTTGATCTGGAGTACAAAAGCTCTGCTGTTGAGAGAGTCCCGGACCCTCGCTCCTCTCCGGGAACAACAAACAATCTCCCGCTCGGAGGCAGTCCTTCAGAGGAAGAAGCACCGATTTCTGGTCGACCGTGTCGGCTTTGCCTCTGAGAATGCTATGATACTGCGGGGCATGCAGTTGCCTCCTTCCGAGTTCCGAGTCCCGAGCCGAGGGTGGCAGTGATGAGTGGCATGATCCCGATGGTAAACTCATAAATATGTAGTGGAGATCTTGCACACCAGCCGCTTGCAACTGCCACTAAACACCTTATGGTTTCATGGAATGGTCTCCAGTAGCACAATATCTTGAATCCAAGACCTTAAAACTTACGCAGTCGAATGTTGTAGACCGTCAGCGAATCTACGTACTGATGTAGGCTATATCATGCAGGATGTCCTCTTGGGCAAATAGCCAGAAGTGTGTCTATTCCAAACAGTAGAAACCAATCCCAACTGGAGAGATCCTTTACCAAGAACGAGCTCCAAACACTTCTCCATAATAAAAGAGACTAAAAATATGCACTCCCCTCTGCTCAAACGACTCTAATATTCTTTCTCTCTTCACTCCACTCCTCTCTCTCCCTGTCTTCTTCTTCTTCTTCTTCCCGTTGACTCTTACAATTTATTTACCCCTTTTTCTGCTGAGCCCGACACACACCCTCTCAAGTGAGACACCATCATAGCCTTGTTGTAAATACCTCGACTGCTACTTGCTTCAGCCATGCTCAAACTCCCATCTGTTTCACTGCCCTTCGGGAAACGATCTCAAACCAAACCTCACAATCGATCCTCCCCTTCCTCGCCTAATCCTACTAGCCAATCGGCTGCTTCCCTGCCTAATGATGCCAGTCCCAGTCATAACCGAGACAGCAGCAGCCAGCTCTCCGTCGCGACTCTCCCCGCAAATTCAGATCACACCAGCACCCCGTCTGTCTCGCTCAAGCGACGCTACCAATTAAACTTCAAACACCTTCAAACATCTCTCACTCATACCAGTCCCAGCACCAGTAATAGTAATCATCAGGCCACCGCCAGCCTCCAGGCTGCTGCCTCCTCTAACTCCGACTCTGATATCAACCAGCCTGTCTCCACCAACTATTATCCATCCAACAACCCACCAGCCTCATCTCCTCATCATTCCAATCTCCCTAAGGACAATCTACAATCAAATACCCTCCATCATCAAAATACAAATAAAAGAGCTAGCTCAAATCTTACTCAAACCAATCCCACTTTTTCTACTACCAGTACCAACACTAATAATAATAATAATAATAATAATAATAATCCTAACGAGAACAATATTCATACTGCTCAGAGCATGCCTGCCAGTCATCATCTCTATCCTGATCACTCTGCCTCCCATCTCATACCCCCCTCAGCTATCTCCTCGCCACTCTCCCCGATAGGCAGCCCAGCGATCGCCATGAGCTATAATCATCAGCAACTCTCCCTGCTCCGACGGCATCATACCCTTAGCGCCGGTGGACCCCGTCTCGCTCGCCTCGAGAAACAGCAGGCGCTTGCTAACATGGCCGAGAAAGATCGCCGGTTCTATGGTGGCGGATCAAGTGAGGCCGGTAGCAGTCTCTCCGGTAGCGAGAGCGTCGAAAGTCTTTCACTCGACAATCGCTCCAACCTCTGTCTGACCCCCCTCCAGTCCAGCCAACAACATTCCCCCAGCGTCATGCCCGAGCTCTCTGACCACCCGCTGCTGCACAAGACTCATCATCATCATCACCCACACCAGCCCTCATCAGGCTCGAACGCCAATAATAGCCCTCCAAGCACTCGGAACGCCTTGGTAGCTACTGCTCCCCACTCTGGCTTCCAGCTCATCAGGGGCTATAAGGGAACTGCTGCACTCCGCAGCCTCGACCTCGGTTCCCCGATTGAGCTCGAGGAGGTGGATGAGGAGCACAGGCTAAACAATAGCACTAGTCACGATACTATCAGTTATTGTAACAGCCTCCAATCCGCACCCTCTCAGGCCCATCAGCTAGGAAATCAATTGGATCCCACCACCACTGTCAGTGTCCACACAACAAACAGTCGGACCCCGACCATCGAAGCTCGCTCCGGAACCCGAGCTGCTGATCAAATTCCTCATTCTGGAAGCTTCCCACTATATTCCCAGGTGGCCCTCCATCGCAACTTCTCCTCTCCCTCCAAACTCCAGCAATCCACTACCGCCTTCTCGAACAGCGATCGAAGCAGCAACTCCACCGAGCAAGCTCACTCATTCTGTCCCCCGCCCAACTGGAACAAGCTCTCGATCCTCAACAGAGCCATGAAGCCAAACGACTCTGCTCTCCAACTACTCCACACCCTTCAACCCACCCGTAGCCAGACCCAGGGTGAGCCTTCCCGTTCGCTTGGCCTAACAACCGAGGAAGAGGATGACCAACAGATCCTCAGCAGTCCGGTGGTAAGTCCCCTTACTTAATACATACCTCTGTAACTTGGCATCCATCTCGATTCTTCTCGCCATCCCTCTACAACCCCCCTCCCTAACACTGGTTGCCGTGTCTCCCGTACCATCCTTGGGTAATGGAGGGGGGTGGCTTGGGTAGCAAATTTCTCCACGCCCATGCTGCCCGTACATATGTTCCCCTCATATACACCCTCGATGTTGAGCAACCATTGAAATTATGCACGACATCGTCAATATCATTTATCGACGTCTTTCCTATATATGTACAATTCAATAACATATCATTTTACATGGGTAGATAAAAATGTACGCGGCTGTACAGACTGCTGAGCTGAATTGGTTCCTGTTTCTCCATTTTTTATTTATTTTTTATCTTCTATTTCTACAAAAAGGACTTTCCTCAGACTTCTAACCTACACCGAGCCACATCTGATCGCGTCTCATCAACCGGCAATCATCTCAACGCATCCCAGCCACCTAGCTCCAACACGTTGTCACATTGGGCGGAGCAAACCAACCTACGACGACACCAGTCTATGAAATCCGATGGAAGATGGGGTACATCTGCAGTGACCAACTTTGAGGACAGTGAAACCAGATCTGCCAACGAGTCCAATCAACTCAAGGAATCCGCTCGAAACCAACTTGATACGTTTTATGAGCTCAGCTCCTCTATCGCCGGCCAATCAGCATCTCTTTTGCGCTCTTCCAGCCATCACTCCAATCCTTCTCCAGCTTTCTCTAGTTCCATGTCCTCTCACCCGTCTCCAAGTGGCAATATCACCCAGTTCTCAACCCAGACCGGTGGCGTCGTGACGACCATGAGTAGTCCAGTTAGTGTCCCCGGACTCTCTATCAATCCCTGGAGCCCTTCGGTCGAAGAAGCCAAGAAGCTCAGAGAACCCATGCTCAGACAAGCTAGCCTTGACACTTTGGCTTCCAACAATAGTTCTAACAACTCTCATCCAATGAAAAAATCCACCAACTCTGATTTATCTCGTTTCCGATCATCCTCCAACGATGATACCCAAGGTCGGGGGGAGATGAACCTTTTGCATACCAGTTTTGGCCGAATCAATCTCAGCCAAGCCAAGAACGGCGAAGAATTGAGCGCTCGTCCAGCCATGGGCTTATCTCACCGAATCTCAGGCGTCAAGAGCCCCCTTTCCACCTCAACATCATTGGCCGATCTCAGCGAGGGTACCGCGGCCGATGCCGAAGTTGCCAACTCTGTTGTCGTCGCACCATCTTCCAAGAAGCTTGCCCTACCCCCGCTCGTCACCGACTTTTCTCGTGAGACCATACTCGCAGGAGGAGTCCAAGGACGAAAACCTCCAGGTTCGATCAAACGTCATCCCAATGGGGTATCCCTTCTCTTCCAGGGGCCGGCCAGTGCCGCTGCCTTTGTTCCGCCGATCGGACACTCTTTATCCAGAAACATCAACGACCCATTCAACTTCCAAGAGAAGGTGTCCATGGTCGCCAGTCACAACACCGCCGCCCCTGGTATTGGAGCATCTGCCTGGCTCACCCAGAAAGAACGTCTCGTCGGCGAAACTCAGTCCCGTCAACAGAGCGGCGAATGGGGCTCCTTGCCGCATTCACCCAGCTCTCAGCTCCAAACCGCCACCACTTCAGTCCCCAATCTGCCCCAGCAGATCCAGCAACAGATTATCCTCAACCAGCAACTCCAACAACTGCAGCAGCTACAAGTTCAGCAACACCAATTACAACAGCAGCAAACCCAGCTACTCAATTCCACCATGAGGCTTCCAGGTAGCAGCACCTCCTCGATCAATGGTTTCAACTCCCCTGCGATGGCCAACATTCTACAAAGCAATGCGTTTAGCTACAGCAACATGTCACCAAGTGCACCCGGGTCTTTCTTTGGCGCTAGCGGCAACCATCACGTTGGGCCAACGCCCCCGCCTAACCCATCCCGCTTGCAAACCACTATCACGGGCTTACCAGGCCTAGGTAGTTTGAGTGGTACATCCCCACATGTCCTCCCATCACCAGTTAGTGGGCTTGGACCGATGGCGGCTGGGCCAAGCATGGTAAACATGGCGAAGCCGATGTCCTTCATGAATCCTAACCCAGCTGGCCTGCCCGGCTCAAACAACCATAACATCCACGAGCTTGCTCGGCAGAAAGGTTACAACCCCACCCACTTCGACACTTCGCCACCCTCGGCCAGATTCTTTGTCATCAAGTCTTACACCGAGGAGGACGTTCACAAATCACTCAAATACGAGATCTGGGCTAGTACTGACTTGGGAAATAAGCGCTTAGATCGAGCCTTCCATGAGTCGCACGAGTCCGGTCCGATCTATCTCTTGTTCAGTGTCAACGCCAGGTGAGGATCTGAGTGATTTGAGATTGTTTTTTTTTATAGTAAATTTCAAGTGCTGATGGTCTTCCTGTTTATGATAGTGGCCATTTCTGTGGGATGGCCGAGATGCTGACAGCCGTCGATTACAACACGAGTAGCAAGGTCTGGGCCCAGGACAAGTGGAAAGGGATCTTCAAAGTCCGATGGGTCTTTGTCAAGGATATCCCCAACAACGCCCTCCGTCACATCAAGCTCACCAACACGCCCGAAAACAAGCCCATGTAGGCTCTTCTCTGCTATACTGTTTTGTCTACCTGAGCACTAATTCAGCTTGCATTCTTCCTCTCGCTCCTTTCCTCAGCACGTCTTCGAGAGACACTCAGGAAGTGCCTCACGATAAGGGCATCCAAGTCCTCCACATAATGTCTTCCTACCAATCCAGAACGACGCTTCTACAGGACTATGGTTAGTTTTTTTGCCTCCATTTACTTCTATCTTTAGGTCAAATCCTCTAACCACGTGAATCGATGAACAGCCTGGTACGAGCACAACGAGAGTCAGAAGAGTCAACAACAACAGCAAGGATCTGAGAGCAGCCCCGGAGCGGCGGCCAACTCGGGCAGCGAATCCACCAACAAGTCCAGTCCGCCCAACTCCTCCACCGGGCCCACTGCCCCGAGACAACCCCGTCACTCGGTCCAGAACACCCAGAATCAGAACATCCGCCGGTTCACTCAGGCTAATGGCCATCCGGGCCAGTACGCCCCTGTGGCTGTCCAGGTCGCCTCCGGGATTTAATCTCCCTTTGATATAGATATCTGTATTTGTTCTCCTTCTATCTACTCATACTCACACACACACACACACAAACACTCATGCATGCTTACACACACACACACACTTGGTCTGTGAACTACCCCCCCCCCCTGCGTCCTCTTTATTGTTCATGTATGTATGTTGTTGTTGTTTTTCTTTGGTTGGTTGGGTTGGATCTGTCGGGCTTCTTCTCATCGGACATTCCATTCATGTTTCTTAAAACTCTAGAAGGAAGTTCCCTTTTTCTTTTCTTTTCTTTATTGTCTGAAGCAGAAGCAAATCAAAATCCTCATAAATACATACGCTTGATGGTTCTGTTCTTTCCACACACACTCAAATACGTACATATAATACATACATATATATATATACATACTCCTATATAACAAGTTTTGTCATCTACTCTTACTTGTTGATTGTAGGCAGCCACACCCAAGGCTTGCTCCACCAGTCTCGATAGTCTTCTGCTCCATGTTCTCTCCTTGACTGATTGTTATCCACGGACGATTGAGTGAATGGGTTTTGTTTTCATGTTTTTTCTTTTCTTTCATTCTTTTGGTTTTGAGTGTCATGATACGATATACATAGGCATGCATAAATGATACATACATATAAGCAGATACAACACCATACATGCATATATTTATACTTGATACTGCTCTACATATACATACACTGGAACTTCTTCTTTCTTTCTTCTGCTTTCTCTCTGTCTGAATCTGCACCTTGTGAATACACCTACAATATAAGTCCAAAAAAAAAGAAGAATCATAATCATAATATGCTGTCCAACAACCACTATCCCTATCCATTGGAGCCTGTCTCCTTTTGCTTTGCCAAGCAATCACACACACACATCCAACTTGATGAGCATCCTCTCCACAAGTGTCTTTTTTTTTCTTCTTCTTTGATGGGCTTTTTCATGTTGACTTGTGGTATCCAGAGGCAAGAGATCCTTGGTGGATGTAACTTGTAAACCATCACATGTGTGGATGTAGATGTACTTCTCTGTTTCTCTCTCAAACACACACACACACACACTGGTCAATCCACTCACTTGAACTACTACGGCCATTTGGATACTACATATATACTTACTTGACCCCATGCACTCAGCAATGTCTGGTCTTTTTTTCTCTGGGTCACTCTCCAGGCTCATGCACCCTATCTGCTGTCTTACTTATCATGTCTATATACCTACACACCTATACCTATATCCATCATCAAGTGCTCGTGTTCCCCAGTGAGATCATGGATGTACCGGTATCTCCATTGAGATACATCAATATAAGTAATGTTGACCTCTACTTCACTTGTGTTGCTTGCCTGGTATTAGATTTCTGTGGGGTTTGGGTAACTGTCTAGCAGTCTTCAGTGGTCTCTATTTTTTTAAAAAACCTTGGAATTGATAAATTCATACACAGTTTTGCATTGGTAATTGCCAACTTTTGGTGATGTCAATCATCATCTTGTCTATCTATTGGAGGTGTTTCAAAAATCAAAGACAACTGGAGGACTTCCTGTGAGAACTGGCGCCCTTGCAGAAGATGATCTGGACTTGAAAACTCTAGATTCCCCCAGGGGAATTTGGTTTTATGCGGCTCTACTCTAGATCAGTTCTGGGGGACCCGCAGATTCTGATGGGAAGTCCTCCACTACACCTACACAATCAAAATCAAAATCTAGATCATCATTAAGGAGCCAGAATGGACCATCTTGTTAAACATCTATAAACATCTGAGGGCAAAAAAAAGAAAATGAAAGAAAGAGTAAGATTTACAAAAAGCTGTTTTTTTTTTTTTGAGAGAGAGAGAAAAAAGAAAAAGAAAACACACACACATATATATTAATATCACCAAATCCACCATTATGAAATCAAAGGATTTTGGAAAAAGGCTCTGTTTTGAAAAGATATTGGTTCATCTTCCACCCTCTTTCAGGAACAATTTAGTGTTGGCTAATCCCAACGGTGCCACAGATACGATACACTGTGTGTATCATGGAGAATTCTGCAAAGCTGCATGGCCAAAAACCAAATATCTTGAATCTCCTTGCAAATAAAAGCAGATTGGTCAGATATTTTTTTTATTGGGGCTCAGATCCATAGTGATACATGGCAGATACATGGCAGATACCGTTGCTGATCCTCTGCACTGTGAAAGGGTTGGTAATGGTTACAACTTACAAGCCCCCCCACCAGGCCCACTGACACATTTTTCCTTTGTTCTAATGTATCAGTGGGCCTGAATTGGTCACTGAGACCAATCTTGTATTGGTTGCCTCTAGGCAACCTTATCCTGGGGGGTTTTAACCAACACAACCCCTTACACAGTGCTGGTCTCTCATGGGCTGGATTTCTTGTGCTTTGTACCTCTTATTCAAAACTATCACGATCAATAAAGCTTAGTGAGATCATCCATAGTGGGATTCACAAATGAAACTAATCAACTTTCAAGAGACCACTTGAAGGTATTTATCAACAGCAACCACATTTTTTAGCAATCCAAAAGACTGTACCAGTGAATTTTTATTTTCAGAAATTGCACTCAAATATATCCAGCTCATCAAATTTCTCAAAAAAACATTGATTGAGGCCTCAAAAATTGCTCTAAATTTTTCCAAATGTCAGTGGTGAACCCTGCTATATGTAGTGGGATTGACATCCAGGAGTGTCAAGAGTTGATTTTCATGAGTATGAGCTCCCTTGAATGCTTAATCTTGCTACACTAATCTCATTCCAACCTACCATGAAGCAAGGATTAATAGTCAGTAAAAAATAACCTTCAAAGCCCAGCCTAGAATAATAAATTTATCTGCTCTTCAAGCTTTTTGCATTCAATTTTGATTTCCCATTTTGTATCTATATACTGCGTACTACATCCTTTGTCTCTATAATCTCTTAGTTCTGTAACTGTTTTCAGACTAGTATTGCCAATGGACCCTGCATCCAAATTTGATTCCAATTTCTCTCCTACTAATCTATCTAAACTTTGGATCATGATTTTTTTTTCATTGGTTCTAGTTGCACTTTGTTGTTCTGTTGTGAATTATATGGGAGATTGTTCCAAGAAACATTAGATAATTCAAGATATCTGGTTTCAAGACTTGTGTGGATTGTAATTAAGCTGGCACCTATTCAATCAATACATCTTTGCTTTTAATCTTCTCTCAAAGAAAAGACCTGAATTTCTTGGCTCCGGCTCAGTATTCCTTTAATATTCTGCTTGGACCATTCTTGAAAGAAGCTTTGTGTTGATTCCATTTAATTACTTTTTTGTTATACAAAAAAATCTATTGTTTGTCATGATACTTGTTAATAAAAATGATTGCAAATTTTATAATGTAGACAGCTTAATCTGCCTCTTCAGCTCCACAGCAGAATTTGAATGATTTCCATAAGAAGAATAAACTGCAACTAAAGCAGACAGATTGTTTTCAAATTTAAAATTAAACAAATTGTTTGATATATGGGAATCCAAATCTGAGTAGTAGTATAAATTAACCAAGTGGTGCATTTCTAGAAGCTAATGCAAAAGTAGTAAAAAAAAGATTTATTTGCTAGGATTCAGAGCATGTTAAATTTGCCTGCGCGCACACCAGGAGCTTTCAAAGCAGTGATTTCTGGCTTGATAAATGAGTTTTCTGGTCCAAGGCCTTCTTCTTGTTGTACCTATCAAAAGGTGGTTGCCGTGTATGTTCGATCGGTTTGAATGTAAGGGGCTGGATGAGAGTAATGCGTCATTTTGGGTGGATGTGGCCAGCAATGTGCAGGGTCTCGATGGGTCTCGATATATCCAGATGACGCATGTGGTTGTGGTGAGCTGATCTATGCAGATACATCGAGCCAGGGTTGAGTTGGTGGGAGGTGGTGGGTTATGAGGACCAGTCTCTGCTCCAACCCTCACCATCTCCCAGCCAATAACCAGTCAGTCAAAATTTCACCTCAAGATGAACGATCGAGGACAACCCGAGCTAGCTGCAACCCCAGCTGTCGAAGTGTCCAAGCTGTTCTTCCGCTTCAATCCCGAATCTCTAGACGTATTACGCGATGTTAATCTGGACCTCGAACGCGGCTCACGATGTCTATTGATCGGTGCCAATGGAGCTGGTAAGTCCCACTTACAAACCTGGTATCCTCATCAGTATGTATCAAAATACTTGAACTGACCAACCTGTGCTGCTCATTGTTTCTTCCCCAGGTAAATCGACCTTACTCCAAATCCTCGCTGGCAAACGAATGTCCAAGTCGAAGGCGAAAGCGTTGGGTGAAGATGTTTTCTTCAACACACCAGCAGTCAGTCCAACCTCCCCTGTGGCATTGATAACCCCCAGCCAAGCTTGGATTTGATCGGCTAAAATATATTTTTCTATTTACTCCCAACAGGGTGTCGCTTATTTAGGTGAATCGAACACATATCTTATCAATCGGAGGTGGTTGACGAGGAGATTGATGAGTGAAGGGAAATTCATATGTAGGCACCGAATGGGCCAGCAACTCGGTCGTCCGATCCGATCTCGTCGTGTCACATTTCCTGTAAGTACCCCAATCCCTACACCTTTCTTCTCCATGAAATCTGTTTTTTTTACCCGTGAACTCAGCATTTTACGGATTTCGGAACAATAAAAACAACAGAGATTCGGTGGGAGGATACCGCCACAAAAGTCGACGAGATCGGCTGCTGAACATTCTGGATGTCGATCTTGATTGGCACATGCACCAGATCAGCGACGGGGAACGACGACGAGTTCAAATCGTCCAAGGCCTGATGGCTCCCTGGAACTTACTACTGCTTGACGAGGTAAGGTTGCCATTCTACGCTTGCCGTCCTTAATCCTTGCAGACAAACTGATCACCCGTGATTTGATCTGGTGCAGGTTACTGTTGATCTTGACGTCATGGTCAGACAGGAATTACTCCAGTTCTTGATCGAAGATACCAAAACAAGAGATTGCACCGTCGTTTATGCCACCCACATCTTCGATGGCTTAGACAATTTCCCGGTAAGTGCACCCGTTGCCTGATTCTTGTTGATAGGAGCTAAAGTAAACAAATGATTGGATTTTTGGCCTGATGATCGACCCATCAGACGCATGTCTGCCATCTCCAGATCGGATCCACGACGACTCCGAAGCCCATCCCATGGCCCATCTCGCCCGAAACCGCTGTCCAAAACGATTGCGGAATCCCTCCGGAAGCACTCCACGAAATCGCGAGCCCGGACAGGATCGGCTCCAAGTTGCTCGTCCTCGCTTTGCATTGGCTCAAGGAGGACCGACTGATCAGATTGAAACTCGAAGCCCAGGGCGATCCTGCCTTCAAGAAACGCGGCGCTCTCCCCGAAAGCTCGGTTCCTACTGACTCGGAAGTTTTCTACCGAAAGTAAGCTTCCTTTCTTTTCATACTCATTCTTCTTCACAAAACAGCTACGCAGCTCACATTTTCGTGCTGGCCATGTTTATAGATACGACTACACCAACTCGGCATAAAACCATCACATTTGCACAATATTACTGTATCCCCACTCCATCCAAATTCCACAAGAGAACATGTTTTTTTCTTCTTGCCTCTATAGACTTGTAGCTGCCCACATAGAATGTTTGAAATTTGATTTTCGTTATTCTGGCCAATTCTTGCTGCTACTCTACTTGTCAAAATGGCTTTGACAGATGCATTACATATCATACCCTACCAGATGGTCATGTCACTTTGCGGGCAGCTGGGATCAAATTACATCCCTTTCATTAATCACAATTTAATCTATGAGAACCCTCGGGTTACTTTCTTCTTGGATATACAAAACCTGTTTTGTAGGATATGTTCAAAGACCGGGCTTCTGATCAAGGACTTGATTGATTCCTTTTTTGGTTAGGGAATGCAACCATTTGGGCCAAGCCATGAAGTGATTGAATCTGACTCCTGAGACTGATTCTCCGATCTCTCATTTTGATTAAAATTGTTGACTGAGTAAAGTTATAGAGAAGATGATTGGGAAGAAGTTGACCAACAGTTATAAGCCCGCTTGTTAACATAGCCCCGTGCATGGAGCCAAAATCGGCCAACACTGACGAGCTTTTTCTATTATCTCTTTGATTTCATATTAACTAAATGTAAACTAACAGGAACTTGGTGAAAAACTGGGATGACCAACAACAACAACTGTCATTTTGGCCTGTAATTCTGTTCTTACCAGTTAGTGTCAGTGTAGTGGCATGTATCAGTGCTAACAAGAACAGGAATTTGGGAGAAAAATAGTCTGAAGACACTCACAGTTATTGGCCAGGCCTATGCTGTTAGAAGGAAGCAAAATATCACCTGATTATTATTGATCTTCATACTATGCAACATATCTGTACAAGTTCTCAAGAGCCAACTTCTTTTCCAAAAATGTGGTCAAGTGAAATCATCTTAATTCTATTTCACATGAACCAACCAAAGTGCTTTTTTTTTTCTTTGCTCAGGAGATGCTGTGAGCATTTGTAGCCAGTGGGTGAGCCACCATCCCTTGTGTTTTACGCTTTATGGAAACTCATGTATCTACAGGAGGGAGTCAACTCAGATGATCTGAAGAAAAGGTATACATCAAATTGCCTTTTTTTTCTTTCAAAAAATGATGACAAAGAAACCTAGAAACTGTAAATAAAAAAAGGAAGAAAGATACCAGACAAACCTGATGGTACAAAGCAAAAAAAAGAAGGAACAAAAGAATAAAGCTGGGGAGGGGGGCTTGACAAAAAATGGTATTTAACTTTTGGGTGATGAAACAAGGATTATGTTCCAGGAGGAAGGTAGGAATGATCATCGCTTTGTAGACGATTATCAATTGAAGAAACACCATCACTCAAAAAGAAAAATAGGTTTCATTTTTTACGTATTTTTTTCATGTTTATGTTTTGTTGGCATTACTATTTATGCAAAAAGAAGGAAGAGATAAGAAGAGAAGAGAAAAGAAAAGAGAGAGAGAGAGAGAGACTTGATTTCAAGTAGAAGTGTTTATACTTTGAAGCGGGTTTATTACATTCATATGATTAGACAGCAACAGTGATTGATCTAGAAGTGGATTGCTTTGCCAGTTGCAGCCATAGCTGGACCCGAAGAAATCATCGATCGAAACGAAAAAAAGAGTGAGTCGAGCGAGTTCACGAATGGCTTTGGGAAGGTGAAAGAGTGGGTTTGTGTAAGACTGACCAGCTTCTTTGAAGGCCTCGCTCAACGTAGGATGGGCGTGACTAGTTCGGGCAACATCTTCGGCACTGGCACTATATTCCATCGCCAAGACGGCCTCGCCAATCATCTCGCCCGCATTGGGGCCGATGATGTGCACACCCAGGATCTTGTCGGTCTCCTTCTCCGTCAGAAACTTCACCATCCCTTCCGAGTCGTCGTTGGTCTTTGCTCGCGAATTGGCCAGGAATGGGAACTGATCAATCACCCAAGAAAAATAAGTCAATATATCACCTTACCCCATGAAACCAAAGGAGAAACGTATCTAAACTGACCTTTCCAATCGAATATTTCACATTGGCCTTCTTCAGATCTTCCTCGGTCTTGCCCACCCAAGCTACTTCAGGATGAGTGTAAACGACGGATGGGATGACATCGTAATTGACGTGACCATGCCCGGTCTTGAGCATTTCAGCAATCGCAATACCTTCCTCTTCGGCCTTGTGTGCCAACATTTGTCCGTAAGTGACATCACCGATACACTTGATGTTGGGGACTGAAGTGCTGTATTGGCTGTCGATCACCACCTTGCCTCGCTGGTCTACTTCGACGCCGACTGCCTCCAGGTTGAGTCCGGATGTGTTGGGGCGTCGGCCGACGGCGACCAGGACGACATCAGCTTCGAGTTGGTCGGTCTTGGCACCATCGGCCGACTCGATCTTCACATGGTGGTTGCGCTCATCAATCTTCTCCAGGCCGGTGACCTTGGTATTCAGCTTGAACTTGATGCCCTGTTTGCTGAGGATTTTCTGGAAGCTCTGGGCGATCTCGCCGTCGATCCCTTGGCCGCCGATCGTCCCCAGATATTCAACCACCGTCACTTCCGCTCCTAGTCGGCTCCAGACCGATCCCATCTCTAAGCCGATGATCCCGCCCCCAATGACGACCATCTTCTTCGGCACTTCTTGGAGATCAAGCGCTCCAGTGGAGGAGACGATCCGCTTCTCGTCAATCTCGATCGCCCCACCTGGGAACGGAGAAACCTCGGAGCCGGTGGCAATGATGATGTTCTTCGTCGAGAGATCTTGCTTTCCACCGTCAATCAAATCCACCGTCACTGAGGTTGTTGATGATAATGCACCGTGTCCTTTGATGTAGTCCACCTTGTTCTTCTTGAATAAACCTTCGATTCCCTTGGTAAGAGAGGAAACCGCCTTGTTCTTCGCTTTGAGCATGTTGGGAAGATTCAGCTTGACGTCTCCGACTGAAAACAACAATGACGATTGGAGAGAACAAATATCGATGGATCAGTTTACTTGGAAGACATTATTGCAGCTTTTCCGAATCATGAGGTGAACAATGTTCACTGACCATCAATTCCTCTGTTTTTGAGATCATGCTGTGTTTGGTGATAGATATGGCTGTTGTTCAACATAGCCTTGGAGGGTATACAACCGACGTTCAAACAGGTTCCGCCCAATGCCCCTCGTTTCTCAACGCAGGCCGTCTTGAGGCCCAATTGGGCAGCCTTGATGGCCGCAACATATCCACCGGGACCTGTCATATATGAAAGATTTACGCCAGGGAATCCAGAGATTAGTGACAGGAACAATCTATCCTTGCAATTCATCTTGGGATTTGACAACTGACCACCACCGATTACGACAACATCATACTCCTTCTGATCGGTTTGAGAGGCGAACCTCCGTGCTAGCTGAGGTGTCAGAGATCGGCTAGAAAAAGTTGTTGAGGGCCGAAGGGTAGGAGTAACCTGATAGTCGGATAGAATAGATAGGCAGTCAGTTATCTTCTTTTTTTTTGGTGAGGGGTAGGGATAGATGGTAAGAAAGGTGTTACATACCCGGTAGCTTCGAGAGATAGCTTGTGAGATCATGTTCGGGATGATGATGATGGATGTTCTGTTGGGGAGATCGGCCGAGATTTGTGGAGAATGGTTGAGAGAACGAAGGATGACGGAAGTTGAGCTGGTCAATCCGGTTTCCGATTTTCAGCGTGCTCGATTTAAACCGATTTCGAGTTTCGGACGGGCAGAAACAGGGCCATAAACCACAGCCACGCGCGCTGGACCCTGCAAGGTTGACAAGTTGGGGCACATTCTGTTTCAACACGGGCTTTCATTGATAAGTGTGATCTTGATCCTCTCAACCATCTCTCTCATCTTCCTCACCATCTCCAGAGATGTAGCATCAAATCATCCCACCAAAATACAAACAAACATCACCATTTCTCTTCAATTCAAAAAGAAAGACAAAAAAAGGACAAGGATTGTTATAGTAATGGTAATCATACTAGCAAGTATTGAGTTTGGAGCTAGTCCCAAGAAAGAAAAGGAAAGAAAGAAAGAGAGCAAGCTTTCGTTTGTTGTGTTTCAGTCATATCTTTATGCAAAAAAATAGACATGCAAGAGTGGGGAGGTTTTCTTCAAGAATGATCCAAGCCAACAACAACCAACAAAAACTACAGACAACATATAGTAAAGAGAGAAAGAGAGAGAAAGAGAAAGAGAAAAGGGATCCCTGATAAATGGTTATATCTTTCCGTGTGTATTTGAGTGTGAATAGGGAAAGAAAGGAATAGAAGCGATAGGGGTGATGTAGAGGAGACATAGCAAGACAACACTGGATCTTCTTGGCAGAAACAAAACGTCTGTGAAAGGAAAAAAAAGAAGAATGGGACAGATCCACTAGAATTTAGAAAAATCTCTGTCAATCATATGTATATATGATAATGATATATAAAGTGAAAGAAAAAGAGGAAGGAAGTGGATATAATAGAAGTGTTCTTGATCATCAAGTTGATAATACTGAATGGGATCGTCTTCCGAGATACACACACACGCAGAGAGAGATAGACAGGGAAAATACAAGACGATCCAATCCGGAAAGGCAGCTTTTTTTTGGGAATGGGGTGTGGATATATAAGAGTGAAGGAATAAGATATGTAGAGATAGACAAAAGCAATGTTCCCAGAAGACGCCGATCCAAAGCGAAAAAAAAAAAATGAAGAAGAAGATCACTCGAGATCAGAGAGCAGACCGCCCCAACATCCGGGCCAATGCGAAGTTACTTTTCATCGACTCGTGGCCATCGTCGACATTCAATTTAGAGCCCCCTTCCGGATGAGCCAGACCATTACCATTGTTGTTGTTCAACGGGTGATAAGAAGTAGGATGCGGATGAGTGGGGTCGATGATCGGGAATAATACGGAGCGAGGGAGGAGCGAGTAAGGGTTCTGGAGCAAACCGGTGATCAACTCGATGATCCGACCTTCGATCACAACAATCCACCCGATCAAAAAAAGAAGAAAAAAAGAGGTTAATCCCATCGTCAATATCTTGTTAGCTTATTGTTCCTCTTCTTCTTTGGAAGAGGGGGGGTGGGGAAAGGAGGGAGGGACTGACCTTCTAATGGCATCTTGGCCGATTTGCTTAAGTGGCCCAAGATCTGGTCGATCTGGAAGCTCAATAGGTCTAGCTCGGCCCGAGCGGAAGGGTTGAAGACACGATTGATAGCGATCAATCTACATTGAGTCCTCATCGCCTGTTTTTTTTGTCATACACATCAATCGATTGTCAATCACTCTTCACCATTCCAAAAAGAAATTTCCTGAGGGAAGAAGAGAAAGACGAACGACGCTCAAGCCGAAGTTCAGCGTCGGATTTCCGCAGAGAAGCTGGCCGAGATCGACGCTGATGAGGCCGAGGTTCTTGTGCTGGATGAGTTGGAGGAACCAGTCGATCAAGACCTGTCCCGAGAGTTTACAGATCTGCAGGTGGCCGTCTTCGGCGGGTGGATGGAGGTCGAGACAGACTAGGTCTTCGTTCAGCTGGATCAAGCTCGTGTGGATCAACGTGTGCGCCGACAAAACTACAACCAATACGTCCGTTTGGTCAAATTCTCGCCTTCATCCTTCATCAGTCTACTTTCTTGCAGGTCATAATCACTCACGACAGGCATCCAGTTGTCCGAATCTTGTCATCTTGAATGGGTTCTTGAAACTCGGGGGAATCGAATGATAAAGGCCCCAGATCAAATTAGACAAGTGTTCATGCTCCTGACTATATTATAAAAAAGCAAGAAGCGTAGCGTCAATAGTCTGTAATGAGAGGTAAACCCTGCGAATAGGAAAATGGCTCAACTGGATCTCGTGGGACGTCTTGGCAGGATGAGATCTGCGATACAAGGTCGTATTGACCTTGCCCAACAGGACAGCCGCTGATACCGGAGGGGGGGCAACAAACAGCATAGGTGAGCCCGTACACCAGCGAGGAAGGATGTAAAATTGAGGAAGAAAAGGAATAACAACGGACCCTTGATCAAGAGTTGCAAACTACCCTGATCGCCAGTCCGGTGTTTAAAGAAGAAGGAAGGCGAGTGAGGCGAGATGCACGCCATCTCCTCCTCCTCTTCTTCTCTGCTCATCCTCCGCTGACTCCCATCTTGCTCATTCACGCGGTAGATCGTCGGGCTCGAGATCGGGATCATGCTGTCTTTTTCGTCGACCGTCGACGCAAATCCTCCCGCCGCTGAACACATCTTGTCACAACAAAATACGTACCACCATAACAGGGTTCTATGTGTTGTGTTTTTTAAAATAAAAAGTACATTTGATCAGTTGTTGTTTCGGGGGTTTTTTTTTCAACAGGGGCTGGGAATGGTATTAGAGAACTCGTGCATAAGGATTATCCTTTTTCTTCTTGGAAGAAGGATAAATTGATTTCATATTCGACATACCGATAATGTTGAACGTTAGGGTTAGTGGGTCTATCTAAGACGCCGACGCCGTCGGGCCAAAACGAGACTTTTTGGAGGCCAGAGTGACTGTGAGAGACATGCTCCTGATGATGAGAAGGAGGATTGATGAGGTTGATGTTAAGGCCGACGAGGGTAGCTAAGCGGATGCAGCATCCCAAGGACTTCCAGATCATCAGAGGTTTGCCGACGACGGTATAATATTGACAGCAGAGCACGGCAGCCTCAGCCAGTTCGAGGAGTTTGCGAGGCTCGCGAAGGGTGGAGATGCCTGCGTTCAATAATCGTTCGGCCCATTCGGCGTGATGGACGTGTGGGCCTTGTGGGTGAGTCCAGTAAACCGGGGTGAGTGCATCCCGGGAGATGTACTGTGCGCCGGTGGCGCAGATCGCATGGATCAGAACTGGTTCGGGGAAGTGTGGGTCTAGGATACTCAGATCGAGGCGGGATTGGAGGCCGATGGGTTCGACGAGGGTGAAGGGTGATAGGGGCCGATTGAAGAAGGCCTTGATGAGAAGCTTGCAGATCTTCCGAGATGGAAGATGTGAGTACCAGTTGGGCTCGGATACGGGTAGATGTGGGTCTGAGTTCTGAGCTGATAAATAATGATGGTGTTGGTGGTGGTAGTTATGGGGTGATGGGGTGGATGGGTCGTGTATGGATGAGGTAGTCGATGGACTGGGCGAGTCAAAGATCGGGGTGATGAACTGAGACGGGTATGGGTTGAATTCAGCTTGGGTGAGTTGGCCGTCGTGTTGTCTGATGACCAAGGAATGGTTGGTCGGTGGATGATCGATCAAAGAGATGATCGATTGAGGGTGCTGATCGGTATAGACTGGCTGGAAGGCTTGATGGTAAGACTCGAGATCCTCGTGTTGGTTTGAGAGTAGGATGTTCTGCTGAGTTGTGAAGAAAGACTTGGGATGATGATGATCGGTTTGAAAGTGGGATGTTGTTGTTGTGGTGGTGGTGGTGGTATTCTGATTGTAGGTGATTCCAGTCGGTAGTGGTAGTGCTTTTGTGGTTTGTTGTTGTAGTTGTAGTAGTTCCTGTTCTTGTTTGATGGCAGCCTGCGTTCTGAGTTGGTTGAGTTTGAGTTCTAGTGACTCTAGTTTCTGTTCTAGTTCTACTATCCGATTCTGTTGAGTTCGATTAGGACAGACGAGTGATTCTAGCCACTTGGGTGCTTGATCGTACTTGCACTGTGACTGTTGTTCTGGGCCCAATCGTTTGCAGGATGAACAGATCGGTTTGACTGCATCACACTTGGTCTAAGGGTTGAAGAGTATTAAGGTCAGTATGTTGTTGTTGTTATTGTAGCTGAGTTTTGGATGAATACCTTTCTTGCTCGACAGCTCAGACAGGCTTTGTTCCGATGGAGTACGTTGTTAGTCTTTCGGTTGGTTGTTGTTGTTGTTGTTGTTGTTGTCCTCCTAGTGGTAGTCTTCTGTTGTGGTTGGTCCATCTTCAGCTTGCTCTGAGTCTGAGACTGGATTCCTGTGAGCATACATCCACATCCACAATCACATGAAGCCCGTTTGTAAGCAACCCGATAAAGCCAGCAACACAGCCTTAACACAGCATCATCGGCTTATCTAATCGCACTCAACTCTCGATCACTCCCAAAGTCTCCGCCTTCCGATCTGATCTGGCTTACATAACAGAGCCTCTCTCCTCCCCCAGCATCCTCGCGAGACGGGCAGGGGGGCCGCTCAGACCCAGGCGACCGCGATGGAAGAGCCAATCAGCAATTCAATCAACTATCATCATCTATCATCATAGATAACAAGATATCATTGATGATTAATATCAGCAGCAATTAAACCATACCTTATCTGAACTGATCAACTGAGGACATTGGGCCAAAAAACTCAGAGTTAGAAAAGATCAAACTGTTGAATTCAATAATGTCACATCTCAACTGAGGACATTGGGCCAAAAAACTCAGAGTTAGAAAAGATCAAACTGTTGAATTCAATAATGTCACATCTCTCAGAGTCAGAGTCAGACATATGACCCTGTTCATGTAGGGTGACTACATATACAAATTTCAAGTTGACATCATGTCTGACCTTAATTTGTTCATTGTTTTTATCTCTTCACACTCAGTCTTTGGAATTTATTCTGGACCATTTGAATAAAGATTGATGACTTCAAGTTTTTGGTCAGAGTCTCTGGAATCCAAAAAACATGTTGATTTTATCTGTCTACCTATTGTACCTAAAACTAATATCCCAACATCTTGATGCACCCAATGATGAGCCAATCTCAAGAATCAAGATCCCAAGTATAAACAGAGATATGCATACATCCTGACCTACTGTCAACCAGCCTTCAGAACTTGGCTTTTGTAGACTCCAACCTTCTATGGATCTCCAGGACATCAATCTTAAGTCAGGCTTCCAGTATCAGCTGGTTCCATGGCAGCCAGATTACAAAATTCCAATTGAAAGCAATAACTTGCCTTTGGCAATCACAGTGCAAGGAGAACTTCAAATTTACCTTCAAGCACATCTCTTAAATCCTTGACATGAAGACTGAAGAAAAATTTGGTCCATTGGAAAAGACAGGATTTCACTTCACTACTATTGAAATGTTTTGAAATTTTTTTGCAATTGGGTGTTCCCTCAAGGTGTAAATGAACCAGGCCAACCTGAAGCCAACCCAACCCCTGAAAGTTCAATGGTTGGGTTTGGACAGATTTTGAGAGAAAATCACATGACCCAAACCCAACATGGAAATGTAGTGGGTTTGGTTTGGGCAGGTGATTCTCTTGTTTTCTTATTTTTACTGTTTACACTTGTCCCTTAGCTTTAGATAGGAGGGAAGCCTCTTGTCACCCTTGGTCATAGCTTACATTGGTACTAGGCTAGTTATCCATCTCCTCTTCACGGTCTATCTCCCTGGTTGAGAATTCCCAAAACAGGTTTGGGTTTGAGCAGCATATTTTCAAGTCTGAACCAGCCCATTTACCATATGAGTATACCCTGATTTATAACCCATCAAGTGATTTGAATACTTTATCATCCAAATTTGTACTTATTTCTGGTATTTTTCAAATTCAGTTTTATTTTGCTTAAAATGTCCCAAAAAAATCCTGGCTATTCCTATCTTCCAAAGGCAGCATGTCAATTTCAACCACTTCAAATTGTTGGCCTTTGATCTAGTCCTTCAGCACTGAGATTGCACCTGGCTCTTACATTATTTATACCAGTTTGAACTTTGATCTAGTCCTTCAGCACAGACCCTTCAGCACGGACATAGTACCTGTACTACCTGGCTCTTATATTATATAAGCCAGTTTTTCATACACGTAGCTGACAATCATCCATCTTCATAATTTAAATGTAAATGCAAGTGGAAATTTATCTAAGGGTGAATTTTTCAATTATGTTGATTGTTCTTTCTCCTGACTACCATCCCAAAATTTTGGCTGTTTATGATCACAAATTTTATATTTGGTTTGGTGCAAGGCTTGTGAATTGAAGAAACTCATTTCAGTTTCTCTTTGTTTGATCTTATTTTTATATTAAATCCCTCAAAAATGTGGATGGTATTATGTCTCTACAGTACGCTGGCAATCGGATGCAACCAGAGAAATGTTATAAACAGAGAGATGTGACTCGGGTTGAACTTTTTATGTGCAGTGGCGAAGATAATGTCGCAACAGGATGAAGATCCACATGACCAACACTGAGGAGCCCAGGGTTATTATGATACGGCTATAGTATATCTTCAAATCCAGACTTTCTTGCCCTGACTCTATATCGACTGAACCTGCAAATCCCCGAGCACGATTGCCGGTCGCAATGGCTGCGGTACGGAAACGGTTCGCGTTCATAGCTGTGGTGACTGGGAAGTTAAAAAGCAACGCTCATCAGGACTGAGTTTTTTGACACTCGAAATGAAAAAAAAGAAAAGCAAAATGTATGATTTTCTTTCTGGGTCTAACCTCCAAGTTCGGCTGTGGGAGGTGTCTGAGCATGTAGATGAGCAGCTAGGTCGGTTTGCCTGTTTGAGGCTACATTTTACGCAGAATGATACGGGATGATTGATCAGTCAAAACTTTCACCAATCTGAAACTTAAGAGAAAATGATCGCTGGCAGGACAAAGAAAATATCAAACGGCCAAAATGGAAGCAAAACGAGAAAAAAGATAGCAAAAAGATAGCAACAAATAGTCGACATTTACCCCATCGCTGGGCTGTTTCTGGAACAGTCGCACTACCTGAAATCTGTCGGATACGATCAGATGGCTGCATGCCATGATTACCTTGTACTAAGCTGAGTGCCAGGACAAATTTTGATAGATTCATGGTTGAGCAAAATCAGGACTCTAGTCTTCGCTCAAGATGCAACGTGAATCTGAAGCTGGTTGTATTTCTTGAGAAGAGAGTCCCACTTCGTTAGACTTTAACCCCAGCGTATCACACAATCCGCATCATACAATCAGCAGCTTATCCGGAAAATTTATCAAAGAGGCATGCTTGCAGCATTCCTCATCAGGACAATACATACCCTAGTCGCAATGAGACCGTGAGTCTATGTAGGACCTACTACAAACGTGTAACACTCATTATAATTGATACAAGGATTCCGACGCGTCTTGGCTTCCAGCAACTGCAAGATTGCGACCCTCCACCGGTGGGCCCCGGGTAACAGATTGTCACCCAGCCACTGTATACCTCACATAAATGCTCCTCGGTTTTTAGCTGGGTCTTTGATCTTCCGGAGACCTGGTAGGCCTAGATTTCGCCAAATCATCACAAGTGCCGTCGCTTCAGAGGGCTAACCACTAGGCCCATAGCGCCCTCTTGCGCAGAAAGTTCCGCGGGGACGGGGGCTTTGGTAAGTTAGTAGATCTTGTGGAAATCTATCCTTGACAAAACAGATAATTTGCTGCAAGTCAAGGGCCCATTTAAATCTGGATAGCCAATGGTCAAATCTAGAAATGGAAATTTATGGTGGATGTGAATGTGACTCAATTTTCCGCCAGGGCTTGTCACTTTTCAAAGCCAGAAGGGGTAGGAAAAAAGCCTTGCTCATGATGTTTTGTATGCATGTCTGTTTGCTTTTTTGCATTTTGTTTATATTCCTCTGAAATATGTAATAAGACGGTGTGTGCCCTGCTGACAGTAAATTGAGGCAAAAACTCATGATCAAACCTCACCCAAAATTGGGCATTGGTAGTGAGCTTTGTCAGCCATCGGCATCAGCAATGATTTTTGGTCAACATGAAGTGCTGAGGAAGACTTCATCAGATTGAATTTATCTTGCAAAGATAGAGGAATCAAGAAAAATTCTCATGATAAGATCTGATGGGATATGCAAGACACCAAGGAACGCTCAAAAATCAAGCCGATAGTCTCTCTTGAAGCAGTGTCATGATGATTGAAAGGCAGTTACTGTGACCAACAACAAAAAAAAGAGGGGCAATATATGAAAAGCTGGTAGTGAAAATGCTTCGCCTTCAAACAGAGTTAGACCAGGCTCAACTCTCATGTCAGAACTGAGGTAGGGGATCGAGTAGCTTTTGTTAGAACTTAGGTTTATCCACGGGCACCCGCCAAAGACTGACGACGGTCAGATGGTGAGGGATGAATTTCTGGCTCATCTGGATGTGTATATGTCCTGTATGGATTCGAGAGAAAGCTCCAGTGCACCTTGGGCCTATGAACTCCCAATGAAACAGGGGTGATTCGTTTATCAGGTTGGTATAGTACGATCAAGTTTTCGAATGAAAGCAACGAACTTCGCACAAGACAATTCATTTTCGAGCTCGTGGAGCAGAGTCCTTTGACCTGAACAAAGCTTCAGTCTTGCCCAAAGATGAAGCCAGCTCGATTCCTTTTGGCACTCAGTCTGCTTCAAGGCTGTCATGGCACACAGCTACCCAATCGGGGGCTTAGTCAAGCGGACGTCCCAACGACAGCTCAGTCGGCTGGTATGTCCCTGCTTTTCATGACTTGTGAAGGTGGCTACTTGTAAACAATCAAATGCTTCGCATCAATCTTCATAGCGGAATCAAGGGCGGAAAGCGAATTACCTTTTTATCTAGGCGATCGATCCGACTCTCCAGGTCAACTTGTTTCCTAAAAAATAATACTTCAAACAAACCGCTACTGAGGCCCATTTCGCTCGATTCCCTTCTTGTTCCAGCTAGGGACTCTAACCATTGCCGCATCGTGACATGTGGGCAAGACGGCCAGAAGGCGCAACTGAAGCCGCAAATTGCAAGACCAGGAGATTTCAGACGTTCTGATGGCGCACTATCTGAAAACCCCACTCGCCAAGGCAAATCTCATTTTTTTTTTCCGCTTTTTCCTCGGCACTTGAAGTTGAATTTGCGAATCTTGTGGTTGACCATTTTACTTCTGATCACAATCCGTACCTCAAAGCTCGCGTGCAAACCGGAATAATCAACCATAGGCATCCTGCAGTGTTGTCTACCTTAGACAGTCAAGGTTAGACCTAGGACATTGAAGAGATTAATTTTGAAGTGCTAAAATTTGTAGAGCTGACAAGCGCTACATATTCTTCAATTGGCTAGGTACTTCAACTGTGACCATCCATCACCAACAGATAATCAATATCAACGAAGTCGAATCGAGAATTGAAAATCAACGCGGTATCACTTGTACGAGCCAAGTAGCAGATCAATTGCAACAAGCAATGCGTAAGCAAAAGAAACAATTCACCAAAATTGGGACACACAGCTCAGTATTGTCTGATTTCAGCTTCGTGGGTATCTCGAATTATACAAAGCAGTCCTTCCAAAGCGTTGTCAATCATGATATTGTTCATCCTTTTCTGGACTTCACTGGCCGCCCTTTTACGTGATCCGACGCAATGTGATCGACATGTTTTACATACCTGAAAAGCCTGACTAGAGATCCCCCTGCTCAGCTGATAAGCGAAATTTTCAAAAAAAAAGTAGATTGCATTTTATATATCTGACTACAAATTCATACATACGCATAACAGTAGGTACTGTTTTAATATTGGGGGGGGGGGTATTTAGTTTTGCTTTTTTTTTCTTTATGAATTTAAATTAGACTAAGCCCAAATTCTAGTCTGCAGCCCTCAGTGAAAATCTCTTGATGATTGGTTATATATAGTTGTTATCATTATGATGCTGTGTACCTATCAGCACCAGTTGTTTCCAGTCTGTTATTTCTAATTGCATATATGACCTCAAACCACCAACTTAAAGTCACAAGACTTTGTGAAGTGGTGACAAATAGCTATCACAAAATTATTCTGGGAACAACAATCCAAATTCTTTTTGTAAAATATAAAAAAGAAGTTTTTTCAAGGAAGTTTTACACTGCCAGAAAGCCTTATTTGGATACTTGGGCAACTTAATGAATCCACTCTGACCATATTGCTCATGAAAGCAGTAGGCCAGTTCACGTAGCGGCTTGTTCAAAAATAAAATTTCTGTGATGAGCAACACTTAACAACAGTTTGCTTAAATTTTTGGTGAAGTCCCACACACAACATAAGCAAACAGTTGAAGCAACAAGCAGTGCAACTTTTCAGACTTGTCCATAAAAATTTCCTACATGAAAGGGGCTAGTAGTTCCCAACTTTCCCTTTCCTGAAGGGCAATTTTGTAAAAAAAAATTTGAATGGTTTGAATGTTATTCAACTCATTGTGTGATATTATGGTCAAATTAATGACACTCCCAAATACAACCTTAGTAGTTCTCAAAGAATTTGAACTGTATGATCTGTGAATGAAGGTTGTGGGTGTGCAGAGGGATACATAGTGCAGGTCCATGAATAGGCGTGATCTGGGTCTACATACACTAAAAGAAGAGGGGAGTTTGGAAGTGTGCCAGAGAAGGCTCAAGAGCTGCCAGCTTGGCAATGGCATTACCAACTTGGAATCAAGGGGGTTGCATACCTTGCAAGCTTCAGCCAGAAATTCTGACGTACCCTGAGATAAACACCAGAATTAATGATCCCTCTTTTAAAATTTACCAAAATCATCTGATGTCAGCTGATATCTCCTCTTCTATTTCATGAAGGGTAATAAAAATGAAATTCTTAAATTCACATATCTTGAAATCAAAGAATTATACAGATTCTAGATGCTCATTTTCTATGGACATTTTTGTGATTTTTTTTTTGCATTTTGAATGGTTGAGTGGTACATGTTAAGTTGTTGGGTGGCTTCAAGTTAATGAATTCATGATTTATGGATTTAATCTTGTCTGATTACCCCTACATATTCTTGTTGAACTGATAACTCCATCGACTTCCTTGCTCTTATCTTTATCTTGTTTGTCTTTCCTTATCCTGTGTTTTTAAATTCTTTTACTTCTCATATCATATCAAAATCTCAAGTCCTTGGGCTTTCCACCCAGTGAGATCTTATCCATCATCTTTGCAGCACATCTGTTACCAAATTATCTTGTGCCCTTTTCTACATTTTACTCGACAGCTAGAATTACACATCATGCTACAAATCATTCTGCTTGGTCCTCGTCACATTCAGCGTCACCGATCTGATGATTATTTTTGACAAAATGTCTAAAAACGTAATGATTCAGAAACCTAAAGTGGGGATCTACTTGATTCCTTACATCCAAAAACCGTTGGAAGTTGTTATTGCTTGATCCATACAACTTTTCCAAACTCTTGAACGTTTGTGAATGTTTTTTCGCCCAGTGAGGTCGTAGGTAATAGTTGGTTTGTAAAATCTTCTCGAATGCCTTGAATAGATTTTTGTACTGCCCATTGATCTCCATCCCAAATGCTCTTTGTAAAAACGTGCCTATGTCAGTTCTATGGCCAAGACGTGTACGAGTGGTGTATAAAGGCTCACTTGAATTGTACGATACCAAGATAAGTAACTCTTTGGCCGCAAGAAGGAGATAACCAAATTCCATCAGCGGCCACTGGTCGGATTTCCATTGGGAAATGCATCTTAAGTCCACCTCCAACCTTTCGACTTTCCGCAAGTAAGAACGAGCGGAATTCTCTTAATGCCTCTGCCGTGAGCTCGTAAGGAATCGCACCTTCATAGGTATGATGGGGTGGTCCACAATCGAAGTTAAACACGCTCGCGCTAGTGTTGATCCGAGGTTTTGGTGATCGTTTAAGCGTTTCAAGTTTGATCAACTCGTCTAGAGTGTCCATGTCAATCGCTCCGGCTTCGGTTTCTTCGATCGATACGGTCGGTTGATTTAGCAAGTGATAGCATGCTGTCATGTAAGAATCGGTGATGTCCGGTAGGTACCTCGTAAGTAGAAGGATCGCCGGCTGGATATACCACTGAAAGCATCCCATGAGCTTGTCACGTAGAAGCGTTCTCCAAGTGTCTTGGTCCTAATATATTTGGTGCAAACCGCCTTAGTTAGTCCGGGGTAAAAGGGCCAATAGGCTATATGATTTTTTCAAATTCGGGACGGTCAACAAGCAGCTTACCCTTGGTTTTGTCGTCCGATTCAATTTTTCTACCTTCACTTGATCAACTTGCGGATACCAATACATTCTCACATGTTCAGCGCTTCTAGCAATCCGATCGTAGTTATTTACAAATATATCGAACGGGATCGCATAGGTTGTCTCCTCGAGGTTAAATGAGTCTTCACATCGGAGCTTGACTCTAGTGATCACTCCAGTGAGTCCTAAGCCGCACAGAGTGGCTTGAAAGAGCTCTTTTCCTTCTGATTCATTCACAGTGACTTGGCTTGAATCAGCAAGAATCAAAGTCAAGGACTCGACATAGGTTGAGAAACATCCGTAGTCGTAGCCACAGCCATGGATCGCTGTTGAGATAGCTCCACCGATCGATTGCTCCGAGATCGAGCCAAGCACTGATAAGCTCAGATTGTGTTGATGCGAGAGTCGAATGAAATCTTTTAAACGAGTGCCAGCCCACGCCTCGATGGTTTTCGTACTTTGATCCACCTGAGACCAAAAAAAAATCAACCATCAGGTCAGGACGAATCATGGAAATTTCTAGACAGAGAAAAAATATAGGTCCATGTGCCACAGGGTAATCACGAAAGGGTGAAGGGGGCAAACCTCAATTAAGCCACTCATCCAATCCAAGTTCATCATATAGTCATCAGAACAAGCCAGATCACTAGGACTATGACCAGAGCCAAAGCAACGAATCGTCCTCGATTCCCTCCGACAAAGCTCCAAGATTAATTTGATTTGATGCTCATCCACCGGCTTGAAGATCGCCAACGGATTCGCCTTGAATTCACCAGACCAATTCTGAAAGTGTGCCCTGCTGTTTTCGGAGGTTGATCTGATCGGCCTCAGGAGCTTTTTGAGCTGGTCAGTGTCGATGTCTTGCAGACCGGCTGGAGGGGGGATGCTGGTCATCTCGGACATTTTCTTCCTTCCCTCTCTTGTTGTCTGGCTGCTCGATCGTTGTTAATGTACACTTGTAAGCAGGCTGGATGGATCGAGTGTGATCTTAAGCTGATTAAAGCTGGCCAGGTCCAGAGGGTTGCCCTGAGTATGGGATCCCATGTTCCTTATCATTCTCCCTTCCCCATTGGCCATGGTCCCATCCAGCTCACCGTCGACACCCTCACAACGACTACACATGTGCATTTTTTTTCTCATGACTCTTCTGCTTAGAATCTTCTCGAGAGCGCTACATCATCATGACATCATATGTCATAATGATGTCGTCTAGGGAAGCAAATAACTTAAATTGAGTCCCTCCGAAGGCACCTCCGCCTCCGGAGGGACTTTTAGTTAAGCTAGGGATGCTGTGCCTGATGCGCCGGTCTTTGCACTGTTTTTGCACAGAACTCCGGAGTTTCTTTATTTTGGCAGGGGGGGGGGGCACTACCCAGCGATGGAAGTGCTGCCCATTGAAAGGAGTATTAACTGTTTTCAAGTATGATGCATGCATTGGTTCTATCATTCCTCTTTTTTGCATATCCATGGCCTGAGTAGATAAACAGTTTTTGGGGGAATTCAGTGTATAAACCTATTACTACAATGATAATGTGAAACCATTAGCTCAATATTAATGGTTGTGCCAGTCCTCTATACATTCATTGTATACAATCATAAACCTTTCTGAAGGATCATGATACATGATATTTATGCCTCTGAAATGGGTTTAGAAGATTCTAGCAGTTTTTTGTTGAAATTCCTGATTGAGTAAGCAAAAACATCATTGAAGAATGATTTTAGTACCCCCAGGTTTCTGATTGTTGGGGAAACTCTTCCACCTTTTTCCATCCAATAACTCAAGTAGTACCAAAGGACCTCTCTCAGCTTGGGATTTTGAAGTCGTTTATTTGTTAGTTTGGCTGCATTATCAAACTCTCTCATTTTAAGTTTAAGTTTTTTATTACCAATGCATATATGTCTGAATTCTTCAAAATGGGTTTTCGCGAGTTGAAATAAGTTTTTCTCCATCTTTGGATCACGATTTGTTTCGGTGGTTGTGTTGATCATGTCGACAAAAAATAGAAACAAGACGTATAGCTGTCTCATATCCCGGAGCACATCCATCTTGTCTCGTCGAAAGTCGATCATCAAATCGATCCCACTCCGTTTTTCCCAAAATTCTAGCCACAAATGTCCGAGCCTGGAAACTTCGACAGCTGAATTCATCCAAAATCTCCTACGCCTTAGGTTTTTCTCATTTGACCATCCACCGGTATTTCCTTGATGCACATACTCGTTCATGTACCCTACGTATTTGTATTCTTCTCTCGGGGGTATGAAGAGTATTTCTCCTGGAAAGTTTTCAAGGCATCGGTTCATTCTTTCTAATTTTTTCACATGATCATCACTAAATGGTAACCCCGAACCTTCAAAAATGTTCTTGTTAAACTCAAGCTTATTAAAAGGTAGAACAATCGGTATGTTTTGACGTATTTCTGTAAAGACAATCTTCTCGATCATTTCTCCTGCTTCAGCCGAACCTAGGCTAGGTATCACCTGACTGAATTTACCTGAGAATCGCAGATTCGGGTGACTTGAGGTACTGTCGTGGTCTATCACTCCTGGTTCGTTTTTGATTCTAGGACGCAATTCAAAATTAATCGGGGGCTGATCGAGCTTAGGTTTCTTAGAGCCCAAGGGTGGGTTACTTGGAGCTAACGCAAATGGGAATTTGAAAATCTTTCTGTGCTTTATAGCATGGGCAGCAGTCTCTGGTAGACTTCCCGAATCATGAGCACTTGGACCGACACTTTGTGAAACGGGTTTCCATTTCCGATCCAATGATGTGGAGTCTACAAGCCCGTTCATCTGCGTTTTCGACGAATAAACATTTGGATGATCTTCAGTGAGTGGAGTGGTGGGAGCCAGGACCGAAGCTGATGGGTGATTGTATGTCGGGAAGTGGTCCATATATTTTGTATGAACTCCTATATTCCTGCCTGTTAGCTCCTGATAGTCGAAAGCTCTTCCAAAATGAGTTTCTCCACTGGGCAGTGGAAGCGATGGAGCGTCATGATTCATAATCATCGAAGAAACACCGAGACCTTTTCTTCTGGCTTCCAACTCGGTGTCTGGTTCTTTTAAAATTTGCGTGGCGTATGAACTACTAGGTTTAGCTTCTGGTGCCGGGGTTGACTTCCAAGTGTTGTCCTCAATGAGATTGGGCGGTTCGATTGTCCAGTCGTGAAGTAGAGCCAATGGGTCATGTGACAATTCCCCCATAGCTGAATTGCAAGCTGTAAGAAGTACATGGCAGGCTGCAACTAATTGGTGAGCACCGATAGCCATGTGTTTTTGAAAGTTCAAAATCTCGAAATTTTCAAGTTGCTTTTGGAATCCGTAAATCAAGTCAGCGCGGTGGAAAGAAGAGTCGGGGTGGATGCGAGAAGCGCTGTGCCCAAGGCCGTCCTCCTGAACCAGGTTCCTGCCTTCCTCAAACTACCTGCAGCTTGGATAAATAAATCAGCCTACAGTCTTCTGTAGTTGAGTCGGGCCCTCGACTGGGTGCATTTTAGAGAATCTTGGTCGATCGGTCGGACATATATTGCTGGGATCAAACATGCCTCATTGCGCCTTTGACCTAGGGAAGGACGAAGAACAACCAGGCCCACGAAAGAAACACGTTCTTCGTGCATATTGAAACCTGAGAAAATCATCAATTATGGAAACGAAAAAGTTCTAACTCAACCCTTGGGTAGAGAGGTGCAAAAATGAACTTCCCAATCTGTATAGGCAGGGGAAAATCGAACGAGGGTTTAAGAATATGAAAGATTGACATTAGGCCTCTGTGTGGGTTGCGATTTATTCATTTCGAGCCAACTCATTTAATTGAGAGGTTTTCTGAGACTGTTCGGTTGACAACACAGCTACATAAAACCTGATGCTTGGCTAGCTTAATCACGCAAGTTGTCAATGTCTGGGTATGGGGCTCGCCAAAGCAAGCCTCCCCTCTTAGGGATAACCACACCCCTAACAAAGTACAAGTCCCTCGCATCAGAAAGCCTGGTATTGCCTGTCACCAGGCCCTCCAAAGTGAGGAACTTGTTAGACTAAGTTAGACAATGAGCTGCTTGCAGTGCTAGGAGTGTACACAGACCTGCTTGTCTGGTTTGGGGCAAAGATTTTTAGCCCGGCAATTACAGCTTGCTGAAATTGTTTGAAGCACATTTTTTTCCACCCCTGTCGATACTAAACAGACTATAGTATAGTCTATGTAATACATCTGTCTAGGCTCTCTTACAGGATGTCCTCACATCTCGCTTTGTCTCGCTCGCGGCCGGTCAATCTCGGTGGCCCCCCGGGGGGTTTTTTTTCATAGCTGGCCGGATGCACCAGCTCAGCCGGGCCGGGAAGAACAAGCTAGGCAAAGCCATATGTCCGATCGACTCATCCCAGCCATCAGTAACCTCGATCGTTGCTCAATCAGACAGCATCGACCTACACCATCGAACTCTAGCCTCAGTAGCCTCAATCGTTGCTTGTTTGTCGTTGTCTTCGACTCAACCCTCAGTAACCTCGATCATTACTGGATCTTTGCTCGTTTGTCGTTGTCTTTGACTCAACCCCTCCACCTTTCACAGCGTCGGTCAACGTCACATCCATACTGTACTTGTCCATCCAAGGTCAGCTTTGATTCCCCTCCGCGAAGTTTCATGGAATGCTATCTGAAGAGCCAATGCGGCGCTGGCTCTCATGCTGGTTACGGACACCAAAACTCTGCAAATCCAGGCGGTTACGGGATTGGCAAGCAATATGAAAGCGCATCCGGAAGGCTGAATCAATCGGACCGAAACGAAGGATATTCAAAGACCTCCTCGAGGCCTAACGAAGAAAACTATGGCAGTGCGACTCACCAGCAGAATCCACAATCAAGTGGTCATTCTGGAGATCAAACTGGGGCTTACTCACATGATGCTGAGCGAAAAGATCGAGACAAATACCCTCATGGTCATTCACAATCTCGAGTCTCGTCGGCCAATGTGGAGCATGGACGCGACAGCTACCCCCGAGATACTGAAAGTTTTGGCATGTCGCACCAACCAACCCCGGATCAAAATTCAGGCAGCTACCAGATGCCTTCTCATTTATATGAGAGTACTAACCCGGTGACTCATCTCAAATGTCTTCAGTTACTCAAGAGTTTGATCTGAGCCTTGGGTTGTCTTTGAAAAGTTCACAACCGAAAAAACAAAAGCCTAAAGTTTCTAGGCAGTTCTAAATGCTTGAAGACTGGATGTATAGCTGAAATTGAATATGTGAAAAAAATCATAGTTAATTTTTGATAAAGTTTTATTGTGATTTCTTTTTTTGCTTGTGATAATTGATCTGGAGCTTAGTCTATCATGTTCATAAAAACTGATAACATTGCAAGCAGTCATTGAAAGCCTCAAGATTTCTTCAGATCAATCAAATTCAAACAAGGGGAGGGGTGAGCCAGTTTTGGATTCTGATCAGACTGCTTCTAAAGAATCAGTTTGAAGGAAACTGAGGTTAGTCCCTGTTTGGACATTTCTTTGATCCAGAGGAATTCTTTCAGAAACAAAAACTGGAGGCTGTAAGATCTGGGAAACAACCAAATGGAGCCAAGAATTAAAGGGAACACTCAAGATGTTGGATGCTGCACTTGAGAGTCATTTCCAATTAAACCATGCTGACAAAGGATATATGGGCCTGGATGTTAGAAGGATCACAGTATCTTGCTGGCCCAGATTAAGATCAATTGTCAATGCATATTGTAATTGGTTCAAGCATTTGGCTACTTGACATAATATCATGGCGGCTGTCTCACTAGGACTTGAATCTCAATCCGGTTGGGAAAATATCACTGAAAATTAGATTGATGATAGAGTGTGAAAGGTTTCTCCTGCATTCTTGGTTTGAATGGCAATAGACTTTGGGTGTGAAGTTATTTATGAGCAAGCACAATTTCTTGGTTTCTAATTAGGAGGTTAGAAAAACAACAACTTCACCCCTGTTGATAGTATACAGATTATAGTATAGTCTGTGTACTAGGTGCGGCTAGGCTCTTCTACATTTTCTGAGAATTATTTGAAGACTAACACTCATTTAATTTGAAATTGTCCCTTTTTGTTTCTTGAATGATAGTGAATTTATCAAGGTTAATGTTGAAATGACATATGGCCATATGTGCATGTGGTGGAAGGGGTATGTGTGAGCCAGATGGATGGTATCAAAGCAGTTCTTCTTTGTCCATGATGTTTATGAAAAAACAATCCATACTTTGGAATTAAGAAAGAGGTTAAGTAATGGTGAAATGAGAGTTGGTCATTGGAGTATGTGTGTTTGCAATCTACCACAGATCTCAGTTACCATGTGGTGGAAGGGGTATGTGTGGGCTAGATGGATGGTCCCAAAGCAGGTATTCTTTGTCTGTGATTTTCATGAACAAAGAATCCATACTTTGCAATCAAGAAAAAGGGGTAATGGCAATATGAGAATTGGTCACTGAGATATGTGTGTCTGCAATCTACAATATTTTTCAGTAACCATGTGGTGGAAGGGGTATGTGTGGGCTAGATTGATGGTTCCAAAGCAGGAATCATTTTTATAATAATGTTCATGGACAAAGAATACCTGCTTTGGAAGCATTAAATTTGAGTAATTTTGAAATGAGAGATGACCACTGAAATATGTGTTTCCAATGTACCACATACTCCAATGAAAAATTCTCATTTCACCATTAATTCACCTTTTTTCTTGATTCCAATACATGGATTCCTTTGTTCATAAACATTATGGAAAAAGAATACCTGCTTTGGAACCAACCATCTAGCCCACACATACCCCTTCCACCACATGGTAACTGAAATCTGTGGTAGATTGCAAACACACATACTCCAATGATCAACTCTCATTTCACCATTACTTAACCTCTTTCTTGATTCCAAAGTATGGATTGTTTTTTCATAAACATCATGGACAAAGAATAACTGCTTTGGAACCATCCATCTAGCTCACATACCCGTTTCACCACATGGTCACTGGAGAGTGTGCCATACTGCAAACACTCATATTTTAGTGGTCATTTCTCATTTCAGCATTACTTAAAATTTCTAAAGGCTTCCAAAACAGGTATTCTTTTGTCTGTCTAGTCTCAAACCCAAAGGATATAAACCCATTTGAAAAAAGTAATAAATCAAAATAAATCAAACAAAGCCCTGACAAAGCCTTGGGTCCTGAAGCTGATCCTGGTACTTTGGTCTTATCCAACCAGCCCCCAGGCGGCAAAAAGTTAGTTAATAAAACAAGAATATTTGAGAAGCTTAGACACAATGATTGGATATCTGAAGTTGACATTAAAGCTTGATGGGAGAAAAAAAAACAGGTTGTCACGCTTTCATTGCTCCATCTATCAATTTTTTTGGGGCAATTGTTGAATTTGCAGGAATAAATTTTCCAGCCAACCAAGACAGATATAAAAGTACAAGAATTTTTGAAATAAAAAAAACTCAAGATTGTTATCAATTCAGCAGCTATCTCAAAATTTCAAATGACAATAGAGAAATGATTAAATCAAGTAAGTAAGGAACCAAGCTTTGGAATGATTTTGAGAGTCAAAGGTATGATTGCCAGGGGTAACAGGATGATAAAGAGATAAGATCGGAACCGGATTTGATTCGTTGGGTGATTCCAGTTAATTGGACACTCGAGACCAAAGGTTCTTCTTCTTCTTGTATAGGTAGTCCTCGTTGATCCACATGCCAATCGACCTTCCTGAAGGGTTTCAAGAGCTATTTGAGGTCACAGCCAATATTACCCGCAGATTGAGCCATGTGATTGAGTTGATGAGAAGCGCTCTGAGTGAACAAAGTCAATTGCTTAGTATCAATCTCTCAATTTCTTGAAGAACAGTCGCGAGAGTTTGAGGAGTGAGGTGACTGTTTTAGCCAGTTGGATCACTGGTTGGCTGGGAGGATTGTCATGAAATGGGTCCAATTCGGGCGCGAGAGAAAGCCGATGTGCGGTGGTGTTTGGTGGCGAATTGGTCGGGCTGATGAGCTTGCTGAGGGTATCATTCATCCCAGTCCAGAATATTGAATTCCGATCCCTTTAGCCATCTGATCGTCGATCCGATTCCGTCCCAGGTTGAAACTGCATAGAGGGTGATCGCTATTCTGGTGGCATCTATCTCGACAGGAACTCGTAGGGCTCAGTTGAGAGCTCCAGCTGTTTGATAAGCTCATAGCCGTGTGCCCTGGAGGCCGGGCTGGCGAGTGATCGGTCAGATTTGAAAAAAAAACCCCCCGGGGGGCACCGAGCTTGACCGCTGCGAACCGAGATAAATCGAGATACGTGAACATCCTGTAAGAAAGCCTAGCCGTCGATAGTACACAGACTATACTACAGTCTGTATACCATCGACAGGGGTGTTTTTTTCACATGGGTCAACACAAAAAAACAATTCCAGTATGATTTTATTAAGTGATGGTAGCAGATCTTGCAGATAGGTTAGAAAGGGACTGAAACGGTGGTATAACAGCCAAGTCTAGGGTTGGAAATTGGAGGAAGCTGCCTAAGTCTAGGGTTGAAAATTGGAGGAAGCTGCCAAGAGTTTGAGATTGAAATGTCTGATGGAGTAAGCAAAAATATCATTGAAGAAACCTTTTACCAAACTCATTTGTGCTCTGCCCAAATGGTTCCACAGATTGTTATGAGGTAGATCCATCCAATACTGTAAATAATACCAAAGAGCCACTCTTGGACTGGGTCTTACAAATTGCTCTGTTTGACCCTCCTCATTGACATCTTTGAAGATGTAGAGGCGTTGCTTAATTTTTTCCTTGAATTGGTCTGATTTCCTGTATCCTTGAAAGGCATTCACTGCGTGCTGGAAAAATTCTCTTTCCGTAGCTGGATCTCTGTCTCTCTCAGTTATCGTATGAATCATGTCGACATAAAATAGGAATAAGATGAAAAAATCGTTGGGGTTTGGGTGCAGATCTCTTTCCAGTGTTCGAAAGTCCATGTGTAAGTTCATTCCGCTCCTGTTTTCCCAGAATCGTAGCCAGAGATAATTCAAAGGGAGCATTGTTCTACTCGAATTGCTCCAGAAATTTTGCCTAGCGGTTTCTCTTTTAGCCTGTGATAGTGGAACATAGTCCTGAGGCTCAGTTGCGGGGGCGCTCTCACGATGTGTAAATTTCTCGATGAGTGAGGCGTTTTCTTTGGGTCGATCCTTGTGCATGAATAGCCCGTCATACTCTGGAAAGTATCTTACCGCCCGATTCAAGCGTTTTATTTTGTCTCTATGCATATAATGATCCGGCCAGAGGCCTGTATATTTAAACGTCTCTTCCTTGAACACCAGCCTTTCAAATTTTAGAGCATCCGGTCCTGTCAGCTGACTCGTTTTTTCCGGGGATGTATTTGTGCTAGAGCTCCAAAGAGCACTGGCGGTACTTGCAGGAAACGTCGGATCCAGATTAATTTGAGGTGTTTCCGGGAGCGCGTTAATTCGAGTCCTCCTTGATTTAGTACGCACTGGTTTTTTAATCACTACATCTGCGCCATTCAACGTGGCCGGAAGTTGGTTTGCGTTTTGATCGGTTGGAGCTTCCAGATTGTGGTGCGCCTCCCGATGCTTTTTTTCGAAAGAATTCTCTGTTGCGATATTGATTGAAGATGGCTTTCGCTGTGTCTTAGGCCTCTTACTTGCTGGTAGCTGAGGAGAAAACTCTGGAGCTGGGGACCAGGGAAGATGCCACAAGTCTAATTCATGATTTTGAGCATCGGCAGCAGCGGCTTGCGAATATTGCCAAGTAGGAATGGTTGGCTCTTGATTGATGTGAACCTGTGATAGAGTACCGTGCGTACTAGGGTTCCAAGTTGGATTAACTGATACAGAGTCTGTAAAAGGTCCGTCCAGTCGCGAAAAGTGAAAATTTTGCAAAATGTCGGGAAAATTCATAAGACTCCCGGCTGGTCGCTGGTCGGATTGATTTGAACCGAGCCCCGCACGGTGTTCATTGTGGGGCGTGAGGGGAAGAGAGGCTGCACTAGGATTGAAAGTACTTGGGCCAAGTTCGAAGTCTCGTTTTCTAGCCTCCGAGCCTGCAGCTCTTGGTGGCTCGATGTGTTGCGGGGTCCATGTCGGTGTATGTTGAGCGTTCCAAGGGCTGGTAAGCTGGACTTCGGGAGCCGGACTGGTGGGTTGCCGCCAGATGTCGTCCAGATTGGGGGGCTCATATGTCCAGTCATGAAACAGATCTTCAACATCAAATCCCAATTCACCCAAAGCCGAGTTACAAGCAAAGGCCACACCAATGGCACAGGCGAGGATGTCACGGTGTCGAGCACCAAAACCTTTATCTTTCGTAATCCTTGAGAATCGCATAGATTTATTGTGTTGGGGCAATGTGTTCCGAGTTCTGCGAGTTAAGTACTGGCGGAGGAATAGTCGAATAATTTAAACTCAATCAGGGAGAAGAAATAGATCCCGTCAACGCAAAGGACCTCTCGAGTCGATCCAATTTCTTGCTTTGATTGGGGGACCGCACGAAGGATTCCCTCCTCTTTGTGGAACAGGTTTCAGCTCATCTTCTCTCGCGAGGAATTGTAGCATGAATAACTTCAAAGGTATTGAATAACACAGTGCGTGGGGTAGGACTTCATCACAGAACGTGATGGGCAGCATGGGTAAGTTGAAGGCAGCTGATGACCACCCATGTCGGGGACTGATAATTCTTCTTCAATCCTCCTGGACTACATAGTTCTCCAATCCAGTAATCTTTTCCATAGAGGAGCACAAACGTGTTTATGGGGTACAAGCATCCAGGATGTGCCGTTTCGTGTCAACTCGTCAGCCGGGGCGGATTCCAGTTCGAATGGTCAGTAAACTAAAACAACGCTAACAATGTTTGACTTGAGTTTCCAAGCTTCGGTAGCTTAGAGTCCGATGCCATTCTGTTCCATCGTGTGATTTGGAAACACAGGCAAAAAGGATGCTGCCGCGTCCATGCACAGTCAATGATTTGTAACGGCACCTTGGCTGGCAGACCTGGGCTAGGATTAACAGCGGCACGACGCGCTTCCTGCACATATGGCCTTGGATGGACGCGATTGTGGCTGAAGCTTGTTGGCGGTGTGTAAAGCGGTGATGACATCATCGGAGGAGCACTTGAACCCTAACAATAAACCCGGGGCGGGCCGATGACGCAATGTGTATGCGAGGGAGCCCTGCAGGGCAATATATCAACAGGGGAGGTTGCCATGAATGTGTGTGCTGATTACCATTAAAGCTATCTACACGAATCACCATCATCATCTCGGGATTGGCAACCAGCTGCAAGTCCTCTCAAGCAAATCATACGAAGCACAGACATACATCCTATCACGCCGAGGAACCACCCAGGCTAGACGGATAGCCGATCGCTTGAAGACTGGGAGAACGTCTGTCTGTCCAGTGCAAGACATTCAAGAGTCAGGAGTTTAGGCTGGCCAGGAACAAAAAAGCAAGGAGCAGAGCAACGGTCCAAAATTTGCGATCGAACAGCGCAACCAAGCAGCTTCAACCTTCGGTGGATGAATCAGTCATAAAAATGCAACCTAGTAGTACCACCTCACTCAAGCCTGGAGTAGTCCTAGTAGCACCTTCTCCACCTGCCGATGAGAATCCGAAGAAGAATTCTTTCCAGAAAGACGAGGCCGACAAAGAGGATGATCAGCAACAGGATGAACAAGGCAAAAGCCGTCAAAAATCAACCTATGGGAAAACCATGGATGGCACAGGTTCGTAGTCCTTAACTTCCAAGCATGTCATTTTTGGCATGTTGGAGAGCTAATTTGTGTTTGTTTTTTTCCCCCTCAAGTCTTCAAGATACCCGAAACGCATAACATGATTTCATCATTGTTTGATCCCAGACTGCCCAAATCGAGTCTAGATTTAATCACCCTATCAACATTGATCGCCCAGACGATACCCTTGATGATCTTTCCAAGGAAGAAACTCAAGACATTCTACATGCTCTCATTCTTATTCTGGAGATTAACCTATAACGTCGGTTTAGGTTGGGTATTAAAGAAACAATCTGAGAATAAATTCTTAATCAAGATCATCAAGAACTTGAATCTGTTTAATTCCAAGTTTAATCCACGATTGTCGAACTGGATCGAGAAACAACTCAAGTCGAAAATGTCGACGAATAACTTGAATTACGATCTCAATCAATATCCGATCGAATTTAACGTGTGGTTACTATTCAGACAACTAGTCGATATCATCCTCCTGAACGATTTCTTCTCCTACTTCTGCCTCTCCTACTGTTCCCTCAATCTTCCAAATCAGCAGCAATCACAACAAGACCCCCTACCAAATCAGTCAAACTTGAGCCTCTTCTTGATTCGTTGTACCGCTGGGGTCATACTCGTCGGATTTAACATATGGGTCAAACTGGACGCGCACCGAATTGTCCATGATTTCGCATGGTATTGGGGTGATGCCTTCTTCCTATCTTTACAGGAGTTGGTTTTTGACGGAGTATTTGAGATGGCTCCGCATCCAATGTATTCGATCGGCTATGCTGGATTTTACGGTGCTAGTTTGATCACCGGTTCTCAATCCGTATTTTTTGTGTCTCTATTCGCCCATCTCTGCCAATTCGGTTTCCTGGTTTACTTTGAAAACCCACACATCCAACGTACCTATGGTCCTCAAGCTAGGCCACTGACGGCTGCCAGTCCCCGACATGCACTTCGATCTCGCTCTCATCCGCGCAAGAAAATTCAGCCCTTAAACTTCAATTCTCCTAACGAAAATCCCAAAGCTGTTTCGCCTGATTATCGAGACACCCAGCATGATACGAGCTCGGTTCATGGATCAAACACTTTTCATGATCCTCCGCAGAACCCCGTCGATCCTGCCGAAGTTAGGGAAGAATTAGAGCATAGACTCTTTAGAAGAAAGGAGATGATCTTGATCGATAACTTTGACAAGTTTCGATCGATCGATTTTGTCACAGTCTTGGTGATAGGATACAACTTTCTCATCTTATTTATAAAGGAGGAAGATCCGAGTCATATCAAAAAGATCTATAACAATAAGGGCCTACTGATCAGTAGCTTGAATGCTATAGCTTGGAGGCTTTGGTTTAGCTTTGGACTGGGCTTTAGATTAAAACAACAATCGCAAAATAAGATGATGGTCAAACATTTCTTAACGAACTATTATTATCCGATCGGAAAGTTCCGTCACTCTCAACAGAAAAATGAAGACGAGATCAACGATGACGATCAGAACGATTTGATCGACGAGCTGAAATTCGAGGTGATCGAAGAATGCTTCCAGAATTGGAAGGGAATCTATAACTTATCATTAATAATGACTTATGGTTTGAGTCATTTTTCACCCATTTGTGTCTCACTCGAAAGCGCAAAAAGGCAAGCAAAATGAAGACTAAACAAAGCCTTTCTCCTGGTCCTTTTTTGTTCCTTAACCCGTATGGGCAGTGTCTTTCGCAATAATGTCGATCAAGTTTCACAAGTTAGGAGATCAATGGGAGTTAAGCTCTGAAGTCATCAGAATTACATTTGGATTAGTCAGTAACATCTTCCTTTAAGTTAATTGTCCGACTTCAAAATAAATTAACACAATTTTGCTTGCTCATAATTAAACCTCCGGATCTCGAAACAGTGTTTAGTTGGTATTCATGTTTGGACAGCTATTTCAACATACGAGGTATTGGGCAAATTTGGCTGGTTCTATGGTCAGTTGAATGAAGCGTTAAAACTTGATTTGACCTAAAATCGAAATCTACAACTTAACATGTTCATCCTGATCAAAATCTGAATAGGCGATTTTTTTGTGGATGATTATCCCATGGAGTTGACTTACGCGGGGATTTATAGATACTTGAACAATCCTGAAAGATCTATGGGCGGTGCTGGATTTGTTGGGATGAGCTTAATGAGTGGGAATAAATTCGTATTTGCGTTGGCCTTAGGTTCGGTGCTATGTCATTGGTGGTTCCTAAGTTTTGTTGAAACGTAAGTTATTTTCTGAATGCTTGTTTTTTCTTGGAACGCCCAATCAGCAAGTAGTTTATAAGAGCAACATTAACGGGTAGTCCGGTTTTTTGTTTTTTGGCTAGTCCTCACATGAAGAAAGTGTATGGTGACCGAATTAGAAAGGAAGCCGGACTGACGAAAGTCCTGAAGCAAAATGCGCAAAAACTCGCTGCACGTCGAAAGAAATTAGATCTGCGCATAGACCGTGAGAGCTGCAGCAGCATGGGCGGTGGGAAGAGCGATGAGAGGGAAGGAAAAGGTTTCGAACGCAGGTTTAAAGAAGTCCAAGGAACTTTCGAGTTTATTTACGACGAAACCGTCCAAGCCCTTGATGAGTTCTTGGAGAAATGTAAGCTTTCTTTGATGGTAGAACATAGAGTTGATCACATTGCCTTTGGTGACTTAAAGTTAAATGTGTCGTTTATTGATGCCACATGTTTTCACCTTTTACATTTTCCAGCTGCTCCCCGACTATCTGGTGTTGTACGAGATACTAAGGTACTCTTGCAAAGCTCAGGCGAAAGATTGATCCTGACGTGAGCATCTGATGTGGACACTGTTTGAGATACATCAGCTGGAGTAAGTCTAGAAAAATTGATGTTGAAAGTGTTCCACAGGCGGATTGCGAACGATCTATCTAGTTACGATACAACTCAATATCGTTTGGCCATACAAGAATCGAGATATCACCGTCCCAGAGATCCAGCTTCGAACCGATTAAGATTCCATATGGGTGAGCCGATCAGGCTACAGTGGAACTCGCCCTGGAATCATTCCCGAGCCGACTGGGTAGGATGCTACCGCCGAGGCTCTAACAAGAGTGGCCTAGTGACCGAGGTCACCAGCTCCGGCCGATGGTGTGGCTTGTTTAAAGAAGAATGGGAGGGCGATATGCACATTGGGAAGCGGAGGCAAGAGGGGGACGCGGAGCTTGACGATGCAGGAAAAGAGCTCAAGCTGGAAAACGAAGCTGCCAAGCCCCGAAAAACTGGGTGGGTTGAGTTCAAGGGTGAAAGATTGCCTTGGGAGGAGGGGGTCTATGAGTTCAGATATCATCATGACGGAAAGTATAACGTCATGGCTGTCACTGAACCTTTCGAAATCTATGGTAAGCATAGTCCTACTTCAAACACGATCGAATGCATCTTCATTTGCTGATCTATTCCTGCGTCATTCCTAGTTGAGAGGATCGAGCAAGACGTTGGAAACATGAAAGAGATCGAAGATAAACTCAGGAACTTAGTTGGCTATGGATTAGGCATGGAAGCGAACTTGATCCCGATGATCTTGAGGAAAGAGACTGCGAGGATTCTTAAGGACGAGTTCACGAAACCTAGCCAGAATGGGATCCACGCAGCGAACGGGCACCAGCCAGCCACAGAAGGGAAGGTAGGAGAGAATGGGCTGAGCGATGAGGGGTCCCAAGAAGAAGAAGACAGATTCACAGTGATGAGTTTGGACGAAGCAAAACGGATCCAACGGTTGATTGGGATCGGGATCGGGATCGAACTGGGCATCGAAATCATCCTCGAAGATTGCGAAATCAATCGATTAGCTAAAAGGATCGTCTTCGTCAAAAGTCTGCTCAAGCCTTTTTTGAATAAATGATCAAAGGACTGATGTTATAAGTGTCTGCAAGCTTTTGTCTGCGTATCATACATGAATTTGTAGTCTAGCTTACTGCCAATACTTTGTCGGACACTCTCCAGTTTCTGTGCTTTTCTTTTCATACATATCCTTGCTCCTCTTTTTTTTTATTATATACGTTTATTACCACAATGCTTTGTTCACACAGATAAATAAATTATATACACACAAACACAGATAGTGATATACGTATGCCGTGCTGATCCATTGGATTAGTACGAGGTTGTCCAGCCTTATATATTGTAGCTGTATATACGAGTGTATTTTGTCTGGATCAGTGATCCGACCAGAAAAGAAAACCGTGTTGATTTTTTCGAGCGGTAGTTGCACGAGGAGATTGGATGGGCATGTTTCCAGTGCTGGACCGATTTTCGCAAAAGCTCCACCACTGAGGAAACTGATGGAAAGAATGGTCATCGGGGGCAGTACCATGAGATTGGCACAGGATTGAAGAGCATAAGAAAATTGACCGGACTTGTTGAGATGCCATATAATCTCAGTTCGTCCAGCTCTTACGGCCGAATTATGCTAAATAGCCATGCGTGCCCAGATTCTCTCAATCACTCAAACCCACGGATTGCAAGATGAATGGTCTTCTAGTGAAAATATTTTTTCTTCTTTTTTTTTTTTTCTTGGTCTCTTCGTGTTTGATGATCAGGTAATACCAGCCTGATTTAAATAATTTGAGAGGTTGTTCTATCTAAAACATTTGTGTCTGTTGACAGAATAATAATAATAAAAAAAAAAAACCGAAAAGAAAAGAAAAGAAAAAAAGACAAAAGTAAAAACATAAAAAATAAGTCGAACCAAAATAAACATGCATATATAAATATCGATATCTATCTGTATAGTTCTTCTGAGAACGTTTCTTAGAGTTTGAGATGATTCATGACAGAGGGACAGAAGCAAGAGAAGAAGACGAAGAGGGTTCGGTTTCAGAAGGCTTAGGAGGGGAAGTGATGGAGTGACTAGAATCGGAGCGTTCATGGAGCAAGAACGGTTCTGGAGGTTTATCGGAGTTGTTAGAGAGGAGAGCTACGCTATCGGAGATGGATAGGGAGTCGAGATCTGGGGCGGAAGGAGGTGGTGGAGGAGGAGGAGGAGGATGGATAGTTTCTTGAGAAGCTTGGTGAGGAAGGTCTTGGCGGGTAGGGACAAGAGTGGTCGGAGAGTGCGGGCCAGTGGAGCCTTCTTCTGTCGGAGGCCGCGAGACCGTGAGTCCTCTTCTCCGGGGCGGCGGAGGTGGGGGAGCGGCAAGGGGAGCGACGAGAGTGAGGGCGGCGAGCGGGGCGCTTTCTTTGTCGGCTTCGACCGCCCCGTCGGGCTCTGGCTGGGGCTCCTGCTTAGTAGCCTTTCCCGGGGAGCCGGAGGCGGGATGGAAGGCCATCGGCGGCATCGTGCGACGCCGGGGACTGGAGGCATCCGGCTTCGTCGGCTCCCTCACCTCGGTCTCCTCCTCCTCCTGCTGCTCCTCATCCGCCTCCTCATCCATCTCGACAATCCCAGAATCTTGGGCCGCCTTCGCTCGACTCTCTCGGATCGTCGAGACCCCCATGGACTCCTCACTCGGCGCAACATCAATCGATGCCGGGAAGTCCTCCGGATCATACGCTTTGCCCTCCGCCGCATCAATCACCGCTATCAAGCCTGACGCCGCTCGCGGTACCGCCACTGCTCCTCCTTGTAAGATCTGCTCTGCTTTCACCTTTCGACCATAAAACCTCGCATTCTCATCCGTCCGTTCTTCGATTATCTGCATCATTCAAATTATCAAATCGATCAATCTCTGCTTAAGATCTGATTATTGTTTGGATGAATGTTTCTTGTTAGTTGTAACTGACGTTGCCGTCCAATTGAAGACCGCCATAAATTCCTTTGGATTTCGTGTATGAGAAGACTGGACTAATTTCCGGACCTGATTCGAAGCTGACGCCATTCCCGATCGGGCCGGCGACGACTGCAAGTTCTGGGCCAAGAGAAACCTAGATTGGATAAACAAGAAGAAGCAGATAGGATGAGTGTTGTAAAAAGAGTGAGCATTGAGCAAGGATGTTTTTTTTTTTTTTTGGTGAAGAAGAAGGACCTTTGGTTTAGCGAAGGACATGACCGCTTTTTGAGTCCGAAGTACCAGTACGACATCGTAGAGGTCGATGCCAGCGAGGAAGCCGGAGTCGAGGGAGTGGATGAGGATCCCGCTGGGGGCGCCCCAGGTGGTGGGCGAGTCTCTGGAGATGAGGAGCCCAGAGCCGGAGGCCGAGGGTGCGGCGTGAGTGGATCGGAAGACGGTGAAGATGGCGAGGCCTTCGGCCTGCTGGATGATGTGCGTCGGGATCTTCTTGGTCACCCCTTCCCCCGTCTTCCGCTTATCTGCTTGGGTGTCGTCTAAGGTCGAGTGCACCGTCCCGTTCAAGCCTCGTTGGGTAAACGTATACAAGATTCGCGCACATTTGTCACACTCTTTGTCCAGCGAGGTCGGCCTGTTCAGTCAGTCAGAGTGTTTTCCGGTGTCAGCTCGTCGTTCTCTTGACCTTTCCTCCTCTTCTCTGGGCGGGATCTTATGTATATGGTGAGGCCTTGAAACAATCGGTGACTTCTTCACATCAATTTAGATCTACGATTATCCCTTGATAATTTGTTTTCGGTCCGCTTTTTGGTTATCATTAAAACAACGTTTTATCTTGCCGTTGCGTGTGTGTGTGCGGACACATAAAGAGGACAAAATTCACGCATATATCTATCAATTTTTTTTGACTTACCAGAAAGCCCTATGTGACATACGTAGAATAAAGCATAGTTTTGAAAGAAGAAAGTCAGTAAGTTTGTAGAAAGTAGATTCTATTGACTATGTATACGCTTTGGATTTTAATGTTATGCATGTAATACAACATGGAGCAAAAGGAGAGTTTTTGGTGCTGTTACAGAGAGGAAGGACGCACTGAATTCCGATGTTCCCGGTGTGTTTGATGTTGATCCAATTGCCCAAGATGCCGGACTTTTGCCACAACTGTAAACAGAGCGAGCCAAATAAGTCTTATTTCTTCACTGATACAGCAAGAGCGATTGGTCAGACTGGCGAGATCACCTACCCAATCCAAGCTAGTCTTAGCAGTCCCAGAGAGAGTAGTCTTGAGTGTCTGTTGTCGTCGTAGTTCGTGGTCTCCATCCTGGCCTTCGTCCGAGCTGGCTTGGTTTGTTGCCGTTGTCGTCGTTTTTGTTTTTGTTTTTGTTGTTGTTGTTGATGATGAGGAGTGGTTGAGTTGGAAGGCTGATTGTGGTCTCGGCTTGGTTGTCATCTTCCTCTTTTTGGGGTGTTGGTGTTCAGAATTTCAATCGGGAACTAATCAAATTCAAAAGGAAAATATAAAATAAAATATCGGACTCCATCCCTTTTCTAAACAAGCTCTCTTCACTCCGAGGACACACAACACTAAGATACCTCCTCAAAAGAGCAACGGCTGATCGAAGTCAGACTCAGGAGGGGAAACACTCCTCCCAAGAAGCATTCTTTTTGAACGCACTGTTGCCAAGACGGGCAATGTAGCCCCTTTCTTGAAAAACCGACCTCACTGTCTACACTTTCAAAGTTCAAAATCCTTGAACTGTCCTCCTCATCCCAAAAACAAGACCATGTTGAGCTTGAGCCTGGTTCATGTCTAAACCCTGAAGACCCCAGCCCCCGAGATGAAATATACAAGCCAACACAGAATTCCAATTTCAAGATATGAAAGAGGCCCATCATCATCATCATCATCACTGCTGGCGACCTCTTGACGGGTAAGCAAGTTAGAGCATATTCGAGAAAGAATTTATAATGAAAAGTATCTGTAAAGGAGCATAAATAAAACATAAACAGCAAGTAGAAGAGGACAGCTAGTGAGATGGGATACATGTATCTATGTGGAAACAAGACAAACCGCCCACGAATACACTCTATCTCTCTGTTTTAGGTTTTGGTCTTACAAAGAACTTCGAGGCCACGGATGAGCTTTGACAAAGCTTTTTCAGGGAGGCGAAGGATATCTCATTCACTACAGAGCCACAAGGAGAATGCGTCTCATCAGGGCCGTTTGAAGTTTCTTGACTAGACTCGATATAGTCGGTCCATCTTTCCCAGGCAAGCCTTCATAAGTGAAAGGGGTTTGTTGAATTCCTTTAGCAGACATCCATTCCTTGACTGCCCAATTTCTCTCGAGCCAAGGTGACATAATCGTCGATCAAAGAAGGCCAGGCAGCTAGAAGAAGTGTGGAGTCACCCAGAGAAGACCCCTAGCTGGTCAGTGGAGTCTTGATAGATTAAGTTGATCCCAAAATATTCCAAGAGAGAGAGAGAGACAGACCTAGTTCATCATAGTTTGCGAATCGGTCTTCGAGTTGGACGACAAAATCAAGGAACTGAATCGAGACCCACCAAAAAAAGAGCAATTGTCATGTAAGGGTTTTGTATGTCAAGTTGGCAAGGGAGTGATAGTCAGGACATACAAGGTTCCAAGTGTCTCGACTGACAGACTTGTTTCGCGATCGAAGAAGCTCGATCCACCATTGCAGATATTCGGGTTTGAAGACGTTCGGGTCCAGGCCAGGAGCTAATGGCAGGATCAATTCCCATAATGGGATGGCTGTCGAGAGAGCTACACTTGCACTCAAATGAAAGCTCAGAAAGAGGCCGTGTTTGTTTGTTGAGGCAGGGGGGGGACTACTAACCCAAGCTTTTCTGGCCTTCGTCCCTACCGAAATCAAAGGTATACCGATAAACTTCCTCGAAATAGCTGAGCTCGGAGCGCAAGCGACGGTCGAGTTCGGCAAGAGTCGTGATCTGGAACTTGGTCATCTCGTCGGCGGTCTGGATCGGAGGCGGGGGGGAGGGGGAGGTGGTGGCTTGGACCAAGAGTGCGGCCCAATACTTCAGGAAGTCCGCCCGCTCGAGCACGCCTAGACGGGGTGAATGGAGCAGATGACATAGACAGAGCACTTTCGGATCTTCGGGCGTCAAGGATAACTCTTCTAGATAGCGCATCAAGCCGTTCATGTCCATTCTTCCTGGCTCATCCGGATCTAACAACGAGGGGGGGCTTGGTCTCAATATTTCCAAGTCATCGAGAATCATGATCAGACAGAGATCCATCATCGTTTCATACCTTGGAATTCATTGAATTGGACGTTCAAGACTCCTTCGAAGGCTTCTGCTATGGCTTTTGATCGGGATTGCATCGAGCGCTCCGCGTTCTGTTGTGCGAGATGATCGTTGTAAAATAAATCGAAGGCTACTTCTAATCGATATCTTTAAAAAAAATCCCAAACCCAAATCAATAAACCCCATTTTTGTTTTCTTTCAACAGGAAAAATTAGCAAGTTGTTACTAACCCAGATTTTTTGCATATCCTACTGGCATCGGCTGGTCTAGAAAAAACCTCAAACACAGAAAAGAAAAGAAAGAAAAAATAAGTAACTGAATGTTTTTGTTTTGAAAGATCGAATGAAGGAATCAAAAAGAAAGTACCGTACATCGCATTGGTTACAGACCTAAATTCGGTCACCATTTTTTCTTTTTGTGCTCGACTAGTACTTGAAGACTGGAACCCAAAACAAAAGATCCAGAACAAGAAAACCGAGGAAATCATGGATGATGGTCACCAAAGGGACCAGAGGATCGGATTTTGTTCTTCATCAAGCATGTTTGTTGACTTACCATCGTGGTCACTTCCGTATAGATGTATAGGTATTTATCCGGATAGTTTTTGTTGTTGTTCGAAAACCTTTGAATATGTATTCGATCCAGATAAGAAATGTGTAGGTTAACTTGAAAGGGGAGTTGGCTCTGGTTTTCATATTGAATTCGAATTCGGCCGAACTGCGGAGATCACCCATCCACTCCGACGATGACGCCATCATCAAACATCACCCCCCGTATCATTCCATCCTCATCACTTCATACATACTCATCCACACTCAGTCAAGATAAGAAACACAGTATGTGCGAAGAACATAAAACAAAGATAGAAGATTTCTTTTTTTTTTCAAAAAGAAGCAGGAAAATTGTTTGTGAGGGGAAGTCCACCCTGCTCCTAACTTCTACGGAAACTGATCTTCATCGAACAGGGAGATTTATTTTGGCCTGAGGGAACAATGTTTTTTTTTTTGAAATTGGGAGGTCAAAAATAGGTTTTGGAATTATGACGTTTGAATAATTGAATTGTTTTCCAGGGGCAAAGGTGGCACTGGCCCTTGAATCTGGAAGCTGATTTAAAGGTCTGTCTGTTCCCAGTCTGATTATGTCCTGGCTGGAAGTTTCAGGAAATCGGTTTTTTAGCTATATAGCTGAGCCCCAGAATTCTTGAGCTTTGAATTTGTTTAAAGAGAAGAAGGATGGGCAGCCTTCTTTGTAACATAAATCATCAGTCAGCTCAATAGGATATGCAAATTAGACATCTGTTTACTACACCATGAACAAATTGATGGGGATAGGTGGAAAATGGCATCAAGATGAATCCAACCATTAATTCAATCATACACTCAACACACAGTGGTGGAACTCCCTGATGATCAAAAAGGGGCCATTGACAATTGCCATGGTATTACTATTAGTACTGACAAAGTTACAGCAGATGTTACACAATGTCACCTGTCACCTAATCTTATTGCCCTCAATGGTTTCATGATCTTAATTTTTCAACTTCACCAGTTTTTTTTTTTTTTTTTTTTGATAAGAAAGAATCTTGATGTTGTGAGGGGGGTTCAAAAACTGCTGATTTGGGATTCAGAAGTCAAAGTTATTCAAACCTAGTTGAAATGCAGTTTTTGCTGGTTTGTATTGCAAAGTAATACCCCACAAGGCTGAACCTACACACAAGCTTAACATCCATCAAGTTTACTTAGATCAACAAAAGCCTCACATCCACCAACTGGTGTGTCAGACACTGAGACACTAGCCCAGGTGTCTACAATAAAAGATAACCCCCTTGGGTTACATGATAAATATTATTATATGTAATTTTTAAGTTAATAAGTATACAGTTATGTTATTCTCTTTTATATGTATTAGTTATGTTAATAAATGTTTAGTAAATGAATAAAGATTTACCTCTTTATTAATTTACCCTTTTCCTGAAAGTTATGTTCAGATTGAAAAGGATAATTATCTCTTATGATTATCAAAGAGATTTATCCTGTGTATCTCTGTTGTAAATACTTATATTCCTGTTTATCTCTCTTAGGTGTATCTTCTGAAATAAGAGAGATTTTCCTCACATGTACTTTAATCTTCTTGACATTTCTCCCCAAAGAAATAACATAACCTTATGGGGACTGTACCGGTCCTACAAACAGACTGACCTCTGCTCTGTAATACTTAAGGAGGAAGGCTATCCCTCTAGGATTCCTTCCCCCAGAGATTATTGCCATACAAACCCGTGTACCTTACTTAATATTAGTGAGTGGGGTTTTAGCAGTAAACTCTCCCTTTTCTCTTTACCTTCCATCTTTATACTTATTCTACTAGCCTAGACTACAGTTAAGTCACTACTGTAGTCTAGAAGAGAGCCTCTTTTGATCTGCTCTAAGCTCGGCGTGGTGATGCTCATTCCACCATTGTCCCCTCTAACCCAGGGAGCTAACCCCTCTGCTTTCTAGCATTGAGGTGAGGTTTATTTCCACTGGCCACCTCTGTGGCTATAGTGTGACCCTATACCCCATCAACTCCTGGTCACATAAGAGACCAGAGCTGACAGGTGTGTCAAGCCAATTGATTCAAGCTCTTACAGAATTCAATTCATGAACTCCTTTTTAGGTTTAGCTCCAAATATGCTACACCATAACAATTTCTCTCACATCCATGTGGTATTAAAATCAAACTCTTAAGTCAGATTGTAGACCATTACTTATTTGAGATAGCTGTAGATTTATCTATCCTAGTGTAGAAATCTCTTGGCAATTTGATATGAGGGGAAAAAATGAGTGGATAGAAGTGTAGAGAATATTTATATGAAAAATTGGTAGAGAGTCAGACAGCAGCTTTGAAAACACCCAAAAGAAAATCAGACCATATGAGGGCTGGATAATATTAATAGAATAGACAAAAACACCCAAAATAAGAATCACCTTCAAATCCATGTTGAAACACTTGATGGAGGTTTTATGAGCCTCCAGAGAAAACCCAATCAAAAAGACAAGAATTTAAAATCTAGAAGAGCCAGAGCAGGAGAGACAAACAAAAACACCCAAAAAGAAGGAAAAAAGAAGATGAAAAAACAGCAGATGAGATTATTCATGGATAAATGAAGCTCAATTATATTATCAAAACCACCAATGAGATTCTTCTTCCTATATTTATATGTTTGAGAGGTGAATAGTGTGTATTAAGGTAAGAATTTTAAGACTGACTCAAGCTTGAAGGTTTTGAGTTGGTGGTTTTCGAGAATTGTAAAAATCAGAAAACCACTTGTAAAGCCCATGAGGTCCCTGGCTCAATGACTGGATATCTTTGTTGACTTGATCAACCATAGAATAATTGTGGATCTCATGGATCCTGGCAGATTCTTCTAATTTATCCTTCAAAGATAAAATCCCAGTCATTCTCCTTGTGATTTGATCGCATAACTCGGAGGGGATATTTAGTCGATAAGTCAAATGGTCCACCCTGATCTTTCGGATATCCTTGGCAAGCTTGTCTAGTTCCTCGCGAATCAGACTTCTGGTAGCCATCGCTTCAAACTTGGCCTCGAAATCGTGTCCGACCAGGTCTCCATCCCGTAAACGTATGCCATAGTTATGTTGCACAAAATCCAAAAATAAGAATGGAAAGCTGAGGTAAAATTCTTTTCCTTCGATGTTGGGTAGATCACCTACTTTGATGAAAAACTTTCCTACATCTAGAATGTGTTGTTTGACTTCTGGATCCAAGTACTCATGCCCGGATCCTCGTTCCAGATGCTCCTCTAATTTGTTGAAAATAAAAGTGTTTTCGAAAATTGGAGCCATCAATACTGCAAACTCATGTTCGATGCTTCCCTCAGTCACATCTCCTCTATTTTCTACGTCAAATCTGTGATCAAAATCAGAATGTATTTTGAGGAGTTGGTAAGTCCCACTCCTTTTGTATTGATCCTGAAGCACTGTGATTTAAATCAAAGAAAGAAGATTAATTCTAGAATTTACCAACAGTTAATGAGGAAAGTTTCTTACCTTCAAAGATGTTTTTCACATCAATATAATTCCACTGATCGATGATAGAAAACAAATATTTGCTTGGATAATTGACATAATCCATATCGTAGTTGACCAATTCATCCTTATGATTCATGTATTTAACCTTATTTAGCATATCACCAAAGAATATGTGGACTGTTGCAATTTCCAGTGTATTTTTAGTTTGATAGAAATCTTTGAAATCTTCCTCTGGTATGTAATCAAACTTTTTCATGAAGTTGATTGTTTGGAAAATGATGTCTTCAACTTTGAATGAATTCATCTCACGCATGATCCCATTCAATTGTTCAACTAAATCAAATGATGATGGTTTTAAATCTGAACTCAAACCCATTCTGTGATCATCTTCATATACTAAAGGGCTGATGAGATGATCAAGTTGATTGATTTTTGACAAAAGCTTCTTGGAGTTAATCTCTGAAGGCGTTTCTAAACGAGTTCTTTTATTGGACCTTCCATTTTCATCTATTTCAACTCTATCTAATATTCTTCCTAGCTTTCTTTTAATTTCAGGGGAAATCTGTTTGGTTTCCAATTGTCTTAAGGAGCTCCATATTGGGGGTTGAAGATTAAGGTGGGCCATCTGTGCTATATCTTGCTCAAAGATGAGCATTTGTGATTCATCTCCACCCATATCTTTTATGTGCTGTTTCACATCAGTCAAAAGGTATCTGTAAAAATTCAAGAATTTTCTGAATTCAACTTTAACGGTTTGGTATTGGTGTGAATTTTTGCTTAGTTCGGTGCAAATCTCTCCGGCAAATTCTGCAATACTTTCATTTATTGAGGCCATCTCTATTCCCATCTCCTCCCTTTTCCCTGTTGACCAATATTCACTGGTTAGTGTCAAAGTTTTCATATCTATACATTTAGGATGAATCAATCATCTCAGGGAAAGAAGAAAGGACATACTCACGTTTTTTGAATTTCCCTGCTTGTTCAATATCCATAATCTTGGACGCTTCTACGAATAGTTAGTCGACATAGTCAGCTCCTCCTCTTAAACCATGGATTGTCAGATGCGCCACTCACCTGTTTTCGGTGATCTGATGGTTTCTTTGCTTGTTACGTATGGGGAAGTAAAAACCCTCCCAAGATCTCTATTTCCTACCATGACTGGGACATGATCACCTGGAGCTGGTGCCAATACCATGTGAGCGAGGGGGTCCAAGTTGGCTTGAGGATGCATCGTGCTATCAATTTTTCTTAAACCGGCGACTAGAGGAGGTTTATCGCATTTAATCATTTTGATGAGCAACAGCAGTGCCAGAGGTGAAAAATTACACATCAGTCATCGTTTTTGATTTTGAGCTACTCTGCTCAGCAAGAAGCAATTACATACCTTCCTGCATCTGACTTGGTCCTTCGGACATGCTTTGGATTGCTCGCAGGTAGCATAGAGCGAGCAATACCAATCGACGACACCGTAAGAAATCAGACATGAAGGCTTATGTGAATACACGGTGTTTAAAATCAAACTAGGAGTTAGGGTGAGCGAGATCAAGGTGAATCCTTTGATGTTGAGGGGGGAAAGTCGACCCAAGAAGCCACTGTCTTTATAGACGCAACACTTAAAAAAACCCCAAGAGGCAGGTGATCATGTGTTTCTATAGTATATACCAGCTTTGAGGCAAGCCTGAGCGGAGGGGCAGTCATGTCCTTGCTACTGAGCTGTAAGCCTTGCAAATAGTTGATGCCTGTTTCGGCATGATAATAGCATTCATCCAACCATGGCGTGATGGAGTGTACTCTTATCAAGATCCATCCAGACATTACTTCGTCCAAATCATACACACCATCTTGAAAAGGCTGATCGAGCTTCAAATCGATTACGAGCCATCCATACTTGAGTCAAAACTCGTCAAGCGGCACAAACGCAGCGGTCGTGACTCGGAGAGAAAGAGGGAGCTGGGTGATAGACTTCTAGCTTGAGTCACAGCGAGAAACAAAGACATGGAGGGCAGCAGAAACAAATCCACAGAGGAATATTGCATGGAAATATTGGAGCTCGACCAGACAGTCTGTCGTATTCTGTCTCTCATCTAGCACACACCGCGTGCACTTGTCAAAATTGCCTCATCCTTAGAATGCTGCTGCGCCAAGGTTGGCCAGCTATCACAACATCCTAGCTTTTACTATCAGCGTATCATCTTTTACCATAAACTTTGTCAGGTGGACGTGTGGGCAGGCGAAGCGGAGATATTGGAGCTATACCTTACCACTATTGGCCTACCATAGCTGCGAAGCAGGGTTCTCCAATCAGCCATGATAAGGGAATGACATCATGACCAACATTGTCAGCAACATGATGTCTTAATTTCACTGGCATAACCAATCTGAGGTCTAAAAGCAGGACTCACGAGTGAACCCAAGAGACATGAAAGTTACATGGTCTGACTCCGCTGAGCCACAGTCACCCATTCCAGCCGGGTGAACGGCTAGTCTCCAGAATTCAAGGTAAACTTGCAGGACTGTAAATTTTAGCAAGAACTTGAACCTCATCACCAAATTTCATGAAGCCTCAGTCTCTGTTGTCCATTCCAGCTGGGCGGACTGGGATGAAAATTTTATCTGAAGAACCTGTAGCTCATCATCAGATTTCATGAAACCAGCTAGAGTTTCTAGTGGATAACATTTTAACAAGCAGAGTTTTTATGGGTGTTTTCCATGGGACACCCAACTACAAGGCTGAGATTCAGCCTTCAGAATACTAAGGTGCGAGACAAAGATTGGATTCATGGGTACCTGGCTCACTCAAAAGTTGCGCTTGGAAGCCTAATTACATTGGAGGACTTCCTGTGCAAGGACTTCCCGTCGGATCTGGGACCCTTGCAGAAGCCAATCTAGACCTGAAATCTCTTAATTCTTGCAGAGAAATTGGAATTTTGAGGCTCTAAACCGGCTCTGGGAGACCCGCAAGGCAAGCGCAAAATAAACTTGATCCGAAAGGGATGTTCTAACAGATGTCCATTGAGGACTGGAACCCCATGTGACATGTTCCTCAATGCTGTGATATTCGGATGGCATGTCACATACCTAGTCGCGTGAATCCTCACAAGGGGGAAGAGTTCATCCAAGAACCATCATCCCCTTCTTGATAACGGCGACACAGTGCAGCAGAACTTGGAAGAACTACAACACACGAACGCACCAGACCAGACATGAGCTCCTCAACGCTTGGAATGGGTCGGCCATCGCACGGGCTAGGCTCCTCTAGTCAACCTCGACAATCCTCAGCGGCGGTCTACAACATGTTCGACCCAAAACAAGTCCAAACTTTCAAGGAAGCCTTTTCAGTCAGCCGTAAATATATCTCCATCCACCCACCGAAACCAACGCATTGAAGATTATGGCTCAATCGGAATGATGTTTTGATTTTTTTTACACAAAAAAAAAAATGACGCGTAGATGATTGATCAAGACAGTGATGGCTGGATTACTGAGGCCGATTTGAAGACTATGCTTACTAGCTTAGGTGAGTCGGTTGAAGTCTTTGAGGGACGCGTAAATGAAAGAACAAAGCAAGGAACTCATGCCCATTTAATACGAACTTGGGGAAACGCGAAGGACAAGCGCCGACACCGAAGCTATTAAATTCCCTACTATCCTCGAGACCGTCGACCTTCCCGCCTGCGAAGCCGGACTCGACAGACTACAACCAAGGCTTAAACTTCACGACCTTCCTGACGATGATGTCGGAGAAGCTGTTGAAGCTGGACCCCGAGGCCGAGTTGATGGAAGCCTTCGAGTGTTTCGACGAACACGATAAAGGGACCATTGACGGTAAAGAGCTTAGGGAGTGGCTCGGTACCGCCGGCGATAAGATGTCGAAAGAGGAAGTCAGTCTTCCGGGCCGTCTATCGAAGTCTTTTGGTCTCTAGACTTTGCTCGTCTTGACATATGTTCCTTTTTATCCTGCATCAGATCGATAAACTCCTCAGTCCACCCTTTGCTGACCGACATGGCACATTCAACTAGTGAGCAGCTCGGCTTATCTCATCTACCATTTTCACTTGACCTTCTCATTGACTCATTCATTTTCGATCGTTTGACTTCTTAGTCGGGATTTTGTCTCGGCTCTACGCGTCAGTGAAGCAGAAGGTGTCACGATGAAGGAGTAGGTAGCTGTATCTGCGTTGGGCTTTGATTGTTGTATTTTTCTATCCTTCCTTCCCTCGTATCGTATGCCTCTGTTTTTTTTTTTTTTTTCTAATTCCACATGGACGTTGATCAGATTTGTGTCAGAATAATGTAATCATACTCTCCATGGTGTATTGGTTGAAGAACTTTCTTTAGAAAAAACAGCTTCTATGAATCTTGAATAATCCGGACAATCGATTCACCCTCCCGTCGGGGAGACAACCCAGAACTCACAGAGCGAGCATGCGTTGACTGGGTTCCTTCATTCCAACCTAAAGCGCATCTGATCCATCATCGAGAGGGACCAAGAATTGTACATGCAGAGTGTAGAGAATCAGGCACACAGAATCGATCAGAACATATCAAACCGTTACCCCCATTTTTGATGAAGCTGTTTGGAAATGGATGGACTGTCTCAATCAAAGCACGTAATTGTAGTTCGACTGGCCGGCTGGTACCATCAGTGTGTCCGTACCATTCGAAGCAAGTAGGTCAATGACCATTTTTTTATTGACCCATCAGATATACCAAAACTTACTGTTTTATGTAGTAATGTCGTTGGAGTTGTTATTGAGCTGCCCTTTTGATAGCAATCGTTAAATATGCTGCCACTGACATCAGGATATCAGGGGATCAGAAACTTACAGCATCTCTAACGGTCTGGGGGTGGATCGGCTCGCCTTTGGCGGCCTGGAGTCAGATGTCCCGAGGTGTCACCGGTCTGTCACAGTTGTCCTAAATGCGGACTGTGAAGTTGAGCGGGGGTGGGTGAAACGCGGCCAAAGCTGCCAAACTCAGCAGCCGAGGGCAGCTTTGGTCCACCCCCGCGATGTTCAGCAGTGAGCAGCTCGCTCGGCAGCTCCGCTAGCGACCAAAAGAGCCTCGCGGCCTGCTGAAGTCGGTCCCAGGTCCCGCATCAGCAGGACCGTTGGAGATGCTCTTAGGGTCTGCTCAACATCGCTGAGAGAATTTCCAAGATTCTTCCAGGATCAGCAGACAAGTTTTGGTGTACCAGCAATTTCGATGGCCATTGATTTGTCTTGGACCTTCAGGATTCTACAAGCATTGTCAATCCTCAAAAAATGTCACAACGTTGTTGTTGATGATTTTACATTTCATGTTTACTGATGCACACTTTTTTTTGACCAGTCATGCTGTCCTCTGTATCCAGAACAGGAGGGGGGATGGCTCAACTGACAAGCTAAAAAGGGAATCCATAGATTAGGAGCATTTATGGTGTGAGGCACATCGAAGTGATGGTGATAGGGATGAGGAAATGTGTGCAATCACATGGAGAGTTCTTGGAAGTGTTGGACAGGAGATCAAGGGAGCTTGTTTTTGTTTTTATGTAGGAGCTCAACTGAGGATGAGTGTGGTCTTGTAATTAGTAGTGGTAGGCCAAGGGAGGTTTGAGTGAGACCGAGGCCACAAAGGGGGCTTCTCCTAGTGCTGTTGACCATTCCAGGGTTTTTGTAATGCTTCGATCGACCACAACTTCCCAAGAGTCAACAACACCGACCAAGACTCAGAGCAATACCACCATAGGATGTCTTCCCTCATCGACCCACTGATCGAGTTCATTGGCTCATTCTCAACCTTCAATCAAATCCTCATCTACTTCCTACTCTCCATCACCTCGATCATCTCCATCAACATCTTCAACCAATTGGTAAGATCAACTCAACTCACTCTCCTACTCCTACGAACCCAAACTAAAGTTGATCTTTATACCTTGAATCCAAACAGGCTATTCCCAAAGATCCGACCACCCCACCTGTGGTCTTCCATCTATTCCCATTCATCGGCTCAGCTGTGTCCTACGGAATCGACCCTTACGCTTTCCTCGAATCTTGTCGGAAGAAATACGGGAATGTCTTCACCTTCGTCCTCTTGAATAAAAAAGTCACCGTCGCACTCGGTCTCGAAGGAAACGCATTGATCCTCAACGGAAAACTGTCTCAAGTTAATGCTGAAGAAGCTTACACAGCACTCAGTACGTACAATAACAAACCAAGATTCAAAATCCTCACAATACTAATATACATATATCTGTTCTTCTCTTAGCTACACCTGTGTTCGGAACTAAAATGGTCTATGATGTACCAAACGCAATCTTGATGC